AATATGCTTATTATTACAATCAAAACAATGCTCAGGCACTCATTTTTTTGTTTTGTTGTTTAAAGCCGCACTCAGCAATATTACGACTATATGACGGCGGTATGTAATTAATCAAGTCTGGACCAGACAATCAAGGGATTGACATCATGAGCATCGATCCACGCAATTGGGATACAATGACATATATCAACCAAGTCAGCGAGCCTGACCACCCGATCCTGTTAGTCACCTCTTACGACAAGCATAGTCACCTCTTACGACAAGCATAGCAGCCTTTTAAGACAAGCATAGAGCCACTCAGTTAAAACATCCAGTACAGTAACAGCAGCTGTGGTGAATACATACAACTCTGCTTATGTACATTCAAAGGATTCCGCTAACTCTTGTATCAAAGTATTCATGTCGAAACAAATAAAACATTATGGAAAAAAACAAACTTTTGTAACCCCACTTGGAACCATTACAATTTTCATATGTGACCTGACGAGGTTCAAGGATGAGATTACTCGCATTACTTTGTTGACACATCATAGACTAGGGGCTGTCTGTCACTCACATTACTTTGGTGACACATCATAGACTGGGGGCTGTCTGTCACTCACATTACTTTGGTGACACATCAAAGACTAGGGGCTGTCTGTCACTCACATTACTTTGGTGGCACATTAATGTTATGATTTACCGTATGTAATCCTTCAACCCTGTCGCATGGCCTTGTGTAGCCAGTCGTGTTAAATAGAAGGATATCCTTGGTAATTGAGGTTTGTTGCTGCACTATTTGAAATTACTGTTTTACTACAAATAGTATATTCTGTTATCGTGTTTTTTTAATTGCAGGTTTTACTATATATCTTCAAAATAATGATAACCATAACCAGGGTTAGGCGATAGCTCTTTTGTGTATTGTCCGATATTTTTTTAACATGGGACAGTTTGACAAATCACTGTTAAGATTTGGCACGATCTCTGACATTTAATCGTCTAACCACAACAAATATTACTTTTAACATTTACACTGGTCACACTGAGGACCCCAGTTCTATTCCCCACATGGGTGGGGGCACAGGTGGCCCAGTCATCTTAGGCGCCGCGATTCGCTGCGCAGAGTTGCGTCCCTTGGGCACGCCAGAAACCTATGATTGTGGGATCGAATCCCGGTTCGCCCCGATTATGTTTCTAGGTTTGTCAGCACCATACCCGTGCTCGTGGGTTTCACCGAAGCGGCAAACGTCTGAGACCTGCATCACTTTCGGGCTTTCCTCCCACATTAAGCTGACACGCCGCGATATAACTGGAATACTGTTAAAAGCGGCGTTAAACCCAACTCACTCACTCACTCACTCCCCACATGGGTACATTATGTGAAGCCCATCCCTGATGCCCCCTGCCGTTATGTTGCTGTAATATTGATAAATGTGATCTGAAACTCAGTTTACTCAATGTCCTCACTAGAATATTTGCGCATCAATTAAATCATTTATTTCATAATTTTTAATCTAAGAAGTTCTTATGATACACACAATCTAAACACAATGTGCCCTATTTTCATCTATAAGATGCACACTTCAGTATCTTCCGCACTTCCCATTTAGGGTATGGTTTTTAAGTTTTCTTCGTGTAAAATGTGTTGTCAAAAACTGCTGTATGAGCAGTCTATGAATATTGAATATGTGGGAGATTACAACCTTGGTCATAGCTTCAGTGTAGCAGTACATTGGGCAATAACAGTACACAACACAAAAACATTGTGTTAAGAAATCATTAAGCGTTTTCAAACCTATGATATAAGAGTGTTATTGCATCCACATTTGTTCAATATCTGCATATGCAATGAGGTGTTCATTCAACATTTATACACCGGTTTTAATGGCATTGACGTACAACATTGTATAGTGAGCAATTATCAAAAGTAAAGGAATATGAGGTTGGTGTGGGTGTCAGCAGTGTTACATACATTAGAATCAATATATACTTCAATGGGACAATTTCCTGCCACTTGTGTGATCACGATTGATCGAAAACCATGCTCCAGCTGTCTAGATTCCCAAGAAGTAGGTCAGCAGCGGTGGAACACTGTAGCAGTGTACTGAATTGAGGTGTACTGCTCAGCCTGTGTGTTGTCTTGTACATGCGTTACTATACGACTATCATGTGAAGCTGAAATGTGATGTGAAATTGGGTTTAATGTCGCTGCCAAGATCATTGCACCTATATGGCAACATGCATGCACGTGTTTGTGTGCTTGCGTGTATGTGTAACAACAAGTACCATTTTTAAACGTCTTTTGGTATGACGCGACCGGGGATTGAACCCCAGACCTTCCGCTCTCCAGGCGAACGCTCTACCACTAGACCATGGAGGTGTTGGTCTTCAGCAACCCATGCTTGTCATAGAAGGCTACTAACGGGATCTGGTGGTCAGGCTCCATGTCTTGGTCAATGCACTTCATCGTATCCCAATTGCATAGATCGCTGCTCATGTTGTCAGTCACTGGATTGTCTGATCCAGACTTGAATATTTTCATGCCGCCGTCATGTAACGTGAATATTGCTGAGTGTGGTGTTATACTATACTACGCAACTTTTGATAAGAATATTTGTGGTGTCCAGGTTTAGATTAAAATGTGACTGATTGCTGAGACATGTTTTCATATGAATAGTATTCAAAATTGTAAAGGAGCTTCAACAAGTGCAGCTTCATTTTAAGTACATTAAAGTTCACAGTTCAGTACACTTTTTCTTCTATGAATACATGACACTTTTTTGTGGATACGACTTTTATTCTTTGTACGACGTTTCAGAGCTACTTCTTGTTCCCACTCCTTAATGCCTATCAAAGACTTCTGCTCTCTTCTAGTTTCAAAACAGTATGACATATCAGTATCCTTATCAAAGATTGAGCAGCATATCATCAGGAAGGAGCAGTACAGTAGCCTTGTTGTTAGAGCATTCAAACATTGTGACAAAGATTCAGTTCAGCACCTGGGAACAATGTGGGGAGTCCATTGCTGGAATATTGCTAAAAGTGACATAACACCCGATTCAGTCACTACTATCATCTGTATATACATGCATCAGCCACGGCGATAATTGCTCATATATTGGCTAGTGAACAATTCAAATTAGCACCCCTTCCGATTGATCAATGTACACAAGACTTATTTATTTGCTTATAATACACACTCGTGTGTTATATGCACCCTTAATAATGGGCAATTAAATTCTGAAAAAATATATCTGTCGTATATAAACATTTCAGGCTGTCAGCATAAACCATGAAATTTATCTTTCAACTCTGTTTTTTCCACCAAAATAATATTCTAATAAGAGCCCCCTATTTCTAATTTTGAGAGCGCCCTGGGCGCTTATTACGTCGAATACGGTATACACTTTCATGGCTAGAGTTATGAGTGGCAGTTTGTACGTAATGGTTTAGGCAGCAATGCATCCAGTGTGAAATAGGATTTCATTAATCTGGAAAAACCAGGTGCTCTAGAAATTCTTTTCTGTGTGTCAAATATGTAATTTGAATTTTGAACAAATCTGTATATTCTCAAACAAGGTGTGTTTCTATTGTGTGCTTATGTTGAGGCCGAAATGAGTGAATAAGAAATTTGAGACATAAAAGACAAACTGTTTCCACCAACATGTATAAAGGGGATAGAGCATGTGCACAGAAGGCCCAGGTTCTATTCCCCACATGGGAACAATATGTAAAGGCAATTTCTGTTGGCCTGCCTTGTAATTGCTCACTAGCCACATATATGAAGGCACCAAATATATCTTCCTGCAACCATGGTATGGCTCAATCTAGATATTGCTGACTCAGGCATATATCATAGGTTCATTATTTCCCAATAGCTTCCTTTGTATTACATAAGAAACTATATATTTTTAAAATATTTGATTTGATATATAGATGCACTTTAAGAAATGGGAAAAAACACTGCAAATACCCTGGAGTATATCATCAGTTTGTGCAGAAATAACAAAACAACAAATAGACTAAAATTATTTATTATAAAATTGGCACAAAATTGGGAGCTGGCTCGGTTGTTGCTTAAGAATGATTAATGTTTTATGAGATTGGTAGCAGGGGCAAGCCGGCCAGGACAACCGTGGGGAAGCAGCTGAATATATTTTTTAAATATTTGATTTGATATATAGATGCACTTTAAGAAATGGGAAAAAACGCTGCAAATACCCTAGAGTATATCATCAGTGATATTCCTTCTTGTGCTACAAACATGGAGTCTTTAGAGTAGGAAAACATCTCGCCCAGCATTTATTTAGTGATTATGGAATCTGCATTAAGTGACTTTCTCTGAATGGTGACTAATAGGTATTCCCCTTATTTAGCTATCTAGAAAATAAGCTTTTGGTAAACTGGCCCTTAGGCTTCAGAAAATAAACGTTTGATATGGAGTGACATGTTGTACATTGTCTGTCTGTGTTTACCTCTACATTATCGTCTCCGGACTGGGAGGAGGGATTAACTTGAAACTTTAGGGTATGTCTAACACCATAACGGCATCAAAATTAACATTTACAACCTGATACTTTTGTTGGACATGTAGCTCCATTGTTGTTAGAAAAACATGGTATTTAGAATTGAATAATAACTTAGAATTTGTAATAAAATTAAATCAAAGCATATAAAAACCTTCTCTGAACCCACAAGTCACAGTGAACAGAAACTGTAAAGGCAGTATGTTCTACAGAGAACTTTCAATGTTATTTAAACTTCAACATCAGCCATTGTTGAAATATGAAATTCTTATAATACACTCATAATGCCATCTCCTAGATTTCTTGATGTTTGAATCTCACTTCAAATATTTTTTGCTTATTCAGACTATCCATCGTAAGAAGCAGTGATCGGCACTATAATTCCCTACCGTAATCCCCCAAATTGAGTATGAATGCATTACCACCACTCATTCTGTCACACCCAAGTATTATCGTGAAAGTGTTTTCAAATTGTAACCTTGTTTCTTCCAGGGTCGGAAACGTGATGATGCACGGGAAGCGTTCCGCCATCGGAGTGGGACGAGTGACAGTGAGAGCAGCTGGACCAGATCTATGGTAGGTCCGTGACAGGTCTGTGGTAGATGGTGCAGGTCTGTGGTAGATGGTGCAGGTCTGTGGTAGATGGATCAGGTTCTTTGAAGATGGACCAGGTGTGTGATAGGTCTGTGAGAGATGGACTAGGTCTGTGGTAGATGGTCCAGGTCTGTGATAGGTCTATGGAAGATATGGAGCTGGTCTGTAGGTCTGTGGGAGATGGTCCAGGTCTGTGGGAGATGGTCCAGGTACGTGATAGGTTAGTGGGAGATGGTCCAGGTCTGTGGGAGATGGTCAAGGTCTATAGGTGTAAAGGTACTAAAGCTTTTCAAAACTTTCATCAGAAGTGAAAAATATGATTATTTTTATAAATCATCAGTCAGTAAATATTTCAATGTAATAATCACAGTCTAAAAAACACTTTTTGTGTCCATTAAACTTCTCATTTCTACCCCTTTAAATCAATACCTTTGTTGTCTCTCCTTGCTGAGATTGACTTCAGTTAAACTGTCATGGCTAGAGTGTAATGGATCACTGCACAAGCTAGAATTAGCTCCTGCGGCCTGTAGATCACCATCAGATTGTCAGATTATCCGCAGTGCATTATGCAACGTATATCACCCAGGGCATAAAGCAGATGGGTAACAGTGACTAGCTAAAATAGGAGATATTGCTCACACAAGCGGGAATACTGTTGTAGACCACAGCTGGATGTTAACATGAGGATATTCAGTTTTCGAAAGACTCGAATATTTCAAGTAGGTATGAGGAACTCTAAAAAAGAAACTCATTATGTTGATTTGTTCTTCAACATTTCTGTTTAATTCATTTCTGATAGTTTTAAGTCCATGATTTATTATGATTCAGTCCAACTTAATGTAAATTATTTTGTTTTTACTTCATATTTGCTTCAATTTATGGTAGTGGATAATATTTATGTTTAAATATTTTCTGAAGCTAATAAATCCTAAAATAATATACGGATCAATATTAACACATTATGGTTCATTATGTTGGAGGAATGATGTTACTTTCATGGTTAAGTTTTAATGTTATTATATAGCTTAAGATTATTTAACATGTATGTACTTATGTGTTGGTAATTTGTCAAATGTACTATGGATTGTATCTCTAAAATAACATGGAAGTACTACTGATGTTTTGCTCCCCACGTATTGGAGAAGTATGGGTGATGAGTTGACTGTCTCACAGGCCTTGAACCATGTTATTTTCCCATCCTCCCAGCCCTTACTGTAATGCTAAAGCCCTAACAGAGGCAAGTCTAGATTTCCCACAAGGGGGCTGGGGCTCTTTCTCAATTTGAATGTAGTTGCTTGTTTCTATCAAAAATATAAATTTCCAGAGACTAAACGTTAGTCTAGGTGATGGGGGCAATTTATACACTGTCAGGATAATGTAAGGTCACAAGTTCTCAATCTGGCAACAAAATTCCATATTTGATAAAACATGCTTTTTATTAGACTAACATTTAGTCTCTGAAATGTAAATATTGTAAGATTATTTTTTATGAAATTGTCTTTTAATATAATATTGAAAGGAGCCCAGAGAATCTCTTCATTAAACTGAAGAAATACCTGTTTGCCATAGTATTACAGACTTCCTTGTCACAATATTCACACAGTTTTGGACCAGTGAAGATCCGGTTTAGAATAGGTCTTCAGCAACCCATGCTTGCAGTAAAAGGTGACTATGCTTGTCCTAAGAGGCGACTAACGGGATCGGGTGGTCAGGCTTGCTGACTTGGTTGATGCATGTCATCGTATCCCAATTGTGTGGATCGATGCTCATGATGTCAATCTCTGGGTTGTCTGGTCCAGACTTGATAATTTACAGACCACCATCTTATGGCTTGTGTGTGGCGTTATACGACAAGCAACAAACAAACAAATCATACAGTTTTGCCCTCACTATATGTTCTTATCTGATTTTAAACATGGCTGCCACGGCTCCAGTTTTCTGGTATTAATGCATTTTTGCCATATCCTCTGAAATGCCAAGATCTATAGAGCTGAAACTTTGTATGAATGATCTCGACTGTGGTGTCTCTGAAATGTACTCACAGAATGCCAATCCTATCTTAAACATGGCCACATTTTTTTTTCATTTTTCTCTATAACTCAGCCACTTTTGCATATTATACCTTTTGGGGCATATTTTGAATTTCAATCCAGTTACAATATTTAGCTTTCATGCAGCTTTTTTTTCTTGTGTTTCTGTATTTTCAAAATCTGGCTATTAATCTGGGACCTTTTTTTAAAATGTATTGAAATTTTGAATAGGTAGATTAGTAGTGAGGCCTTAATTCAACCTTTACAGCCTAATAGTTGATGTCACCAAAGTGAACATTCTGCCATGGGCAAAACTGGAAAACCTTATCTTAAATCATACCACACACTAGCCTGCCACCATGTTTTGTCAAATTATCTGCATACACTGGCAAAAAGTATGTTTTTGCATATGATTGCCATGCAACCAGACTTGATTTAAAAAAAATGGTTCATGCATTATTGTGAGAGGCTGTCTGTAGGATGGTCCAGGCAAAGTTTCAACATCCTACACCTTTTGATATAGGAGAGGTTCAAGCAAGCCCAAACTGTCCACAGAGAGGAGGTCCTAGTTTTAGATAATTTGACTTGTGCATCACTTACCCCTTCGCTGGTCAAACTCGTAACAGATATTGCTTTGGCCCTGGAGGCAAGTGATAGTGACCTTCAGCACTTCGAAGAGAGGTTTCTTTCTTGTGACAAACAGTTTAAAGGAACACTGTGACCCTCAGTAACCCCAGCAATGACCTTTGCACTTTTACCATGCTCGAACATATCTGCTCCCGGATACTGCTTAACTGATGAAGCTAAAATTTGGCAAGCAGGTTTCTTCTGATGAAGACAAGTTTCTTGTTCAAATCAATGTGATTTTATTGTAAGGGTTTTTTGTACAAATATTTACAACAACAACAAAAATGTACTCGAAGTAACATGGCAAGGGACTTAAACTCTGTGTGAATGTAATTTTTAAAAGAAGATCCAGTTTCGGTCAAGGCATCACTGTTTGCACTCAACACTGTTGCCTTAAAGAATGTTACAAAACTACTATTTACTTTTCCAAAGAATATTTGCACATTTTTTTTTATCTCAGTCGTCTAAGGCGCCGCGATTCGCTGTGCAGAGTTGCGTCCCTTGGGCACGCCAGAAACCTATGATTGTGTGTTCGAATCCCGGTTCGCCCCAATTATGTTTCTAGGTTTGTCAGCACCATACCGTGCTCGTGGGTTTCACCGAAGTGGTAAACATCTGAGACCTGCATCACTTCAGGCTTTCCTCTCATTAAGCTGACAGGCCGTGATGTAACTGGAATACTGTTAAAAGCGGCGTTAAACCCAACTCACTCACTCACTCACTTTCTCTCGCTGAAGATCTTATTATTATTTCTTTAGTCAGGTGAGCTACAAAAGTTTTGGCCGCTATTTGTATTATTTATACTGGTTTCTAGTTAATTAAATGCAGATATTCCGCAGTTGGAAATGTGTTGATATCCCTGTCATAGCTTGAGTAGTGTATCCATCGAAGCTGGCACCTATCATCCACTGCTTACAAGGCTGGATAGTGGTTAAAGCGTTCGCTCGTCACACCGAAGGCCGGGGTTCGATTCCCCACATGGGTCAAATGTGTGAAGCCCATTTCTGGTGGACCCGTGAAGATCCGGGATAGAATACGTATACAGCAACCCATGCTTGCCATAAAAGGCAACTATGCTTGTCGTAAGAGGCAACTAACGGGATTGGGTGGTCAGACTCGCTGTCTTTGTTGATACATGTCATTGTATCCCAAATGTGTGGATCGATGCTCATGATGTCAATCACTGGATTGTCTAGTCCAGGCTTGATTATTTACAGACCACTGTCATAAAGCTGGAATATTGCTGAGTGCGGAGTTAAAACAACAAACAATCAAAACAAACATTTCTGGTGTCCCCACCTTGATTTTGCTGGAACATTGCTAAAAGCAGCGTAAAACCATATTCACTCAGTATAAGGCTGTTGATTTAATATACATGAATATGTGTAGGTGTAGCTTTCAACTATGTCATACATACATGTGTGCATCAATTATTCATTAGTATTGATTTCTCATAGATACATTTTATTCAGGACTTGATGAATAAGCTTAATATGCTGAATGATAAAGCATTATTAATATCCATATGGTTCCAGATAAGCGATTTAATAAAAATCCATACGTACATACAATGTCATGTCATAATGATTTCAACCAACCTTCAGCTATTGTGGTAATGCAGATGTTGTTGTTGACGCAAGACGTGCATCAGACATTGTTGATTTTATGTGTAATGACCAGTAGTGTTGTTGTTATGATTGTGACGCTGTAAGCTTCTTGAGAGGGTTTTTGACATAGAAGACTCTCAGAAAGTCCTCAATTCAATACAAAGTGTTAATGATAATAAAGTTAAAACACAAAATAGTCGTCAGAATTTTGATGTATCCCACACGTGTACAATAATATCTATATACCCTATTTTACCAATATTATCATTAATAATAATAACTAATGGTACACAATTTCATTTATCTTTTATGTTTATTCTGTATGGTAGTCGTTTTAATGATTATTCAATTTCATATACCCTGTGGGTTGTGGAAAAGCGTTGTGGTTAAAGCGTTTGCTTGTCACACCAAAGGCCCAAATTCAATTCCCACATGGGTACAATGTGTGAAGCCCATTTCTGGTGTCCCCCACCGTGATACTGCTGGAATATTGCTAAAAGCGGAGTAAAACCATACTTTCTCCCTCATCTACATTGTAGATAATAGAGGCCCATAAGAATAATTTCATTTTGTTTGTTGCTTAACAACACACTCAGAAACGTTCCAGCTTTATTATAGCAGACTATAAATGATCAAGTCTGAACCAGACAAACCAGTGATTGATGCTATTGAAATCACACAATATACCCATAGGGCCAAATATATGTCCTTAGTATCTCATGGTAGTTGTTTGGGATAACAACAACTTTCATTTGAGCGAGTCATTTTTATAGTCTGGGTACCCAAAATGGGCTTAACATATAATACCCTTGTGGGAATTGAACCCACAATTTAGATGTTTTAAGGGAAAACTTTAACCAATAGTGATTATGGTTCAACACCACTTGTAGCAATATTCCAGCAATATCACGGCGGGGGACACCAGAAATGGGCTTCACACATATTGTACCCATGTGGAGAATCAAACCCCTGTGTGATGAGTGACCACTTTAACCACTAGACCATCCATATAACATAAAACGTACAGCATGTCCTCATCATTTTGACAGTGCATGACTTCATGATACGATACTTGTACCCTGGCGTAATGATGCCCGATCATAAAATGGTGAATCGTTACCAATTTATCACATTCTGTCACAGATGTCTTGAAAAATATTGTCTTCATTTTAGGACTCGTCAACCGCCTCTACCCCTGATGCGTCACCACTCCCATCGCCCATCAGTAAAGATGCCCCCCACCACTTCCCCAGCCCCCCTGCCTCCCCCGAGACGCCGCGGCGGCGAAGCTCAACAGTTGGTGCTATCCCCGACCCCGCCATCTCTGCCAGCAGACGAAACATGGTCCAGAAGAGAAGGCGGGATGTCAACCACAACTCACACTCCCAGAGTCGCCAGAACACCAGCATCAGCCCAATGAAGAACATGTGAGTATCGCATGAAGTGTGCAATCGGGGGTGGTTATATGTGTAATGTCGCAATAGTGTGGCCATAGTTACAACACTGTTACTGTTGCAATATAGATAAACTATTGCAGGTTGGTTGTATGTGTAATATTGCAATAGTATAGCCATGGTTACAACACTGTTACTGTTGCAATATAGATAAACTATTGCAGGTTGGTTGTATGTGTAATATTGCAATAGTATAGCCATAGTTACAACACTGTTACTGTTTCAGTATAGATAAAACTATTGCAGGTTGGTTGTATGTGTAATATTGCAATAGTGTGGCCATAGTTACAACACTGTTACTGTTGCAATATAGATAAAACTATTGCAGGTTGGTTGTATGTGTAATATTGCAATAGTGTGGCCATAGCCACAAAAATGTTACTGTTGCAATATAGATAAAACTATTGCAGGTTGGTTGTATGTGTAATATTGCAATAGCGTGGCCATAGTTACAACACTGTTACTGTTGCAATATAGATAAAACTATTGCAGTAGTATCACAGTTAAATAGTGTTGTAACATGTGAGTAGAACAACGGAAGTGTGCATTCTTGGGCAGTTGTTATTTGGGTTGACTATTAAGTGCATTTGTACTATTGAAATAGTATGTTGATAGTTGAATACTGTTGCAATATAAACTGAACTAAAAAAGTTAGGGATCATTTTTATTTTGGGGGATATTTTATGATATTTTGTGCTCAGTCTTCTACAAAAACCTATCTCCAGAAATATTCAGGATCCCTAAATATTTTTGTTCAGTACAGATACAATTGCAATAATATCACAGTAGTATTTTCATATGTGAGTCGAACAACTAAAGTGTGTATCAAAGGGAAGTTGTTATTAGGTATGAGTGTTGAGCACATTTGTACTATTTAAATAGTATTGTGATGGTTCAAACACTATTAGGATGTTGTTGCGATATAAATACAATTATTGCAGTAGTGTTGTAATATGTTAGTAGGGCATTTTGGGGGCTGTCATATTTATGGCTTACTATTGAGGGCATTTTCAATATTGGAATAGTTACTGAGCTAGTTTGATAAGCTCATGTTGGTCGGTCGAACAGCAAAACACCAACCAACTCACATGACATGTTAAATAGGTACAGTATGTTCCTTTGAGAACAGTTGAATGCATTGTTGCAGGTTTCTGTTAGCGGGAAGTCCAAGCCCTGGCTTTGCAGAAAGTACGTCTTCATCACTTTCGACAACACTGCCCGATGAGTTCACGCCGTATCGGAAACGAAGTTCATGGAGACAAGCTATATTCAACAGAGTTGTCACTCCTGTGCAGATCCCAGAATCTCCATCCTTCTCTGGTCAGTTCAGTCACCCGTTCAGGAAATTTTGGAAGTTAGAGAACACCAGATTCTTTCATATTACTATAGACCGCCTCCGTGGTCTAGTGGAAGAGTGTCGCCCGGAGAGCGGAAGGTCCAGGGTTCGATCCCCGGCCGCGCCATACCAAAAGACGTTAAAAGATGGTTCTTATTGTTACCTTGTCTGGCACTCGGCATTAAGGGGCTAAAACAAGGACTGATTGACTCAGAGTCAGGATACTGTGTCTGAGTGGGGTATTCATATTAAACTGTGGCATGGTATCTCAGTGAGCTAGCATTATAAATCGGCATCAGCCGGACTAGTACAAGCAGCCACACAAACACACACACGTACATGAACGTCGCTATATAAGTGCAATAATCTTAGACGCGATGTTAAACCCAATTTCACCTCACCTCATATTACTCTTGTTAATCATCATGGCTTGACAAGTCACCTATAGTAGTATGAAAGTATTGGGTGTTCTTTGATTTCTTTCGCGTAGTATATATAATTGTTATTACATGGCTGCCAAGACTTTTCACTGGCTCCTAAAAGGTAGCATTTATATTTTATGTATTCATTAGGTAGGTTCTTCTTTCAGTTTACCACATGAACATCAGAGGGATAAGGTAATGTTATTGTTTCACATACAAAAAAAACCATACAGCTCTCCTCCCCACCCCCCAAATAAATTCTCCTTCAGTATGATGCTTGCTCGATTAAGGTAGAGACCCATGTTAGAATTGTCTTCAGCAACCCATGCTTGTGGTAAGAGGCGACTAACAGGATCTGGTGGCCATGCTCACTGACTTGGTTGATGGACGTCATCGTATCCTGATTACATAGATTGATGCTCATGATGTCTATCACTGGATTGTCTGATCCAGACTTGATTATTTACAGACTGCTGTCATATAGCTGGAATATTAATATTGCTGAGTGTAGCATTAAACAACAACAACGTCCACACTGTCAGTTTTCTAAATGCCCGGGTTCTTATCATGGTGAATATGTAGCAATACAGTTTTGACTGGCAGTATTCTCCTGATATACATTCTATGTTGCCTATAATTCTGATACATACACCTTGCAATAGCATTCAGAGACTTGCTACACCATACCGTCATAGACACATAAACCTGTATGACTTTTTGAAATACAAGACAGCAGTTGTCACATAATCACATAGCAATCAACATATTCTTATTCTCTGGCAAGGTTCATGAATAAAACGATGAGAGATGAATTTATTAAGTAATCAACAAGGTTGTGTTGGTAGCAAACATCTAGAAATCATTTCGGCACATTTTAGCACTTTTGATACAGATTGGTTGCAATTAGTTGAGATTTGATTTGATCCTTCTCCTTCCCCAGATGAGGCAGACATTGACTTTGAACCTCCTCGTACACTGACACCGACTAAGATCCGATGTCTGTGGAAAAAAGCCATCTTGGAAACGTTGCTACTCATTCGAATGGAGAAAGAAAACCAGTCTCTGAGAGGTGAGGCCCTGTTTGGGTTTTGTTAAGATTATGTTGGGAAAATGGAGTAGAATAAGAAGATAAGAGTCAAGTAGTTGAAGAGACAGCGAGGAATAATTAATTGTTCTTGTTATTTCAACGATTTCGATTAATGTTTCAGAAATCTTTCAAATAGCTTATCCTTGCATTTCAGACAGTTAATCACTAGATTTTCATCCATATTTGTCGAATTGAATCTAATTGACTAAGCATATTAACAGTAACAAGCTTTGTCCTTGAACTGCTTAAAAAAGAAACTTGATGGGTGATAATCTAGGAATTAATTTCATCTGATTTCTGTGCAGAATACCAAAACGGTTTCAAGGCATGTGCATAAATATAAACACACTCTGGTGTATTTTCAAGTTTGAAATTATCTTCTCAATATTTCAGCAATCAGCAGCAACAATAAAGGTATCTATGAGTGTGGATTGAACCGAATTGACTTGATGCAGCACTAACATAGATATTATTTTGTTCCTAACTTCCTGGTTTTAATGTCAAAGATTTGCTTATAAGGGTTTTTTTCTTCTTAAATAGATAAATTTGTGTGTGGTACTGGGCCTTAGTTGGAAGTATGGAACTAGTTAATGTGTATTTAACGCAACATGAAATGGTGATGGAGATGCCATGTTGGTGAAGGGAATAGCACTAGGTAAATAACTTAAAACTGCAGATCAAACACCTAATGTGGGCTAGAATCCCAGTCTCAATAAACTCAGGTCTTTGTGTGCGTGCTACCGCTACTCAAAGATCTGAGGGCATCCTTTTGCAGGTCAAGTCAGAACAACCTTTCATGAACTTTGACCGACCAATGAAATGACTAACACGAAGCTGACATTAGCCAATCAGAAACCAGCTTTCTCTAGCTTTACAGGGCTTGTTTCAAACTGGTGACTTCTATTCTGGACTACAAAATATTTTGACAAAGTTCTCTATTCAAAATTTGAAAACTGAATAAACAATTATTCTGGAACTGAATGGCCAAGATTGTGTGGCCGTACTTTTCATGGGCCATGGAAAGTCTCTTCCATTTCAAATGTTTCTTCCACTGAAGCGAGAGATAGATAATGATTTTGACGAAATCACTCATACAGCCCGTATGAGGTTGCATGATTGGACTTTTATTTTCATGATCTCATAAGCAACGCCTTGTTTGGAGGTATGAAAGGATGATCTGATGTGACCTGTAATAAGATGTCCTCGGGCTATGTGTAGCAGTAGAGAGCACTAAGATCAGATTTCAGTGGTATTGGTTGGAATCTTAGCTATGCCCTGATAATGTTTCTAGATTTGTCTAGATTGAAGTTGAAAATGTAGATCTGTATCATTTCTGGCTTTCCTCCCACTTGAAGCTGACACTATCTGATAAAACTGAAATACTGTTATAAGTGGTATTAAACCACACTCACTCATTCAATCAATTAATATTACAGTTATACATGTAGTTGAATGTTTGAAGCCCTAATTCCTAGGGTCAGTCTATGCACTAGAGATAATGTATTCACTTTACAGATCGTCCGTCTGTTGCCTGTCTTTTCGCTGATCACATGAACTTTTACATTTTGGTCATGTTTTCTGAAAGGATGTTAAAAGCTGAAATTCTAAGAATGTGATCGAAGAAATAATGTCTGACGTGGCTACCTCAGCAGTGTCATTGAAAGTTGTGAAGTAATAATGTTATCCAAAATGTGTTCATAAGGTCAAATTTATAAGATGGCCTCCTCATCAACAGCATTAAAAATGTCAGCCATTTATTCATGTAAAATGTGCAATTTAGTCAGAGAGTATGCAATATGAAAATTATTTTGTACATATTCTTGTTTTAAATAGACCTTGCATAATTAATTTATAGCTGCCCCTTTTGTACCAAAAATGTCATTTAAAAAGGGCTAAGTTACAGTCCAATTTGAACATGGAAGCCACAGCAGCCATATTGAAAATATTATTCAGGTTTCATGCATGGGTGTAGAAACTTGATCCACTGACTTGAGTCAGTTTCTCCTCTGAGTGTTTTAAGCTGAAATTTTGTATCATTGACCACGGGGAAAATGTTGTAATTCACTCTTCACATGAGTGAACATCATGTATGAAATCTCACAATTAATTTTGGAAAAGTCCTTTATTAAAATATCTGTTCGGGGGACACTTGCAGCCCTTACACATGTCCACTAGCCACTGATAGCAGGCCATGTGTTCCACCAATCGGAATAAATTCAGATCTTAGTTCGCTCTATCGCTAAGCAAATGTCTGAAGAAATCCCATTACAGGTCATGTCAGAACGACCTTTCGCAAACTTTGACCGACCAATGAAATGACTAACAAGAAATCAACATTAGCCAATCAGAAAGCAGCTTTCTTGAGCTTACAGCACTAGTTTCTAACTGGCAACTTCCATTTCAAGACTACTCTTTGAAACATATTTTGACAAACTTCTCAATTCAAATTTGAAACTGATCAAAGAAATGAACATTTTGGAATGTCTAATATATGGCCTAGATTGTATGGCAGCTCTTCCCATGGACATTGCAAAATCTCTTCTATTCAAAATTTTATCGCATTGGAGTGAGAGATAGATAATGATTTTGACAGATTCAGTCGTACAGCCCTTGAAGTGTCATACAGAATACCCTGTGTTTAGGTTTTTGAGATGGTGTGATTGGGAAAAACATTCCAACTGTCACTGTCGTGATCTGGTAAGTGCCGCTCTGACTGGTGGGATGAAAGGTGATTCTGATGGGATCCGTAATGGGATGTCCTCAGATCTCTGTTTATCTGTAGCAAGAACTAAGATCTGATTTTAATGAAGTTGTGTGTTCCCCTGCAATATGATTTAATAACATAACCACATCAGCTGCAAAGTTAAACATGGATTGAGTGATCCACATGTTGCAATTCCTAGAACTTAAAGTGAGCTACAGTGCCATGAGCATTTTGTAGGAATGAGTAAGGATAAGAATTTATGGATGAACAACTTCTTTATTACAATTAAGAGCGACGTTTCGGTGTAGTTCTAACACCATCATCAAGCAAGTGATTGCCACGTCTCCATGAAGACGATGAATAACTTCTTTGATAGGCATTTAGGCATTTAGTACTAAGTAAGGATAAGAATTTATGGATGAACAACTTCTTTATTACAATTAAGAGCGGCATTTTGGTGTAGGTTCTAACACTGTTATCAAGCAAGTGTTAGAACCTACACCGAAACGTCGCTCTTAATTGTAATAAAGAAGTTGTTCATCCATAAATTCTTATCCTTACTTAGTACTCCAACTTCTAAATGCCTATCAAAGAAGTTATTATAGGAATGGTTTTAAACTTTTAAAATAATGAGAAAGATTAATCATAATACTGATCCAGCAAATGTATGTATAACACAACTGACCGTTACATGGAGCCTTGTGTAGGGCTCCATGTTGGTATGGGGTGGCTCCACCTTCAAACCTGCATGACCCCTATGACAGTGTATTTAACCAACTATTTTTTTCTGTCCGCCCTCGTAGGCTATTTCATACTGTATGGCTCACGGTCAGTAGTGGTGTTCAAAGGTAAGGATGCATAGCTTGGTTTCATGGAGATGTGTTCCAGTTTTGTTTAGTTCCCGGAATAGCCTTGTTGTATTCACTAACATCTCAAGCCTGGTTTGTTTAAAGTAATTCCTAACACAGTCTGTTTTAGCCGAATCACCTAGAACAGAATTGTGTTCATTATATCCTGCTTTGTTTCATCTTCCTTCAAACATCATGTCATGCAATATGATTCCTGTTACGAAGAATTTGTTTACATATAGCAGTTTGAGTGTTTATATAATCGTAGAGATTTCATTTATTATGTTGTAGTTGATAATATGTTATGCACATAGCTACCAGTTCAGTTCAGTACAGAGAATCAGTACCAGAAATTTCAATTTTGTGTAATACCTATTTCAGTTGTAGAGTATGAAATATTGATACATGTCTTTGTGTATTACTTAAGATTCTGCACCTGTATTATATATTTGTATAACTGTGTCAGATGTAAACCAAATTCATATAGTTCAGTTTTTTCTCAATTCAAGGCCGAATTTCTTTTGGAATTGAAGGCTGAATATTGTTCAGTTTTTTTCTCCATTGATCCTTCAATGCCAAAAGATGTCAAATCATCCCATGCATGGTGCTAGATGTACTAAGGAGTATTAGGGGACCACAATGGCAGCTCCTTGTGGATAATATTTTGATGGATAATTACACCTTCAGTGCTGGGATTCAAGGCTGAAAGATGTCAAGCAATCCCATGCATGGTGCTAGATGTACTAAGGAGTATTAAGGGGCCACAATGGCAGCTCCTTGTGGATAATATTTTGATGGATAATTACACCTTCAATGCTGGGATTCAAGGCTGAAAGATGTCAAGCAATCCCATGCATGATGCTAGAGGTACTAAGGAGTATTAAGGGGCCACAATGGCAGCTCCTTGTGGATAATATTTTGATGGATAATTACCTTCAAAGTCCATTTTGAGATTTCGGGCCAAAGTAGAGCGTAGTACCCATGTGTGTTGAAAAACACAGCTATGATCATGATGAGGAGAATCAGGTGATCACTTTATGTGACCTGATTGTGTGTCATCGTACTCCAATGGAATGGATTGTTGCTCACACTATCAACCTCGTATCTGGCTATCCTGTTTTAATTATTTACCGACCACAATGATCTGACTGGGGTGTGACACACCATACACTCGCCTAGTCTGACATGATTGGTTCATTGTGAATTTCGCGTGGCATGGGTTTATGCTCATACCATCAAGCACTGGTTTGCCTGCAATATAGATATAGATGTGATATATATGTAATATTGCCCACCATGACATAAAGTTCATATACCCATCTCCATTGCACCTGGTTTGAGTGGCACAGAGTGAGATAGTGCACCAGCTTGGTGGCTTTACATGGAGCGCATTCTGTATACATAGAAACTGCACTGTCAACATTTGTCTAAGATGATGGCAATAACATCATAAGATAATCGTCATATCGTATTTCAAGCATGTGGGGTGCATTTCCTGTATAATTAGAGCTCTCTTTGCCAAATTTAAACAAAACTTGAAAAAATGTTTTAAAAAATTCTAATTATTTACAGGTAGAGATATCAAGTTTTAGACTTAAAGCAACATTACTACCATAAATGTAAAATAAAATTGTAGGAAAATGACTTTTGGCTTCTTTTTTTTATATGAACAAGGCCGAGAACCAAACTGGGGTTTCCATGGGTTGTTTTTTTTTTAAAGAAAACATGTAATTACAATGCTGCGTGTTATTAATATTTACTGTTGACAATTTTTATCTTATTTCCTTGCTCAAAGTTATTTTGTTTCCTTGAAAAACATCAGTTTTTAAAATAAATTCAACCCTCTTCAACTCAATTTTTTTGCAATTATATCTGTCATACTTCTGTTTCCTGCAAACAATTAAAAATTGAATCCACCAATTGAAATTAGTGGTATGGCTGTCATAACAACAATTTACTAAATATAAGAATGTGCCTTAAGACCACTTATCAACCAATCTCCGTAATATAAAAAATGGGATATTTCAAAAAGGCTTATGACAGGTTTAGCAATGGCAAATAACCCATAGCTTTTGTGATTAGTTCTGTCAGAACTCATTGCTACCAACTGACTGTTGTTGTTTTAAGATACATTCGGGCATGCAGATCCGGGTCCCTGCATCAGATTGATAAAACCGGTGATAACATCACATCAGTGTTAAATGGGCTTACAGCCCAGCTGTGTGGATAATTCCAACATGGGGAATAAAATCTTATATTGCCCTGTCCTAAGCTTTGATGTGAGAGGATGATCAAATAGGACGTTAGAGAGTTTTGTGTTTTAAGGTCCTGCTGTTGACGAGAAGCCAGCAATAACCTTTGGAAATCTCTTTATCAATAAAGCCTTGCGGCAGAAAGATCCATTTATTGTGTCCAGTCAGGTTGAAGTAGACTGTGCTCAGATCAGCATGAGGTGGTAATGTTAACACATGGCTAACTACCAACTGTTGATTCCATATCAGATCTCATCTAACAAAAGATTGAAACATACTTTATCAGGAAAGACGGACTCTGCCCCACAGCTCTGTCACAGTTGATAACACAATAAAGTACCTAGTAACTGTGCTGGTATTATCTGTTATAAAATGGCTCCTGAATTATTGTTTGTTTGTTTGTTGCTTAACGCCGCACTCAGCATTATTCCAGCTATATAAATAATCGAGTCTGGACCAGACAATCCAGTGATTAATATCATGAACATCGATCCACGCAAATGGGATCGATGACATTCATCAACCAAGTCAGCGAGCCTGACCACCCGATCCTGTTAGTCGCCTTTTGCGGCTCCTGAATTAAGTTTGCTAGGTAAAAATAGATATTTCAAAGTAGCATGTTTCAGTCATTAAAATTCAGTCTTACTTTTACTTTTGAAAATATTAATCTTAGGTAGATTAATGCAGTGAGCTTCATTAGAAATGCAAGACAGCATGACTGACAGGGTGTTTACAAAGTCTATGTATACAGAATAGGTGTGTATAGGTAGGGATTACTTACCCCCACAGAGCCTTGTTGTACCCCCATACCTCTGAGCAGTCAGGGGTGGGATAACAGGAGATAGGTAGGGAAAGTAAGACAGCAGGATTGACAGGGCAGTTGTAAGTCTATGTATACAGAATAGGTGTGTATAGGTAGGGATTACTTCACCCCCACATTGTCTATTTACACCCCCCATACCTCTGAGCAGTCAGGGGTGGGATAACAGGAGATAGGTAGGGAATGCAAGACAGCAGGATTGACAGGGCAGTTATAACTCTATGTATACAGAATAGGTGTGTATAGGTAGGGATTAGTTCACCCCCACAGTGTCTATTTACACCCACCACACCTCTGAGCAGTCAGGGGTGGGATAACAGGAGACAGGTAGGAAATGTAAGACAGCAGGATTGACAGGGCAGTTGTAAGTCTATGTATACAGAATAGGTGTGTATAGGTAGGGATTACTTCACCCCCACAGAGCCTTGTTGTACCCCCTATACCTCTGAGCAGTCAGGGGTGGGATAACAGGAGATAGGTAGGGAATGTAAGACAGCAGGATTGACAGGGCAGTTATAACTCTATGTATACAGAATAGGTGTGTATAGGTAGGGATTAGTTCACCCCACAGTGTCTATTTACACCCCCCCACTCCTCTGAGCAGTCAGGGTGGGATAATAGGAGGTAAGGTATAGTCTGTTTCTTGATAACTTATATCTCCTGCTCAGCCAGTGTATATAATTGAACATTGTTGATCTGCTTTATTCAGTGTTCACATTGTTGCCCACAGCCTTAGCAGTATATATGCATTGTAATATGTTTGACAAGAGAGGTGATTATGTATTTATTTTAATCATACTTTAGAGGTAGATAAGACTGTCAAAAGTTATGAAGATTTATTAACTAATATTGATAATATTAATAGTTATTGTTGCAACATTAAGGGCTAGTTTCCATCCTTAAAGCGTCTCGTCTTTGGTGTCGTAGTACTTTTTCTGAAATATGTATGCTTTAGTGAGCTATATGATATATGCTCACTTAAATATAATTATTTCAGAAAAAAGCACTGTGATAGCTGTATAAAAAACAAAAACTGCGATATACCATATGTAGTGAAATCTTGTTGACATGTTGGTTTGATAGATATGTGTGTTTAGACAATGTAACTTGGTGCCCACAGTTGAGTAATTATCCACACACTATCAGCAATCTGCTTGTCTCTAATGGCTGATATCTCGACTCAAAAGTGATTATGAGTTTGTGAGGCTTGACTGTATACTGATGGAAAAAGATAAAGGAACACATTGTGATGCAGAAGATTATTCCCCGCTGAGGTTGATAAACATACAGCTTATCAACAAGATAAGTCAAAGAACGAATATGTCGGTCATATCTATTGTGTAAGCCCCAGTTGCCGAATAATTAGGATGTATGAAGTCATGAAATATTTTATGCATTAAAGATCCTCTTTGTTTGTGATGTTTCAGGGCAACTTCTTGCCCCTTAATAATACAGACGAGGGTATCCCTGTTTTCATCTTCTTCCAACTTCTAAATGTCCATCAAAGACTTAATTTGGGTACTTTATAGTGACACGTCAAAACGACCCTAATGTTCCTTTATTTCTTTCCATGAGTATATAAGCACTATTGTCCTACAACATTTCCCTCTTCTGTGTAGTGTTATTTGGAAACAGACTATTGTGTCATACATATGGTGTTATTAGTTACCTAAGATCCTATGAGGTGGCCCAGTTGGGGTGCATGGTTTATGGTGGCGAGAGGTGGTGAGGAAATATTGGATGGTACTACATAGGGTGTAACGATACACTGGTACAGTGCTGTATCATGATTCACAGATGCTCAGGAAATGGATTTACAGTGTTAGATTGTGATAATCAAAGCATTCATTGGCCTATGTTTGTATTAAATATATACAATATATGTGCGTAATATGTAACCAAATTATAGACAGCCTTCAAAATTCACCTTTTGTGTATATATGTCGTATTAAATGCTTTATGTGACAATATGTGTCGTATCATTTCACCCTTGTTACCATGGTTACTGGTGTAGGAAACATGGGTATATATGTTGAAATGTTGAGATGACTGTCTAGAAAATATCACAGTAAAATGGTAAGAGTTCGTCATGAGTGTTATTAAAATATTGTAAATGTTGCAGTATGTTCATTAACATAATTAATCTCTATGATATATCTGCCCACAGGAATATTAATTAAACATTCATAAATACATATTCTCTCTCATATATCATGTTTGTCTATATATATTTATATATAAATAAGCACTTAGAAATTTATTGATATTGTGATGAGTGTTTAGTTATGCAGCGTTAAAAAGGTAAATTCTATGTTGTAGTCATGACAAATGCACAAATAGCCTTGTGGGACATCACTATGATGAAACACAATGTCAATTTAATGTACGGAAAGGACATTTGAAGCAGACCATGTCATCAATGGGTTAATAGTTGCCCCAAGGGTGAGAGAATGGGAGATATTCAAAAGTATTTGTACTTATGTTGATGAAAATGTTTGTTCAGAACCCAACCATGTTTAAATAGAATTATTCAATTTGTGGAGAATAATCATATCCAGATGAAAACATATAAGCCCAAAATAAATTATTTGATTTTCATCCCTGTCTCACCTTATATTATCCATAAATAATAACAAATGAAGAGATTCAAAATTTATGTTCTATTTTCTTACTTTAATGAAATTTAACATTTGTTTAAGGAAAATACTTTTATATTTGTCAAGTGTAACCAAACACTGAGAATTGCATCCACAGACAGTTAATGTACACAGATGCCTTGAGCAGTAAGTATGAGGAAAGGTGTATACGATAGATAAAAGGCCTTCACACCATTTGAATGAAAATCTAATAAGTGTTTTATTGTGAAGGGGCGGTCGGGTAGCCTAGTGGTTAAAGCGTTTGCTCGCCACAGCGATTTTGCTACATGTTTTCATTACAAGGACCAGTGGGCTAAAACTGTTAGTTGCTATCATTGTTTATTGTCCCGGTTATCAGTGAAATACAGACCACCTCTACAAAATCATCACATGTGTTATAACAACACAGCAAATGTATCAACATGAAACTAGAAGTTCCTAATTTGGGAATTTTTACTGACATTTATTGCAGACTTTGGGCCGGTATTGGCCTCTGACCAAGTCTAGATAAGTTACCAATTATCAAGTAACTGATGGTTTACTTTGGGGGGACAAACAGCATTTCAGTCCTAACACATACTTTCCTATAAATCTGATTGGTTACTTTTTCCGTCAGTATGTTAGATCAGTTTACAGATCCAAGTAGGGCCATCCAGTAGTTATCAGGTTTTAAGTGTTTTAAAAGCCCCATGACAAGCTCTAGAGGGAACTACCAGTATATTTAAATACAAATGTATCACAAAATTGTACTCCTTTTATTAGGAAATATATAAAGCCAGGTTACATCAAATTATACAAGAATATTGGTTCAGTGGACACATAGGTTTTTTTAAAATGTTTTAGAATAAACAATTTTGGATTAAGCATGATATCCTGCATGAATGGCATTAAAAAAAGTAAAGATGGTAAATTAGCAGTCGTTGTTAATTTTAGGTTTTGAAGGTGATGCCTAATTAACATTGTATTGTTCCACACGATGAGGTAAATGGATTCATTTACGTATTTGAACATGACATTATGCGAGTGGTACTTTTCTGCAGCTCGGCAGGATGAGATGGACCAGAAGAGACAGAAGTTGGACTACCAGGAAGTGACGCCATGTTTGAAGGATGTCACCAAAGTCTGGGAGGAGCTCCTCGCTGCAGAGAATAGGACGTCGACCAAGATAGCTCAAGACAAACTATTGGGCTGTGTCAAGAAGGGTACAGTGTACTTCTGTTTTAGATCCTCTGCCCAACCCGAGGGGGATTCCGGGTTAAAATTACTCCCCAGCAACCAATGCTGTCGTAAGAGGCAACCAAATGGTCGGGTGGTCAGACTTGATGACTTGGTTGATAGCGTGTCCTCGACAGTGTGATCATTGCTAACAATATCGATCACTGGATTGTCTGGTCCAGACTCAATTATTTACAGGCTGCGGTCCCATAGCTGGAATATTGCTGAGTGTAGCGTTAAACAACCAACCAACAAAGTATCACTGGTTTGACTTTAAACAACAAAGCAAACACATGCTTGTTGCTTACTTCATGCTTGTCATATACTGCTCAAGACAGGTTAAGAACAATGAGATTCTGTCATATTACTATGTTAGTATAGTTTTTGAGTAGTATATTAGCACTGAGAAGAATATTTGAAATACTCAGTGACTTTCTTTCATTGGTTGCAGGCGTGCCACGGAGTCTTCGGGGGGATATCTGGAAACTGCTTGGTGAGCAGCAACATCTCCACAACGCCAGCTGCCTCTTGCAACTTCCCCGCCACCACCTGGCCTACTGCAACCTCCTGAAGCAGCTCACCACTCATCAGCACGCCATCCTTATAGACCTTGGTGAGAGTTGTCCTCGTGTTGCTGCTCACACTAGGGGCTGATTATGTAGTTCCATCTTACAGGGGGCGGTGGGGTAGCCGAGTGATTAAAGCATTAGCTCGTCACACTGAAGGCCCGGGTTTGATTCCCCACATGGGCACATGGCACAATTGCTGGAATATTCTTTAAAGCGGTGTAAAACAAGTCACTCACTCACTCACTCACTCACTCACTCACTCACTCACTCACTCACTCACTCACTCACTCACTCACTCATCCAACTTATTCAAGGGAGGTACCTTTATCCTTTTATCAAGGGAGGTGACGTCTGATGATTAACTAATGGGAGGTAACTTATGTAGTGAAGTTCAATCAGGAGAGGTAACTTTGTTGCTCTACCTCAATCAAGGGAGGTAACAGTGTCACTTGTAAATTCTTTTTGTGTTGGCACATTCTTATAACTCAAATCTCTCCTCAGTCTTGACAAATAAATCAATTGACCCACATCTCGTATCAGCTGGAATGTTCCTCTGTCACTAGGTCGCACATTCCCGAGTCATCCCTACTTCGCCACCCAGCTGGGTCCGGGCCAACTAGAGCTGTTCAACATCCTCAAGGCCTACAGTCTGATGGACCAGGATGTGGGTTACTGTCAGGGCCTCAGCTTCGTGGCTGGCATCCTCATCATGCATGTGAGTACAGCAAGCACCTGCTGAACCACCAGGGAAATGAGCTGAAAGAAAAACTTCAAATATCAGAAACTGTGTAATAATAAAACGAGGAAATCATTTATGCACTAAACATGCTGCGGTGAAAATATGTCCAAATAATGACCTATGGACATTGTACCATATTTATTTTTGAACCATAAACAATACTTACCTGTGGACCATATAACATACTTTAACTATTGACCATGTAATACTTACCTTTGAACCATGTACAATTCTTTACCTGTAGACAATTTACAATACTTACTTATGGACCATGTCTTTCATACCTGTGGATCATGTAATACATACCTATGGACCATGTAATACTTACCTAGGCGACGATTTTTTTATTTCTTGGTTTACGGATGCGCCGCTCTTTCAAAGTCCAAATGTTAAAAAAAAATAAAAATGAAAATTACCCTTTTTTTTATTACCGCCGATGTTTTCGACAAAAAGTTCAAACAAAAAGAAGATTTCATTCCCTCGTCGAGCGTAAAGCAAAGAGAAGTCACTCTGATATTTCTTGCTGGGATCCTTTTCTAATACCATCAAAGCTTGTCAACGCAAAGCGCAGTGGTGACCAGTTTAACTAATTCAACACTGTTGGCCGTTCAAAGCCACAAGTCACACCGCACGGTAGACCGTCCAAGCCACGTCAAAATAGTTTATAATTATATTAACCTACTTGTCATATCATTCATTTATTAAATCTATCACATTTCACAATGTCTGAAATACGTATTCCATTTGATTTTATCTTTTTTTTTTATCTATAGATTTAAAATATATTCACTTGACACTATTTCCCGCAATGTTATTGAAAATAAAATTCTCGGACACACTTCGACAACGGGTCCTCATCGAACATGTCAAATAGCAAAATAAAGACGTTTCACGCGCAGAAACGTCATTATTTACAAAGTAATAAAATCTTCAAAAATATATTTTTCATGCGATCGCATATCGTAAGTCAAATGACATCTCGACTTTCGTCGCCTCGATTTCTCGGCTCGGACACGATGTCTTAATGCCAAAATATATGCATAAGAAATCTTTGTCACAGCTCGAAACCTAGCTCTATGCATCCATAAAGTTCCATATTTTTAATACAGATCGCTAAAACGTTCAGAATAACATGATTTAACCCAAACCTTTCGCCAAAATCTGAAAATTATCGTTGCTGTAATTTGATTAGCTGCCTTAGGTCACGTGCTTAAATTTGACCAATCACGGACCTTGTAGCAGATTTTGTCGGTGAAACAATATAAGTTCTTTTAATGTATACTGACATGGCAGGACGTATGTGTTATTCATACGAAGCTTTGAAAACCGAGGTATTTCCTCATGTTAGTGAGCGGACAGCCACTTTCATCAGGAAATGGGTGATGACAGATATTATTTGTAATTCTTTTTAAAATAATGTTCCAACAACGTAAACAAATGAAAATTAAAAAGAAATAGGTAAGTGGATTTTATGAATTCTTATATTTGCCGAAAAAAATCGTTAGATTTGCGCTAAATTTGGACGTTATGAATGTTTTAGCTTACATTATTATTTATTTAAAACGAACTTTATTTAGTTGTTCATGAATTATTTAAATAATGAAATACACATAACTTTCATATTTATAAACAATAGGATTAATTAGACCTTTCAAATAGTGTATGGCCAAACATGTAGTAGCAAAGATGTTAATTTCAGCAGATAATTCCTTGATAAATGTTGGTTTCATCTATCACACAACAGTCTCTGGGAACTTGGTGTCACAGCAGTAATCTTCTGGTTTGCTGGTGTTGAAAGAGTTAAACGTTGCCCATGCTGCCAAAATAGCAGCGTCTTTCATGCATTTCCACCCATGACATGAATATTGTTATGTTGCCATCCTTGCACAAGCTGAGTGCCAGGGATATAAGAAAATGTTCTTGAAAAATTGAGTTATTTTACTTTTATTACGCCAGGATATTTTTTTTCATACCTACCTAACTTTTTAGGACAAAATTCAGGTAAAAAAAATGTGAGAGGCTTTTTTTTTTTTTTTTTTAAATTGGCCTGCCTCACTTTTGAAATGAGTTTGAAATCCGTAAACCAAGAAATAAAAAAAGTGTCGCCCTATGGACCTTGTTATTCATGCCAATGGACCATGTAATACTTACCTATGGACCATGCAATACTTACCCATGGACCATGTAATACTTACCTATGGACCTTGTTATTCATGCCAATGGACTATGTAATACTTACCTATGGACCATGCAATACTTACCTATGGACTATGTAATACTTACCTATGGACCATGTAATACGTACCTATGGACCATGTAATACTTACCTATGGACCATGTAATACGTACCTATGGACCATGTAATATGTACCTATGGACCATGTAATACGTAAGTATGGACCACGTCATACGTACCTATGGACCATGTAATACGTACCTATGGGCCATTAGCTGCATCATACATTAGTTGTGGAGAGTTGCATCAATTTCCAGATTTCGCTGTGATTATGATTCTTAGTTTGTTGGCACCAAACCTTGCAGATCAGTGTCCCTCTGTGCTCTCCTTCCACATGAAGCTGACACACTGTGGTATAACTGAAATACTGTTCAAAGTGACACTAAACCAAACTCTTGTATTTGTGCTCAATATTCACAGAAAAACAATGTTGTATTGTGTGTGTTGTTTCAGCTTGAAGAGTGCCAGGCCTTTGAGATCCTGAAGTTCCTGATGTTTGAGTTGGGCCTTCGACAGCAGTACCGACCCAACATGATGGCACTACAGGTGATTGGTGTTAGAGGTTGCCCAATAGACTAAATGCTGTAGCCAGGGCCTTGTGTGATGCTGTAGCTAGGGCCTTGTGTGATGCTGTAGCTAGGGCCTTGTCAGATGCTGTAGCTAGGGCCTTGTCAGATGCTGTAGCTAGGGCCTTGTGTGATGCTGTAGCTAGGGCCTTGTCAGATGCTGTAGCTTGTGTCTTGTGTGAAACTGACATTTTGTCTCCCATGTAGTTAGATGTCATTCATTACCTTTGATACCAGACAGAGATACATGATCAACCTGTTTATATTATGTTCACGATTCACTAGGACTTTTTAGGACTCGTCCGGAAAAATTAAAAATCATGGCTTCTTTTGAAAAAGCTGAATCGCCATTCTTTTTGGTCATTACCTAAGTACAGGTATTCGATGTGACTTTTGCTGGGTTTATCTACTACCTGGCAGACCTTTCACTGCGTGATGTGTTGATGTTCAATTTGTTTAAAAAGGAAATCATTTATCTACAGACAATGAGAGTCTACACTAACTTCAGGATTCAATAACCCCTCTTCTAAATGTGGCATTGATGATAAAGCACTGAAAATAGAATTATGAGTTTTGGGTAAATTTATATTTTAAAAAACCACGATTCCCATGAAACCCCAACTTGAACCCCTCCTTGTGTTGCTCAGATCAAACTGTACCAGCTGACACGCCTGCTGCATGACCACCACAAGGACCTGTACAACCACTTCGAGACCCATGAGATCGCCCCCACTCTGTACGCTGCCCCGTGGTTCCTCACGCTCTTCGCCTCACAGTTCCCCCTCGGCTTCGTGGCCAGGGTGTTTGGTGAGTCAACCTTCATACAACTTAGCCTCTTTCACTCATGAAGATCCGGGTTAGAATGAGTCCCTTGCAACTTATGATTGTTGTAACACTTGACTTAAGGGATCGGTTGGTCAGACTCAGTGATTTGGTGGATTGTGTTTCGTCATATCCTACATTGAGAGATGTTGCTCATTATATCAATCACTGGTTTGCCTGGTGCAGAATCAGTCATTTATAGGCCGCTGTCATGTAGATGCAATATCGTTTAGAGCGGCATTAGTGAAAACAAACGAACGAAACTGGTTGATTATTGACAGTTATGTGCCTGGAACATTGCTGACTGTTGCATAAAGCAACATTTAATCATTCACTCTTAAAAAAGGCGGGCGGTCGGGTAGCCTAGTGGTTAAAGCGTTCGCTCGTCGCGCCGAAGACCCAGGTTCAATTCCCGACACGGGTACAATGTGTGAAGCCCATTTCTGGTGTCCCCCGCCGTGATATTGCTGGAATATTGCTAAAAGCGGCGTAAAACCATACTCACTCACTCTTAAAATAGGACAAACATGAAGTGGCTTTCTGGAAGACAAATAATCAGTGTCTCTTTCTTCTTCAGATATGATCTTCATTCAGGGCACGGATGCCCTGTTCAAGGTGGCGCTTGTGTTGCTAGGCAACCACCGTGAGCTGATAATGCAGTGTGACTCATTTGAGAATGTGGTTGAATTCTTGAAGACAACCCTACCTGAAATGGTGCATGTACAGATGGAGAGAGTCGTTAACCAGGTGAGACAAACTACAGGTGTGGATACAGTCAGTGCCTGCAGGGTTGTATGTTTACAAGGGCTGTAAGGTAGCACAGTTATCAGAGCATTGGCTGATCAATCCATAGGCCTTGTTTTAATTCCCCCAAAGTGTACGTTGTGTGAAGGCCATTCTTGGTAAAAGAAGGGTTTCAGCAACATGTCTGTATGTCAGGATGGTCCAAACACAGCTTTACCATTCTTCAACGTTAGATATAAAGAATATAGCAAAACGAGTTTAAGCGAGCCCAAAATTCCATGGACAGCAGGAGATTTGGACAATTTGACTAGTTGTTCAAGGAGTCACTATTTGCTCTCAACATCATTGTCATAAACGATGTTGCAGAAGTATTTGTTTTCTATTTCATAGAATTTTTTGCACCATTTCTTTCCTATTTCTTTATAGATGTTTGTACCAAAATTAGGTTAAAGTGTCATAAAATTATTTCTTCTAGAATCAGGTGAGCTACAAAGCCTTGTGGCTCTGTTGTTTCTATTAAAATATTCAATGTGTGCATTTCAGATTCTTGGGTACTATTGCTCATTATTTTGTTATAATATTTTAAGGTTTGGTAACAAAATTGACGAACTGATCACCTTCGATTTTCATACTTTTGTTAATCTGATAATTGTTAGAAATTTACCCTTTCATCCTTCCAGGCCTTTGATCTGGACATCACGGCTCAACTGCGATCCTACGAGGTGGAGTATCACGTGCTACGGGAGGAGATGATGTACTCCCCACAACGAGGCGAGTCTGACCTCGTCATCAAACTAGAGGGCATTAACCGTAACCTACGGCAACAGAACATGGAGCTTCTGGAGAAGCTGCAGCAGGCTCACGGACAGACGCACAGCCTCGAGATCACTGTTCACAACCACCAGGTCGGCGAGGCAAAACTCAAGTCACACATTCGTACGCTGGAACTGGAGAGAGCTGCTCTGCTGAACGCAGTCACCAAACTGCGGCAACACGTTTCGGCCGAGGAATATGAAAAGTTGGATCTCACCCTTCCGATTTTTTCGCCTTCATTGCCAATAAGTCCAGTTCATGGATTCATTAACCATAGACTTCCTGTGTCCAAATCAGCCAATCAGCCCTTAGCTGATGAGCATAGTGGGAAAACTTCGCGGCACACAGACAGTACAAAACAGGACCAAAAACCAAGACATGCGGGACTTACAAAGCACAGTTCTCATTAGCGTGTATTGTGGTGTGGTGGTTGGATGGAGGTAGATTTGGCTTGTCAATTCAATTCGTGAATGTTATTGTAACATACTTTGAACTGAGCAGGCCTGAAAGTGTTGATACTCCATGTTATTTCTCTGCTATGTTCATAGGTGTATTGATCTGAAGATATTAAGATACTATTTTTATGGGGAAATAATATACACCTGAATCTCATTACACAGTGCAATATCTTTGCTCAAGTCTTCGCTTGGGAGCTTAGAACAATTTTTGAGTCCTATGCCAGTTACGAAACACATGCTCAAGAACAAAATATGTTATTTTATAGAAATCTATTGGTTCTACAAGTTAAGAATGACTTTTACTTGACCGCGGTAGTGTTCACATGTTACAGACTAATACGATCTGGATCTCTCCGTCAGAGATTAGCTCAGTAGCTAGTGCTGTGCCATCATAACAAGACTCAAGTTTGTTTCCAGATTGGGTATGGAATACGAGCTCATTGTTTATGTCCCCTGTTGACAGCCTGCGTAAGGCCCTACTACTCACAATCACAAGGATAGCTTCCATTCCAGAACCCAAATCAAGACAGTTCATCTCTATGGAACTGGGCACACACTCCTGGTTGTCTGGTGCCTTTTGACCTTGACCACTTGGCAGTTGTGTTACTTTTGCATTTACAAGCAGATGTGATCAGTTTGTGCTGAGAGAAGATTCAAAGAACTAAGGAGATCAGCTTCTGATGAGTATTTGAGCGTTGCCCGTTGAGCATTTGATTTCAATTTTTTACCTTGGTGTTCAGTCTCAAACTGATTGCATTTTGAGGGCGACTATGCTTGTCGTATGATGCGAATAACAGGATCAGGTGGTCAGGCTTGGTTGATGCATGTCACGTATCCCAATTGCGTGGATCGATGGTCATGATGTCAATCACTGAAATGTCTGGTCCAGACTCGATTATTTACAGACGTCATATAGCTGAAATATTGCTGAGTGCAGTGTTAAACAACAAACAGACAAACAAAGCATTTTGGGTAATCCAAGGAAGGTCAAGGTTCGTCAGTCATAAACTGTGATAGCCCAGTGGTTAAGGTGTTTGCTCTTCACACCAGGACTTAGGTTCAATATCCAAACGGGTTCATTGTGTGAAATACAACAGTATTGCTAAAAGCTACATACAATTTAGCTTACTTGCTACTTGTCATGTTAGACTATACGTTGCTATTCATACAGATGGTTGAATACGATAATTATAAGGATGTAGACAACACTGTTGTGTTGCTAACGTTGTGATGATTTGTTCTATTTGCCTCCTCCAACCACACTTGTATATCTGTGCAATACTGTAATCATGTTCTTCTGTATATAGTTTCTCTTGTGTGGTTGTCATGACAACAGTATGTCAGGAAATTTACCGTTTATATTAGTTTGACCTCCTGGCCAGCAGTGGAGTTGAGGGCTCCAAGGACCCGCTCCACAAACCATCCTTAGAGCACTAGGACTACCACAGCTCCGTTACTTTTACTTCGGGACAAGTCATTTCTACAAAATAAAAACTATTTAATGAATGTTTTTATTTGAAAAAATGACACAGCGAAATTTGAAATTTGGGGGTTGCCAAAAATTTATCCCAAATATGTGGCAGGGTGGGGTGGGACATGAAACTTGCCTGGTTCTAATTTTTTTTTTAATTTTTGGAGAATTTTTATTATTATTTAGGGACTGGACACTTGTTAGGGAAGGAGGGGGAGGGGTAGCAAATATGTTACCTGTATTTCTTTTTGGGAGGTTGGGAAAATGATAGTCCTAAGACCATTTTGACCACCCATTCCAACCCCGCCACAACACACCATCACCCCCCTAAAATAACTGACCTATCCCTTACCTGTAATAGTCATGGCACTTATATCAAATTGTCAAAGGTGTTGTATAAACACATCACAGATACTCCTGCTGTGTGTGATGTGTAGCAGTTGTTGAAAAATGTTCTTTCAAATGATATGAATTTCAAGTATGTCTCTTACAGTGTCACTGTATCGACATTTATTGGGGTTATTGTAACTTTTATCAATATATCATTGTAAAATTGACATAATATGAAACTGATAGAAAGACAATGTTAAGAAGTTACATTCTGTAAAATGTGCTACTCAAAAAGGTCAATGACCACCCAATTCTTTCATATCATGGCATGATGGATTAACAATAGTAATATGAAAGAATTGTGTTGTCCTTAACTCTTTTTTTAGTAGTGTGTAAAAAGAACATTGATTAAAACTGTGACATCAACACAGAGTGACACTGTGCAGTACATGTAATTTAAACTGCAATGCATCACAAACCTTGCGATTTGGCCTTCTATCTGCGATGTGGTTTAAGTAAGGGATGCTTCCTCGATTAGATTGGAGCTGTGACATATCGCCAAACAACACCACAGTCGTACTTCATGCAATGTTGTTCATGCAATGTAGTTCATGCGATGTTGTTCATACAATGTAGTTCATGCGATGTTGTTCATACAGTGGGCTCATGTTCCACCAAGTGTTCTTAGTGCCAAGAAATCGCAACCCCCAAAGACTTACACCAGATCTCTTTGTGGAACGGGTCACAAAGATGTCAAGGGTCACATCTTGGGTCATGATTCTGAAGTTATTTTGAGGAGCGGTTTTCTTGACATATTTCCCTGAAGCTCTCTCCTGACTGCTGGACCTCGGCCAACCAGAACAGGATTTAGTCCACTTTGTCTGTTAGTGTCAATTATGTATATATTCCACCACAGCACAACTTGATATGGTACATGTCCTTCATATGGGCTAGATGGTATAAAAAGGTTGCCCTGAACAAGGACATGTATCATGCAATTCTGGTTACAGGTTCATATATTTACAATGTATCCAGATAGAAGATATGTACGAGAATAGGTGTTCGAATGTAGCCGTGTATAGGTCCGATATGTTGCTGCAATTATTTGGAATGTAAATGGAAACTTCTCTGTCGGAATATGGCATGGCTGACAGTCATTTCTTTAAAAGAAGCAAGTGATAAAACCTTGCAATCAGAAGCACAAAAAAATGTGGGTCATGGCCGTGTGTGTTCAACATTTCTTTCAGCATCTATTACGTCTTGTACATACAGCAAAACCCCATTAATCCAGACCTGTGCCCCAGTCCATCTGGGAACATCTGTCTAAAGGGACATTACTCCATTTCATTACTCCATTATTCGATAATATTGGAATTTGTTAATCCAAATTATTTCCCGAGAATACTGTCCAAATTAATGGGGCTTTGTTATAACGTGCCTCAGTATAATGGGCCTGTACATATTGTAGATGCAAGACAGCAACACCTATTTGTCATTAGTTGTTTGTTTTATCTTTGTCAACAAGGGAGTCAATAGGTGCCATGGGTAGACATCATATGTCAAATACCACTTGTCATTAGTTCACTTTGACCTTGTCATGTTTAACATAACAAAGGAAGGACCTCTACTGGAGATGGGTACCAACCAGTGGAATCATTCCATTATTTTGAATCCAATACTGCCAGGGTGATTAGTGAAATATGTTATGAAGTTTGTTCAAAATACATTACCTAAAAAGTAAGGTAGATATTGACCTTGCTACAGGCATCGTTACATACATAACTAATTAATGATAAATTGTTTAGCTTGTGATGTGAAATTTTACAGATTTGGAGGAGTTTGGGTTATGATATAAGCGTAATGCTATTTTTCAGGGCATTATCATTTGCAGAGGTCTTCCATTAACTGTACGACGAAGGAGGGCAGCTGAAAAGACTGAGGGCTTCTGCAGATGATTATGCCCTGAAAAATAGCGTTACCCTTATTATAGCTGAATTGGATCAAATTTGTTATTAGATAAAAATAAACAACAATATCTGTTTTGAATTATCTACTGCAATCAACACACAATGAATTTCACTGACCCACTTTTACAAACATGAAAATCATATAAATAATTATCTTTAATTTCTTTCAAAAGTTAGTAAGTTTAGACAGCAGTTGTCCCAGATATTCCTCATTGCCTAAAATTAGGGTTGTCCTCTCGTGGCCAGTGACATTTAAAACCCTGGGCAGTAGGACAAGTGAACTAGTGGCGGGTGTAACCCTGTAACCCTGCAGTGGAATCTCCTGTAAGCAGGTTCCCTCAATAGATGCTGACAACATCACTGTGAAGTGTTCCTCATCACTGTACATGTGTGATGTACTTAAGTCAGTCTTGCTCATGCCGTGGAAGTCTCTTTAAACATATTCTGCTCCAAAGAAGTTAAGGATCACCCAATTTTTGTATTATTTTTTTGTAGTTAATCTGTCATGGCATGTTAAAGACTAGTAATCACATGCGATGACAGATTAACTACACTAATATGAAAGAATTGGTTGGCCTTAACTTCTTTTGAGTAGCATATATGTCAATTACTGTATGATACAATTCAGGATCTCATGGGTGTTGTCATGGTAATTTCGCCAAGGAAGTTGTGTAAATGTTATATTTATTCAAAATATTGTTAGCTCTTGTTTTGCATTTGTTCCAACGAAACAAATACAAAGTGCCATTACATGCCAAATTTATGTTAGACATGATGAAAACATTAAACTGACATATCTATTGAAACTTTTGTTTTGTTGAAGAATGTCTGTTAGTGTATGGAGATGTAATGACTGGAAGAGAACTGGTTTCTTGTGATGCCTGCCATTTCATGACCTAGAGTACATTAAGGTTATTGTTGACAAGACTTAACATGTGTCACTAGCAGGGTGTACAGAATATTATGAGCTTAATGGGCGTGTACACCACGAGACCGAAGTTCAGGTCATAACATCCCATACACCCCGCTACTCACACATGTAACAGACTGATCATGTGTCCACCAGTTACAGAAGGTAATTTTCAGTTCAATTTTGTTTGTGTGACAATATAGATCAGCCTTGTGACCGCCAGTGGGATCACCATGATAACTTAAAATGTGAACGAGGTCAGTTATGGCATGACAAACAGATGATCATATTAACACTACAGGTGATTTGTAAGATCTTTACATGACAGCGACTAGCCAATCAGAGAGCAGGATTTCATTTCACTTAATGATAATACTTTATACACACAACTGTTTAAGTAAAGTCGTGCCATGTCTGTTCATAGTTAGACTTGTAACAGAAATAGCAGGACTTGTAGGAATTCAGTCCTACATTTGATCAAAAGATCAAATTTAAAACAAATTGTACCTGTTTTAACATACTCCACAAAGCCTGTACTCCAATATTAACTTTGTTTACGTTTCTGTTTTGTCCCCATCTTTCTAGCATTTAGTGTTAGCTGATGTGTGAACCAAGGAATGTTGTGTGTGGTCATAGTTTGGACCGTGTTTCAGTGCTTCCATAAGGTCGGTCCTTCCCATGTGATATTGCATGATATTGCACAGTGCATAGTTACTCATCGATCACTGCCATGTGATAACACATTGCATATATTAGACTTGTCCTGTTATCCACTACTTGAAACATTTGGAATGAGATCAAAGATTTGAGTTAGATTTGATTTAGAGTTTACTGGTCTTCAGCAAAGCTAGTCATGAGAGGTGATCTGGTGATCAGACTCAGTGACTTGGTTCATGTGTGTTATGGTATGCCAATTGTGTACATTATGCTCATAATATCAATCACTGGTTTGCCTGATCCAGCCTTGATTATTTCAGGAATGCTGTCATATAGCTGGAATATTGCTGAGTGCGGCATAAACAAAAAGCAGGTAGATTTCTTATAGTCTTTTATGCTTTTATCAACACACCTCATTATTCAAACTATGGATACTCAATATTATTATCATGTGCGTTACATGCAGTCACATGTGTTTGTTATTTAGCTTTCTGATCCTAAGATCAGAATCAAGGACTGAATTATAAAACATATTTTCAAGCTATGTGCTTAAAAGTCACAATTTCATGTGCCAAGTGAGTTTGTATGTTTAGGCCAGATGTTTCTCTTACATTTTGGTTTACTGATTTTGACAGTGTCGGTAGTCAAAAATATATAAATAATAACAAAAAGTACTGTACAGGATTTTTTTAATCATCTTAAAGTTTGATTTTGATTGATAGGTGATTAAAAATATCCTAGGAAAAAAAATATGTTTTAGTCCTAGAAAAATCCCTTGGACTACTTTCATTATCAAAGTGATATTTACCGTGGTATAACAAATTATATTGTCTTTCTGATGATTTTTTTGAAAGTCCTGAGCTTTATATTTTTAAGGTCGAAAGATCTGTAAACCAAGGAAGACAAAATTGAAATATACAGTTGTAGATGAATCTAGTCAGTCAGACACCTCCTTCCCTGCAAGGCAGGTCCATCTCTGTCAATAGACCTGCAGCTGTTGGATCTCTCATACCAGAACCTACACTTGTCATGAGGGGGCACAGGTGGCCCAGTCGTCTAAGGCGCCGCGATTTGCTGTGCAGATTGCGTCCCTTGGGCACGCCAGAAACCTATGATTGTGGGTTCGAATCCTGGTTCGCCCCGATTATGTTTCTAGGTTTGTCAGCACCTTACCTGTGCTTGTGGGTTTCACCGAAGTGGTAAACGTCTGAGACCTGCATCACTTCGGGCTTTCCTCCCACATTAAGCTGACACGCCGTGATATGACTGGAATACTGTTAAAAGCGGCGTTAAACCCCACTCACTCACTCACTTGTCATGAGTTGCTGTTAAAAGATGTTAAAATGCCCTGCGGAATGAGGCCTATGAAGTTTGTTGTAGGAACACAGTATTATGTGCCCTGTGAAAATATTACTGAGAAGATAGGTTACAGTGGATATGTCTTATTACAAAACTACCATATAATCAACTGTAGAATTTTTAGTACATTTTCCTCCTCTGTACATTTGTATAGATTAATACACAGACCTAAACAGTACTTAATCTAGGTCTGTAGGTAAATTCAGTATGTACATATTTTATATCATTCCAACGTAGGCATTACAGTTTTAGCGACAATAGTGTACTTGTATATACAAGAAGTTGTAATCTCAGGTCAGAATGTAATGGCCTGTTAATCTTATCTCATGTGTCACATATGCTATTTTCCTGTCACTAATAATTATTATTGCACGTTTAGAAACTTCAGACAATATTCAGCATCCCACTGAATTAGACATTGTTCACTGAAAGAAGGGAGGTTTTTGTATGTCTGTGAGCTGACATATGCTAGTTTCATTTGCAATTTGAAGATACCTGACATTGATGTATGGCTAAGTTCCATAATAAAGTGTTTGATATATTGTATGGACATTTGTCTATCTCCACATGGCAAGTACCTGTAGTTAATTACGCAGGAAATAAAATTCTATTACAGTCAACACAGGTGTGATGGGATAATGATGATATACTGAGATGGATTTTGCTGGGGATACGTAAGTGATTTACGGTAATTCTTGCGAATCCTCTACCTCTATTACATCTTTGCCATAAGTTATTTATCTAATATCTGTACTATCTGATCTTGGTGCTCAGTGATCAGTGACAGTGTTCAGAATTAGTGATGTAAGAGTTCCTCATCACTGGTCGGGTAGCCTAGTGGTTAAAGCGTTCGCTCGTCACGCCAAAGACCCGGGTTCGATTCCCGACATGGGTACAATGTGTGAAGCCCATTTCTGGAATATTGCTAAAAGCAGCGTAAAACCGTACTCACTCACTCATCACTGGAACTGATATATGAAATGCTCTAGCCAAAACCCCTAGGACCAACATGAAGTTAGAACAATGCACTGATCCTATTATTGTAACAGACACAATAATCTTGACACTTAAGGTAATTTTGTACATGTGAGGTGAGGTGAAATGGTGTGTGTGGGTGTGCGTGGGTGTGACTAATGCTGGTTTTATTGTGCTAGCCCACTGAGATACCATGCAGCAGTTTATTATGAATATCCACTCAGACACATTATACTGACTCAGATCTGGCCATGCAGGCCATTGAGGGAGTCATTTCCGTAAACAAGTGTGAGTGAGTGAGTGAGTTGGGTTTAACGCCGCTTTTAACAGTATTCCAGTTATATCACGGCGTGTCAGCTTAATGTGGGAGGAAAGCCCGAAGTGATGCAGGTCTCAGACGTTAACCACTTCAGTGAAACCCACGAGCATGGGTATGGTGCTGACAAACCTAGGGCGAACCGGGATTCAAACCCACAATCATAGGTTTCTGGCGTGCCCAAGGGACACAACTGTGCACAGCGAATCGCGACGCCTTAGACAACTGGGCCACCTGTGCCCCCCCGAAACAAGTACCATTGTTTAACATGTTGTGGTATGACGCAGTGGGGGATCAAACCACCGACCTTCTGCTCTCTGGGTAGATGCTCTATTCACTAGCCTACGGAGATGGTCCTTCGTATATTTGGGGACTGATGTAACTGTTATTGACAGAGGATGAGTGACAGTACTTTAAAGGGGCAAGGCGGGGCTGAATCCTATTGTTCTCGCTGCTGTTCAATTTTTAATCAAAATAAAGGACTTTCACAAGTTGTCTGTCTTAGAGCACAGCCATTTACTTGAGTTCCACATTTAGCATATTCTTTGTACATGGTGAACAGCTCACACTTTCCACTCAGACCCAGGAAGATCCGGGGTAGAATAGGACTTCAGCAACCCATGCTTGCCGTAAGAGGCGACTATGCTTGTCATATGAGGCAACTAACAGGATCGGGTGGTCAGGCTCCCTGACTTGGTTGATGCATGTCATCGTATCCCAATTGCGTGAATCGATGCTCATGATGTCAATCACTGGATTGTCGGGGCCAGACTCGATTATTTACAGACCACCGTCATATAGCTTGAATATTGTTGAGTGCAGCATTAAACAAAGAAACAAACAAAAACTTTCCACTTGGTCCGCGTCCAAGCAATCTTCTTGATTGTACATACAGCACTGAAGTAAAACATGCAAGATTATAGTACACTGGCCATATTAGGGTGGATATGATGATATACTACTCAACTTTTGATAGCGAAAATTAGATTCTATTTAAATATACACTTGACATAGACATGTTATGACAATCAGTTTTGTGTATCGTGGAATAGTGTACTACACATGACCCAAATGATGAACACCCATTGGCTCAGAGCTTTTAGCGGTGCTCTAACATGTAGAGATCAGGGTGCCGTTGTACAAAGCGATCTTAGCGCTAAGATGATTGTAACTCCCATACCATAACAGACTTACGACAGTCATAGCCCTAAAGTTGTTTTGTATTATGGCACCCTGTGCCCCATTCCACAAAGCGATTGTAGCGCTACGACTATCGAAAGCCAGTGTTAAACTATGGGAGTTACGATTATACCATAGCACTACGATCGCTTTGTGGAACGGGCCCTGGACACACATTGTCCTTGGGGCGGTCGGGTAGCCTAGTGGTTAAAGCGTTCGCTCGTCACGCTGAAGACCCGGGTTCGATTCCTGACATGGGTACAATGTGTGAAGCCCATTTCTGGTGTCCCCCGCCGTGATATTGCTGGAATATTGCTAAAAGCGGCGTAAAACCATACTCACTCACTCACACATTGTCCTTACTACTGTGATACTATACCGACTACTTTCAGGTCTAATTGGCCGTCACTACACATAACATATTTCTGCTATTATGTGCCTGGCCTCCAATACTTGTGGCCTCTAATTGACACCGGGTTATACGCTCTATAACAAATAGACGCCAGGCCTCTAATAGAGGCTGGGTGCATCATTTGATGAAATTATCCCTATCACATTAAATTACGGCAAGTAATGATTACTCCCTTCTCTTAATAATGACTGTTTCCTGCAAATGTAATCTTTGTAGGACTGTAGAACTTGGGATTGGATAGGGTAATAAGTTGCCACTGTGCCAGCGTTAAACAGAATAGAATCCAGATCAGTGGCTTGCCTGAAATTAAGACGCCTGGACGTCTAATAGAGGAAATGTGGTACATTGTCATGGTTAAATAGCCAGGGGGACCTACACTTTGTGTCCTGTGTAGTAATGGTAGGAGGTGGAGGGATATTTACCCAAGATTTATTATGAATATTATTCTAAATGTTGGGTGTATTTTTTAACCAAAGTGTACTTTTTCTGCCATGATATTAACAGGTGATTAAGGCTTGGAATGTTGGAGGGGTTCTCAAGCATGGCATTAATAAAACTGCTGAGCATCCTAACTTTCACAGCACTTTGCTCCTATCTGATGACAAGGCCACGCCAATTTATTTAGTGTTTTATGCATAAGACTGCCGAAGTTCTGCAAAAGGAAAAAAAGATTAAAGGCTGTGTTTTATTGAAAATATGCCCATTATGGATAAACAAAATTGGATTTTTTTTAACTTTAGGAAATTATTCAAATGAACCCTTAAAACATTTCCTTTACTTTCTGCCTTTCTGAATGCTGACCAAGCTTATTTGTAAAACGTGACATCAAATAGGTCCTCATCCTCATCCACAAAGTGATGATAGTGCAAGACACTTGTTACTCTTGTACTTTCACACTGACTGACAACAGTCATATACCCCTGTGATGATCCAGCTTAGAATTGGTGTTCAGCAACCCATGCTTCTTGTAAGAGGCGACTAACAGGATCAGGTGGTCAGGGTCGTAGTGATTGGTTAAAGCATGTCATCATGTTATGGTAACTTTGTGGAACAGGGCCCTAGCCTGTACATGACAACTCACCCAGGTAGTAGTACTAACTTCCCCTTCACACAGCAATTAAAATGTCACCTGCATGTTCTATTTAAGTTATGTTAACCGAGGACTTTCTTTTCATATTTCAGTCTGACTTGAGAGCCTGTACTCTAGTATTGTGTAGAGGGGCGGTCGGGTAGCCTTGTGGTTGAAGCGTTCGCTCGTCACGCCGAAGACCCGGGTTTGATTCCCGACATGGGTACAATGTGTGAAACCCATTTCTGGTGTCCCCCGCCGTGATATTACTGGAATATTGCTAAAAGCGGCATAAAACCATACTCACTCACTCACTAGTATTGTGTAGATGGTTTCACCACAGTTAGTCAAGGTGCAGTGAGATTAGCTTTACCTCAGCGTACAAGTTCGGAGTAGATTCTTTGAACATGGTACGGCAGAACCAAGTTTTGTACCACAATGTATGCAGAACCCATTGCTTGTGTCACAAATATATATCATAGCCAAAGCTGTATGAATTTATCTGCTACCAGAAGCAGCAATAAAATATATAACACTGCCGGTCTTTCTGGTTTGTTTATTATTGTTGCTCACAATATCAATCACTGGATTGTCTGGGCCAGACTCGATTATTTACAGGCCACCGTCATAGCTTGAATATTGCTGAGTGCGGTGATAAACATCTCACCCTCTCAGGGACACCACCGCATCACTCCACACATTGACACTGCTAGCATGGCTCCATGTCCCACAATGCCTTGTGTCAGGAACATTTATGCAATCCAGGCAATTAGGGGAAGCTGTTTTAACTAGGAATCCACCCACGATCATTGCTCATGAGATGTTATACTGACAAGCCAACTGTTTGGTTTTGCCCCTTCATGCTGAGCTCCAGGGACGGTAACAAGTACCATCTTTTAACATCTTTTGTTATGAGGAAGCCGGGGGATAAAACCACAAACCTCCCGCTCTCCGGACAGCTGCCCATTATCATGTGAAGGAGTGAGCGAGTCAGTTGGGTTTAATGCCGCTAATAACAGTATTCCAGTTACATCATGGTATGTCAGCTTAATGTAAGAAAAAAGCCTATAGTGACACAGGTTTCAGACGTTTACCACTTTGCTGAACCTCATGAGCACAGGTATGGTGCTGACAAACCTAGAGTGAGTGAGTGTGTGTGTATATGGTTTTACGCCCCTTTTAGCAATATTCCAGTAATATCATGGCGGGGGACACCAGAAATAGGCTTCACACATTGTACCCATGTCGGGAATCGAACCCGGGTCTTCAGCGTGCGAGCGACCGCTTTAACCACTAGGCTACCTGACCGCCCCGACAAACCTAGAAAATTTATCAGTGCGAATGAGGATTTGAACCCATGTCCCCATCAGATGAAGGAGACCATGCAAGCTGCTAAAGATGCAGAAAAAAAGTATACATCTGTTCATTGAAAAATACAAACTTTCAACTACATTTCAAATATATATACACTTTATTGATATCACAGACATAAAACATTCAGATAAACATGGACACCACGAAATCAAACTTAACAATACTCTTCAACATATGCACGTTAATAATTTCCCCTCTGATGAGAACCACACTGGATTTTAGACATGTTCGATAATTAACAATTTTCATGATCAAGTACAAGAATAGTTCAAACAAGAATATCGAAAGTTGATAAAGTTGATTATTATTTTTATAAAATGACAGAAAATTTGAAGAAACATTTCAAAAAGTCCCACAATATTCTCCAAAAGACAATGGTAGAAACAAAGTACCGGTACATAAAATTGTTACAAAGTGTCAAAATGCATAAATCATGGAATAAATAAATCAGAAAAACTATGATTGGAATATGATGATAAGTGTTAACAGTGCTCAACATACTGGAAGTGAGTTGCAATCAAGGAAGTATATGCATAATTATCAAACTTGAGATTCACTGCCGGACAGGTCACGATATGGCTGAAATACTGCAGATGTAACTTTAGATATTAACTCACTCTCAATCACACACCAGATGGCCATAATTATTGAGTGGTCCTCTGCAAATGTTGAATAGTATACTTTTATCAAGGTTCTGTCAACAGAACACAATCTGGCTACTCCATACTGAAAGCGCCACAATCAAAGCTTTGAATGGACAGAATACTACTCAAAAGAAGTTACAGACCACACGATTCTTTCATATTGATATAGGTAATCTGAAATGGCATATCAGATTAAGTATAGCAGTGGTCCTCGGGTGGTCCTTAACTTCTACTGAGTAGTATAGATTCTGGTATATTCACCATGACACAATAACTGACAAGCCTGAACCTCATACACGCAAGTATGAAGCCATTCAAAATATGATCAGAAAGTATTATTTCTAAAGATGTAAAGTGTAACATTGGACTAGTATTAAAAAGATAAATGTCACTGTGACCCTCACTGTTGAGATGGTTGGAGAGGCTGTTCATGACAGTAAAACTTTCGGTATAAAATTCAACAATCTATATTTAAACATGACGAAATGAAACTGCAGAGAATGCAGGATAACAATCATTGCACACAATCTTTGAAAGTATTCCCCATTCCACAATACGCTTAATACACCCTGGAAGAAACTATGGTACATTCCATGTCTTTATCTGGACAATACCATTCAGGCCACTAAGGTAGGATAGGTTGAATGCCAAGTCATTTCCTCATCATCTGTTTCAGGAAACTTCGCACATTGATTTTTCTTGCTGTTGATGCTGCTGCAATAGACGGAAACTCCGATCAGGACCATACACTCACGCTGACACTTTCACTGCCTACAAATTACAAGTTGACAAGGAAATAATAAATATAAATTTATAATCAGCATGTTGTAAATAGCAAATAAATCAAATGCCCCTAGAACCATAACAATCATGTTAGAAGAAAGTCTCGCCAAGCTGACACTGGCTCATTAACATGATCAATAAATAACCCAATATGACCATTTTTTGTTTTAGCAATATGGATCCCTGGCCACTTATTTCTGACATCTGGTCCATCATTTTCACAGACAATTTGTCTCTTGACAAAAGTATTCAGATAATTCTGGAGCTACAATAGGCATGATAGGTTCATAAACTAATAAAAACTTCAGAACAACAGTCAAATCCAGATACAATAATTTCTAATGGAGCATTATCATGAAATTTGTGATTAAAATGAACAATGTTCGTTTCCAATAATCAGCAAATGAAATTTGGTTTGTTGTGGGTGAAATGATTCCCTATATACTCGACTTCAACATGTTTCAATATATCATGCATGAAGGTCCCAATAGTCTCTCTCCCAGACCCTAGACAAACAAAAAAAGGAGTCCTACTCAACACTAGGCTGATTGGGCAAGTCTAGATTGCCTCAGTTAACTTATAACTGGGACAATGTCAGTCTATGTCCCCACTGTAGGGCTGGGAGGACTCCAAATTTACTACCCGGGTATCCTACCCCCTATTACCCTACCCTACCCGGGTACCGGCTGTAGGTCTCAATAGGTAGGTACAAATTGTCCGATTGGGAAAAGGTTGACCGTAGCTCTGGAAAAATGTGTTTAGATATATGTATGCAACAATCTGTATACATACACTGAAGTTGACTGAAGTTTTATTTTTATTCAAACATATAAAAGCCAGAAGGAATGGGCGTAGTAGTCAGGAAGAACTGTGAACATTAGTGACTTGTAGTTCAAACATAGAGTTTTAGATAAAACATTATATCACGCGACTAACCACGGGTCCGGGTAGTCCTGTGGGTACCCAGGTCCTACTCAGTACCCACCCGACCCGAGTACCCGAGTTACCCGTCCCAGCCCTACCCCACTGCCTATGCAGCTGCACCTACCCTCCTCCTCTGATCCCTCCTGGCCTCCTCCTCACTGGCTGCCAGGGCCTGGGCCAACAGCTGGTCTTCCTGCTCCTGGGCTGTCAGGCTGAAACAAACATAAACACGTACACATGTTTGTTGCTTACACCGTGTGGCGAGGCGTGGAGTCATCCCACAGATGACATCCTTACCATGTCAGCTTGCTGGTCATGTGGACAAGGCGTCCGACCTCTGATCAGAAGGTTCGTGGGTTCGAATCCCATCACAGAACTTGGAAATTTTATGGCCGCCTCAACCACCCTCAACAATATTCCACCTAAATGACGACAGCCTGTAAATAGTCGATCGGGACCAAAAAATTCAATGATTGATCTGAAGGGCAATGATCTATGCCATCAGGTGTACATGACATGCAATCAACCAAGTCACCACTCATCACCTGATCCACTAAATCGCCTCTTACGACCAGTGTTGGTACTATTCACTATCTTTGATGATGGAAATGTTTCCTTAACATGTATTTCAGTTTCCATGTAAGGTATATCACATCATGTATCATACATGTGTCATATCGCGTCACTAATATCGAGATAAGTATTATATCGCAATGATGTGCAACGTTACAGCCCTACTTACTTCTGGTGTCAAGGGTTAACCTGTTCGTGAAGCTCCACCAGACACAGCTCCCCACTGGGCTGAGTGACCACAACCATGCATGGAGTTGGACTCTCAACCAACTGAGTTGTGTTTACAAACATTAGATGAGTGTCTCCACCTAAATTATTTTGTTTGTCTATTTGAATTTAAATTTCATTTCAGATATCATGTAGAATGAACACGGGAAGATGAGAGCTTCTCCGTTACTCTACAATCTTGAACCAATCTGATAAAACAAACAATTGTAAATTCATCTGCGAACAAGTAAGTCAGTCGTGAACCTTTTCCCAATTCATTATTATGACATTTCCACTGACAGACAGAAAAATATACATATCACAAATTTTGGGGTAGAGGGAAAATATTCAAGATTTTTGTAATGGCCACTTACACACTGGTGGCAGAGATGATACTGAGAGGGTAACCATGGTAACAAAGGTGTCGCACGCTGGGAAGGAGCTTGGTCAAGGGTATGACAAGGTCGGGGAACTTTTAACCATACTTTTGTATGACCAGGAACCATTACACTGCTATCTGTATGCAATATTCATGATCATGAAACAAACACTGACAGCATAAATGTGGGAGGAAAGCCCAAAGTGATGCAGGTCTCAGACGTTTACCACTTAAGTGTAACCCATGAGCATGTGTATGGTGCTGACAAACCTAGAAACATAATCGTGGCAAACCGGGATTCGAACCCACAATCATAGGTTTCTGATGTGCCCAAGGGACGCAACTCTGCACAGCGAATTGCAGCGCCTTAGACGACTGGGCCTTCCATGCCCCCCTAATCTGTGATGACAGATTAACTATAGTAATATGAAAGAATTTGGTGTACTATAACTACTTTTGAGTAGTATATATTACTTGATCATGGTTATGTTAGACATTTTTTAACGGCACCGAAACTGGTATTTCTCAACAGGTTCAACTTACTCATCATTCATAATCTGATGAAGCAACTGATATCAAATAAAAGTGATGTGGTTAGTACAGCATGCAATCAAACAAACAGATCCATAAATCTGATCAATGTGTATCATTATGTGCTGATGGAAGTAAGGTCACATACCCTTGTTTTTTGCCCTGCGCTGGTCGCGGTTGTGACTGACCTTCAGCCATAGACAATTGTATTGCACGGGCAAGAGCTTCATCCTCCGTCTGAAATCAAGGCATAAAACATATTTAGAGGTTGTCAACAGAACAATAATGATCTGGACAAATGGAATTATAAATTTTTCAACAACCATGAAAATGAACAATTTCTGTATGTATCAACAAGCCCTCTCTAGCTACATACCATGCCAGCTGGCAATGTTGCTGCTGCTGCTGTTGGTGGTGCAGCTTGTCTTTGCTGCCTCTCTCTACGCTCCCTGGTAAATTAAAAGTCTGGTGTGATATATGTGTGATCAAATGCATCTCAGCTTACATGACCTGGTGTATGGTCAATCATTAAGAAGAAGAAGAAGAAGAAGATGGAGAAGAAGAAGAAGAAGAAGAAGAAGAAGAAGAAGACTTGGTGTAAGGACCCCATATACATACTGTGAAACACACCATACACATGGTGGCATGCGAAACATTAGAAACTGCAAGCTTTGCTTGATTCTTCCATCAACTACCATATCATCATCCTCCTCTTGTAGGATATCAGAACACTTCAATGTTCAATATATAACTGCCATTAGTCCACAAGAGAAGTGTGAGTGAGTGAGTTGGGTTTTACACCACTTCTAGCAATATTCCAGAAGCATGGTTTAAAGGTGGAAGAAAACTTAGCAGTAGGTTAATGGCAATATACTGCAATATGCATCACAATTCAACCTAAGTATCGCATTTTTACTGCAGTACACATGTGAAATACAGCCCTCATCATTTCCCATGTCTACTGTTGCTACCTATTCCATGCTTGTCGTATAGAAGATGAAAAATACAGATGATTCTGACAAGTGTCCCAACTGGACAAGTCATGTAATGACCAAGTTGGTGGTTATGCCCTGCGCCACAAGACCATGAGAGAGATGTGGTGAGTCACCTGTCCAGGCCTCTGCCGAAGGAGGTCAGTGTTGTCTGTTGTGGCTGTTTGCGGGGTTTCTGAGATGTGGAGCTGCCAGATGAAGAACCTGCACTAGTTTTCCTCCTAAAGAGAGCTGCGACACTGCAAAGTCAAAGAAGATCCATGACATACACGGCATCCTTTATCATGATTATATACACTTCATCCAAGACAAGGCTCTGTGCACAAGCCCCACCGGTGGCCCTTAGTATTCGATGAGAACACTCACTACAGTACATGGATGATATACAAAGTGTACATCGTGGATGTCACAAAGGAATGATAACACTCGCATTTGATATTGCCATCACAACCTCAAAGCCTAGCATAATTATGAAATATGAAATAGTGCTACCATGGCTACAACAACCTTAAGGTGAAGCAAAAGTAATAGACTTCTACACATCTCATCAGGAACTCTTGTAGTTTCATCATAGCTTGTTGCCTGCATCAAACACTTCATCTTACAGGGTAAACTGATGCACTCAAATACTACCTTCCCAACAAATGTTGAACTGCACACATTACTTTCAGTTTTAACAACTCATCCTCCTACAAACCTGATTCCCCTTAAACATGATTCTGGGCATGGCTTCCTGAGGTACTGACCCTGCATTTGATATCCCTTGACCAGTGTTCTCAAATCCCTGACACTTGTGGTCAGTTTCGTGGCGGTGACGGAAACAGAAGTTTTGATGGCACTTGTCACACTTTACTGGCACAAGCTGTAACATCGGTATTATTGCACATGAAAAGCACATACATGTATTAACAATAAATTCAGTATAGAGGACTTTCAACAATGTTCAGGTAGATCTTTGCATTAACATGCTTAAAATTTTAGTGAACAAAAATGAAATATCTATAGTTAAATATTACTAAAGTTTTCAAGCACACAAAACTCCAAATATTGAACTCAACTGCACCTCTCCTACAGGTATTAAAAGTGTTCAAGTTTGAAAAGAATCCACTTGGTAGTTTTCAAGTTATAGGTCGCACAAAAAAATGTCCTTGGAAGGACAGACGGATGGAATTCCTTGGTATAACTATATACCCCAGCCCTTCAATATGTTGAACACTTACCTCTTTCTGCTTGCAGCCTTTGAAGGAACACTTATTAGTATAGATCTGAAATTTGGAGAGACCAACATGATAAACATGAAAAAAAGATTAACAAAAACAAAATATACCACATATGGTACGATGGATGTTTTCACAATCTTGATAATCAGTATAATCTGGAGCCGGTGTGTCGATTAACATTCCATTCAGCAATATTCAAGCCATATGATGACGACCTGTAAATATTTTATTCTAATCCAGTGACTTGTGTCACACAATAAACCAAGTTGCAGAATATGAGCACCTGATCCATTATGTCACCTCTTGGCTTACAACCCACCCAAGGTCTAACCTGGAATCCCCACAGAGTGAGTGAGTGAGTGAGTGAGTGAGTGAGTGAGTGAGTGAGTGGTTGAGTGAGTGAGTGAGTGAGTGAGTGAGTGAGTGAGTGAGTGAGTGAGTGAGTGAGTGTGAGTGAGTGAGTCGAACCCACAATCATAGGTTTCTGGCGTGTCCAAGGGACGCAACTCTGCACAGCGAATCGCGGCGCCTTAGACGGCTAGGCACCAGTGCCCCTGGGCAATGAAGTGAACATATAAGAAGAGTGACTCAGTGATGTGTACCTTTCTTCTCTGTTTGGCAAGATCTGAGGAGCAGTCATTGTCTATGTGGCGACTCACAACAGCATCAGGGAGGTCACCTTTCTTCACCGATATGGCCTCATTGCATAGTGGACAGACAGGAACTTGATTGTCCTGCAAAGTGGTACATGCAAAACATAGAATTAGCTTTGAACATCATGAACATGTAAAAGGTCACTTGTACATATTTACTACATAACACATTATGCATATACATGACATAACTAAACCAAAAATATCCTGATATTTAACTTTTCACCACAAACACTTACAAGATATAGTTTACGGTTTTACTGAACTTGCAAAACTGATGCTATACAACTATGGACCAAAAATCAAATCAAAATTATCAGCTGAGTATGACAAGGATGAAGAATTGACACATTAACGACAACAAAACAAGAAATGAGTAGAACATGCAGAAATTGTCAAAGTCTTGTTCGACCATCATGTTATCAGGCCTCTGTTCCACAAAACGAACTTAGCACTACAACTACAGTAAACCAATGTTAATGTAGGGGAGTTATGATCGCCTTAGCTAAGATCCCTTTATCCCCAGGTTATGCCATACCTTCTTGTATGATTCTGTACAACTGTGAGTGTCATACTTGATATGATCCCGACTGAAAACATCAAAAAGAAACACGATGATGGGTTTGTACAAGTGTCAGGAGGTGGACCATGTTTCATAACACATTAAAAACAACTTGTCACAGTATCAATACAGCGTTAGAAATTGGCACCAGTTCTGTGGTTTTTGCCAAACTGCCCAATTGTTAAGGTATCATAAAGACTAGTAGAAAGTTGCCATTTTTAAGGGTTTTGTTATAAGTTATCATTATAAGGACACGTTGACTAAAACTGTAAGTTTCAACCGCTGTTCGGTAGGCGTATTGTGACACTCCTGACATACAAACACAAGGCCTGGAACCACTTGACAGGTCCTTTCAAGTTCAGGGCATGCAAGAGGAGGGTAGGGAAAAAATTAGAACATACCCTATAAAATTGGAGGAGTGCTATACTGGCAATGAAACAAAATAGACTCTTTATCATGTTTATCCTCAGTTCAAATATTCATAACGTGGGATTTTCCTCTTAATCATGATAAGACACTATTTTCACATTTTTGCATCTTTAAATACCAGTATATATTTTAAGAGGGTGGCAAATAATATTATGATTATGGTGACTTACCAAAAGATGTTTGAACAGGCATCACATTTCATAGGAAGAAAATCTGCAGAAGAATGAGTTTGTAATTGAAACAGGAATTATTAATGTTAACACAGCTAAGGGAAATGAACATCTAGTGATCCACAAATGGGCCCAGAGACTGTAACCATTGTGTAATGCCTAGACAGTAGTCTACTACCAAACTGCAACCTTGTTTCTATGTAATTACTGTAATCGATTATATTTAGGAAGATCACATAGGACACCAGATGCACAACAGAGGCATATCAAATGATGAGTATGCAGTGAAACATAGCTAACTCGAATGGTACCGTTTTAAGCAAAATCATCAAGAATAACATATCATTGAGGTGAGAGAATTGTTCCTGTAAATATGCAATAGAGATGTTTCAAACAAGGTCTTCCAACTAACAGGGTCCAGACTAAAAAGATTTCACATGGAACCTGTCTAAACTGGACTTTGTGGTACAGACAATGACACGCAATCAACCAAGACACTGAGCATGCTGAGTCTGACCACCTGATGTATTACAATACCTGTAATGACCAGCCTAGGTTGATGGGAACCAATTCTAACCCAGAATCCCTACAAGGTTCATAAAAACCCACTTATCATGACTCCTGGCCCAAGATGCCATTGCAGTATTTGAAATTTAATTTAATTTGTGGGTCCTTGAGAATGATGACATGGATCCCTTGACTTTCATTCTTAACTTCAAACACTGCATTGTCACAATTAGTGTACTAATACTCAGTGCTTATGAATAATAAAAATATATGCAAATTTTTATATACCAGTAGTAATTTCAGATTCATGTACTATTTTGTCATCAAACTCAAAAATATATGGGGCCCGATATATGTCACCAATCTCTTCATCACATATTATATTACTTTGTAAACATTGTTTCAGAGCTCCTGATAACTTTTTGAGCAATTGAGTTTTTACTCGAAGGTTTCTATTTTAATTGGGTCATTACATTTTTCATTGGGTAACCAATATTTTTCCCCTCATCTATTCATCATTCTGTTGGGTTTTCCTCAAATGAGTTATCATTTTGAGATTTAAAAAAAAATGACATTATGTTTTAGATGTATATAACAGTTCTAAATAAAGGCTTGACTCAGAAAGTAAATTAGCTCATAATTGTGTTTCAGAAATTAGCTCCATTGTACGCATGCTGAAAAAGCTTCATTGGGTATTTACGAGTGCTGTTTTTAAACAATTGAGTTTTCCATTTAATGCATGCGTTTCAGTACGCAAGTTAATTGAATAGTTTTTTGGGGTATTTTACGCAAATACGCAGCTTACCTGTAGCTCTGTTGTTTGTTGATGAGAACTGCTCACCGAAAACGTGAGGGGAACATGTGAAAAGTCAATCCGGATTAGGGAGAGTGTCAATTACATTAATTAAAATGATCCTCTGTCGCACAATTTTAGTCCAGAATCCAGAGTGAAGGAAGTCTGGATTAGGCAGATTAAACTTTATGAAAAATTATTTCAGTAAATCTGGTCCGGTGTTGACAGAAATCAAGATTAGTCAGAGTCCTGTTTATACAATTTCGACATTAGGTTTATTAGCTACAGAAAATTAACTAGATCTAGTTTGGTCAACCAATGGAGAGGATATCATTTAGGCTGCTAAAACAGCTTGGATCATCAGTGATTGCAATCATGATATCACATATTGACAAAAACACGTCAGTGTGATTAACAGTTAATGAATAGAATAAAAAGAAAATTAACTATTCTATATTATCATAACTATATAGAATAAACAATTTGACGAATCAGACATTTCTCTGACACTCCATTCACGCATGAACTTCAGAAGTCATTTGTCAACTGACAACTCTGGGAAGTACAAATTCCGATTTCGAGGACACAAACGTTGTTGACAAATATATTTAGTTCCCATTTAGGTAAAAGCTGGTAATAATGGAAGTTTAATGACATATTTGTGTTTCTAAATGGACCAAAAACACACTTACCCAGTTGTTTACAACTCGACTCAAAGCAATGCTTTCCTAAACTGGGAAACTCCATCCTTATGCTTCGTCTAGAAATATGACTGTGCACTTCAAGAGATCTGTCAGCTTTTATATACAACCTAACGTCACTTCCGTAATACAGCCTCGGTTTGATTCTGCGGCAGCATGGCGTCGGAAGATGGGAATCCCCGAGTTTTCTTTGACATTGCGGTCGACGGCGATTCCAGTGAGTCGCGTTGTCACGTGATGCTTCTGGTGTATTTTTGCTGTATGAATAGGGTGCATTGTGCGATGAAGCTTTCAATCAAAATTTGTAAATTATCGTATTAACATGGATATAACACCACAGTACATGGTTGACGGGTCTTCATAGTCTAAAAATAGCTCTGTGGAACTTGCTAGAGGAATCTAGCCTGCATGACGAGCACCCAGTCACCTGTAACAGTTGGCTATGCATGACTATGACAATTTTGTAAATGTTTCTAAGTTGTTTATAGCCTATTTTACATTTTGGTACAATTAAAAGGTCTAGAACATTTTGTACACTTTCACTTTCTTACAACATGTACACTAGAAATAGGGAAATGTAGATGCTACATCAATCGATCAACATTTGTTTATCTATTGAATTAATTGTGATAATCAAAGTTATAATATTAATCAAGACAAGTTTATTGGAAAAAATAAAAATATATGCTATTAACATGATTAAGTAGTACCGAACAGGAATGGAAATTGAATGAATATGTCTCCAACAAGTAGCTGCTCCATTATTAACACTGATTAGGTCGTTGAAGGCACAGGTATACTCGGACCCCGTGGTACCGCGACATTCATGGTATCGCGGCATTTGTGATAACTGGTAGTTTACGCAGGACACACCTCTTAGCGGCTGTCTTTTAATGCAAATCAGTAACCAGGAAGTGCTTCGTAAACAATTTCAATTTCCTCGGAATGTTCCGTCTGCTGTAAGTAGGGAGTTATTAACACGTTGATTCTTACTACTGGCGGGCGGTCGGGTAGCCTAGTGGTTAAAGCGTTCGCTCGTCATGCCGAAGACCCGGGTTCGATTCCCGACATGGGTACAATGTGTGAAGCTCATTTCTGGTGTCCCCCGCCGTGATATTGCTGGAATATTGCTAAAAGCGGTGTTACTACTGGCATCTTTTTAATATTGCCTTACCGCTATCTGTCAATGGACAACGATATAACCCGCAGTTTCCCAAGTAAACTTTCTCCATCGACCTGAACTAGATCATCTGCATATTCATGGTAACGGAAGTTACGTCGTCAGCACATTTTTTCCTGCCTTGTGGCCAGAATCTATTAGGAGATCATAAGGGCCATAATGCCATACTTAGAAATACGTTCTTCACTTGTAGCCAAATGATAAATAGTATTAAATACATACTATTGGCATACTAGGAGTGCTTTTTATATATTTATTGTTAACTTTTAACATATTTCCATTTTTTTGACAAATTATTGTCATCCAATTTTTTAAACAAAAATCTTAAAATATCATTTCTGATATTTTGTTGTTGATTTTTTTAAATATTCTGGTCTTACTTAAATATGCATTGAATACCTATTACTGATAACACATTCAGAATTTTACTTGTGCTGTCTTTGCACTTGTGTGAACAAATCAGTGAAGTCTGGCATCATCATACTTAGTGGTTGGTGGAATTATGTCCTGTTTCTGTCCAATTCGGACCTCCATACACAACTTTTCCATGTACCACTACATGATGGAGTTGTCTCCCTTGTCAAACAGCGCAAGGCCCAGCTTTTACTCAACACTACTAATGTAAATAATGAACTTTTATCAGTAAAATATTCATACTGAGATAAAATAAATGACATCAGATATAGAGAACATGAATAATCATAAATGTTTGTGAGTGCATTTTGTTCCGTTTAGCGTACATTACAAGTACTGCGATACCCCGAGGTTGAAGGCTTCTACTGATATGTATACCAGGTACATTTCTGTATACAGATTGTGCCCTAGCCAAAATCAGAATACAGAAAGGTACTCTAAGAGAAGTCCATTCCGCCGCATGCCATATTGAGCAATGAACGTAACCGTTTCCTTCGTACGCTTACGTAAACGACACATCCTGGATGCCAAACCGTGGTAAAATTCAACATGGCAGTATGTGTATATTTTTCTCTCTGTATTTCCTTTCCATAAATGGATCGGTACTGTCATATTGTGTGCCATAGAAAAAAACAAGCAAATACAGTTACGTACATACATAACTAAAAAAAGATCCACGATTCACTGCATTATCCGGCATGTACCGATGGGGTACATATCTGTAGTACCTGTGCTGACAATGAACTTCTCAACTCCAATAGCTTGTCCATAGTCAAAGTTTATTTGTCCAGAATAGTCCTGGTAATCTGTTTTAGCCATAGTACCAAGAAGCCTGACCAATCACAATAAAAATAGCTGAGTTTTTAAGGTTTGTGCAAAGATAGCATTAAATCCTGTAAAATCATTACCATCATTAGCCTAGTGTTGGAGGGATCCATAGCTATATATCAGGGCTGGGACGGGCAACTCGGGTACTCGGGTCGGGTTGGTACTGAATAAGACCCAGGTACCCACATGACTACCCGGACCCGTAGTTAATCATGTGATATATCATTTAATGAGAAAAATTCACTTCTACAACTTCAAGTCGCTAATGTTCGTATATCTTTCTGACTATACGCGCATTCCTTCGATCTGACATTTATATGTTTTGAGTAAAGATACAGCTTCAGTCAACTTCAGTGTATGCATGACCAGATTGTTTTACAGATGTACCTAAATACTTTTTGCCAGGGGTCCGGTATAACAATTCCTATTTGGACATTTTGTACCCAACTCTTGACGCTACGGTGGGTGTCCGGGTAGGGTCGGGTATAGGTGGTCGGATACCCAGGTAGTAAATTTGGACTCGTCCCAGTCCTACTACATGTATTAGTGATAGATGTTGGATGATAACAGTGGATCATTCCTTAGCTATGATTTTGCAGCAAGGTAAATACATGCAATGATTGGATAATAATCCAGAAATTGGTTAACTTTCCTGGTAAATTCACGAAAAGGGTATGTCAATCTTCTTTTTCAGTTGGCAAGGTGGTGTTTGAACTATTCAAGGACAAATTACCAAAAACAGCTGAGAACTTCCGAGCCTTATGTACAGGTGAAAAAGGAGTAGGAGAAACCACGGGAAAGCCTCTACACTTTAAAGGATGTCCATTTCACAGAAGTAGGTCCTGCTTGATACTGGTACCGACTTTAACAATGTTTAAAATTAGATATTTCACTCTGGTACTATACCTCTTTTTATCTGATTTGATCATAATAAAGTTAATGAGACTGGTGTCTTTCATGTCAAATTAATTTGCAAAGATATAATTATAATGATTATGGCTGTCAGTGATAATTGAAATGACATTACAATGTGTCATGTATCATTATACCCCTGTTTAGAAAAACAGGGATATATATATATTATAACTGTCAGCATGTCCGTCCATCTCTCCGTCCATCTGTCTGTCCTGCATCTGGTTTCCATATCCGTAGCAGTGTTCCTAAACACTGCTAAACTGTTGAATATTTCTTAGTGAAACATGCTATGCAGATCAGTGTAACGGTGAACTGGGGCTTTTGATTATCTGGGATTTTTTTAAATTTTTTTTTTATTTTTATTTTTTTCAAGACGACATGTTGGACTTTACTAAAATGAGAGTAGTGCTCATTTCTGGAATAGAACTCCAAAACTGTTGAATATTTCTGGATGAAACCATACAGATCAGTATTGTGGTGAACTAGTGCCATTTGGTGATTTGGGTTTGACAAATACTGAACAGTATTATTTATTTTATTTGCTAAACTAAAGGTATCCAATGGCAATGAACTAAAAGCAGGGGATAAGAAGCCAAACTACATTTCTGAACTGCACCAGATCGGGGGGATACCGTATTTCCTCTATTAGACGCTGTGCCTCTAATAGAAGCCGGGTCAGTTGTTCAGTGCAAACATTTGTATTAGTATTAGTTATGTATTGTATGTACTGTCTCTGGGAACATAAATCAGTGTATCCACATTGATCGTGTTGATTGGTATAACATGATATATTTCACAATGGATATGTATGATACTCTCCATTGTCATTCTTCGAACCAATGACAGCCCTACACATTCTAGGTATTATGAAACTTTACCTTACATGCTTAAGTTTATGAATAATATTTGGAATTGAGGCATCCTTCTTGGCATCAGGTATATTCTGTGTTACCATGATTACATTGTCAAGGACCCATAAAGTTCTGAGGTAGAATAGGTCTTCAGCAACCCATGCTTGCCATAAAAGGCGACTATGCTTGTCGTAAGAGACGACTTACGCGATTGGGTGGTCAGGTTAGCTGACTTGATTCATGCATGTCATCGTATACCAATTGCGTTGACCAATGCTCATGATGTCAATCACTGGATTGTCTGGCCCAGACTCGATTATTTACAGACTGTCATATAGCATATTGCTGGGTGCGGCGTTAAACAACAAGCAAACATTGTCAAGCTTTTGGAGGACAAATTATATAATTTTATTATCTTGATCATGTTGATTATAAGATGATTTCCAAAAGCTTTTTAACAGTAATAGTTTTATTTATGTTTTTGTTTTGCTAGTATACATGGTCATGGTAATATAAGAAGTAAGTTATCTCAAATAGCAAAACAAACGTAAACTATGTAAGTGCAAAATAAATTTTATTTGTATTTAACACAGTACTCATCAATATTCTCGCTATATGGCGGCAGCCTGTAACTAATCAAGTCATTCGTGATTGATTTTATGATGCTCTACACCTTCAAGGCACCCTGACACACAATCAACCAAATCACTTGGCAGCCACATCCATTAAGTCCAGGCTGCCATCATCATGATCATACAGCAGCAATATCATCACAATATGGCTGAAATATTAATGATGTGACGTAAAGCATAAACTCACTCATTACACCAGCAATATTGCTCAGTGCAGCATTAATTAACAAAGAAAGAAAGTTGTATCATACAAAAAGTGTCATTTAGTTTTAACAATCATACTAACATGAAATATGTGTCCTGGAGGCTTTTCTAAGATTTCATGCTGTTTTCAGTAATCAAGGATTTCATGATCCAAGGGGGGGATTTCTCCAACCAAAATGGCACCGGAGGAGAAAGCATCTATGGAGCTAAGTTTGATGATGAGGGATTTCCCTATAAGGTATTAATTGAGCATATTGCTAGAATTTTCCAATTTTGTCTTGAACAAATCGTTTCATATTTTTTTTTAAAATATATCAACCCTTTAACAGAATTTCAAATGGTTAGCTCCTTACCCATTTGTTAATCAGGTTTTTTTTACATAAACATGATAAAAGGAATAGTGTTTATATCAAGGTATGTAAATCATGTGAACAGTTCCGAGGCTGTTCGGAACATATTGGTGAGGTCATTGATATGCTTTTACCATGTTCACAGTTAAACGTCCCGTGAAGATTCCGGGTTAGAAAAGGTCTTCAGCAAACCATGATTGTCTCAAGAGGCAACGAACGTGATCGGGTGGTCAGGCTCGTCGCCGACTTAGTTAATGCATGTCATTGTATCACAATTGTGTAGATCGATGCACATGATGTCAATCACTGGATTATCTGGTCCAGACTCTATTATTTCTATATAGCTGGAATATTGCTGAGTGCGTCGTTAAACAACAAACAAACACAGTTTAAACTTGTTCAGTAATATGGCAGTTAAATTATTGTGTAAAATATTATTTATAATTTACCTATGTAACAATTGTTTCTGCAGCATGATATCCCAGGTTTACTTAGCATGGCAAACAGCGGCCCCAACACCAATGGGTCTCAGTTCTTCATCACGACAGTGCCCACACCACACCTTGACGATAAGCATGTCGCGTTTGGTAAAGTCATCAGTGGGATGGGTATCGTCAGTGAGCTGGAGAATGTGGAGAAAGATGGGGAGAGACCTATACAGGTGGGTTGATAATGATGATGATGATGAGGAGGAGGAGGAGGAGAAATTTGTGTCATATCGATTCAAATTGTCACTAGCCTGCTTTGTTTGTGACTTGTATGTTATGATTTTTATGAATACAGTTGTTGATGAATACCTTAGTTACACATAGGCGGTGGGGTAGCCTAGTGGTTAAAGTGTTTGCTAGTCACGCCAAAGACCCACGTTTGAATTCTCAAATGGATACAATTCGTGTGGGGGGCACGGGTGGCCCAGTTGTCTCAGGCGCCTCATTTCGCTCTGCAGAGTTGCGTCCCTTGGGCACGCCAGAAACCAATGATTGCTGGTTCGAATCCCAGTTCGCCCTGATTATGTTTCTAGGTTTTGTCAGCACCATACCCGTGCTCGTGGGTTTCACCCAAGTGGTAAACGTCTGAGACCTGCATCACTTCTGGCTTTCCTCCCACCTTAAGCTGACACACCGTAATATATCTGGAATACTACTAAAAGCGGTGTTAAACCCAACTCACTCACTCACTCACTCACTCACTCACTCACTCACTCACTCACTCACTCACTCACTCACTCACTCACTCACTCACTCACTCACTCACTCTAATCCTGGGTATGAATGTCATAAATGTCACAATATGGCTGACATACTGTAAATCTTGAATTTAACGCGAGAGTGAATTATATGCAAAACATGAGTGGTCTTTGCTTGCATTAACTAAACTTCGCATTTATCACTCTCACTCACTCACTCACTCACTCACTCACTCACTCACTCACTCACTCACTCACTCACTCACTCACTCACTCACTCACTCACTCAAAACGACATAAAACCAAATACTTAATTACACACAGACAACATGGGCAGTGTCTCAACACAAGTCACTGATTACAACCAAGACTTGTAATGAGTACCAAGTAGTGGAGCATAGTCCCCTTTTGCATGTTAAAAAGTACAGAAAAAAGTCAAGTTTTTGGGGATGTCACATGTTATCACAGGGAATTATCTGAACCTGCTCTGAGGCCAATATTTGACACCAAATCTGCAGCAAATGTCCATAAAAATTCCCAAATTTTGATAAGATTTTCCAATTCCCGATAATATATACATGATATACTGGTATGAATAATAACTATGGCTTTGTGGAGGTAACTTGTATTCATTCCACTGCTAACAGGACCAATAAAGTTGAGTAGGTAATAATGCTTAGTTTAATCTAATTGCATTGAATGCAATCTCAAAGTACAATGTTACAATGCCTTTGAAGTTAAGTAAGTGAGTGAGTATGGTTTTACGCCGCTTTTAGCAACATTCCAGCAATATCACGGCGGGGAACACCAGAAATGGACTTCACACATTTTACCCATGTCGAGAATCGAACCTGGGTCTTTGGCGTAAAGAGTGAACGCTTTAACCACTAGGCTACCCGACCAACCCTTGAAGTTAAGAATAGAATAACATTCCAGGCGGCGATTAGTTTAGAATAAGCTGTATCACTATTCAGGTTAGAGATTACGTTGCATGCCTGTGTGTGAGCTTGTCATGCCTATATAGCAGATGTCTTGTCTTGTCTTATCATGGTGTCAATCACTGGATTTTCTGGTCCAGGCACAATTATTTACTGACCGTTTTTATATGATGGAATATTACTGAGAGTGGCGTTAAACAGCGTTAAATATGAACTGTTTTGTTAAAAATGAGTTTTTCAACGAAGTAGCTAAAACGTTTTATTTATCGATCATCTGTTAATTCTGAATACCCCTGATTTCAGGAATGCGTAATCTCCGACTGCGGGGAGCTTCAACCAGGGGAGGACTTCGAGAAAGCCAAAGACGATGGAACAGGGGACACATATGCTGACTTCCCCATAGATGCTGGCCTGGACTTCTCATTGGTAGGAGAAACAGGCATTGCTAAGAGTTGCTGCATAGAGAGTACTTGAACATTAGTAGCTTTTATTTGTCAATAAGCAATCTTTTTTTAAATAGGACTTGTGCACGCCAGAAACCTACAAGTATGGTTTTATATCCCGGTTCCAATTATGTTTCTAGGTTTGTCAGCAGCATGCCTGTGCTTGAATGTGGTAATTTTTATGGCTATGTTGTGATGCTGAAATTGTTTTTTTAATGTTACAGAAAGACAACAAGGAGAAAATCATAGTTATTGCTCTTGATATCAAGAAGATTGGAAACACATTGTTTAAGGAACAAAAATTTTCCAAGGCCAAGAGGAAGTACAGGAAAGCTTTAAGGTGAGGAGCAGGTTATCAGAAGTGCAGTATTACTTAAAATTCTCTCAATCGAGGATTCCTCGTTAGACTATGCTTAGACACATCTGAAACAGATTGTGTGATCACAATGGCTGACAAGTACATACAGGACATGGATGGGTGATCACGACTGACCGATTTGGTTTCTTCTAATCCTAGGGGGGCGGTGGGGTAGCCTAGTGGTTAAAGCGTTCGTTCGTCGTGCTGAAGACCCAGGTTCGATTCCCCACATGGGCACAATGTGTGAAGCCCATTTCTGGTGTCCCCCGTCGTGATATTGCTGGAATATTGCTAAAAGCGGCATAAAACCATACGCACTCATTCATTCTAATCCTGGGTAGGGACAGGGGTGGCCAAGTCGTCTAAGGCACAGCGATTCGCTGTGCAGAGTTGCATCCCTTGGGCACACCAGGTTCTTGAATCCCGGTTGCCCCGATTATGTTTCTAGGTTTGTCAGCACCATACCCGTGCTTGTGGGTTTCACCGAAGTGGTAAATGTCTGAGACCTGCATCACTTCGGGCTTTCCTCCCACATTAAGCTGACACGCCGTGATATAACTGGAATACTGTTAAAAGCGGCGTTAAATCTATGTATCAATCACTGGACTGTAGTATGGTCTCAATTACTTAAAGACCGCCGTCATATGCATATAGCTGTAATATTGCCATGTGTGGAGTTATACAGCAAACAAACATTACATAACTCTCTCTCTCTCTCTCTCTCTCTCTCTCTCTCACACCCTCACACCTCTTCTCACCTCTTCTCACCTCACCTCACCTCACCCTACCTCACCTCACCTCACCTGGTATCTTTATTGAATGGAATGCTGCTCACACAATCAACAATCAAGTAGTGGTTTCTGTTGAAAATATTTGATTACAGACATGCATGATACATCCTTTCTAGCCTTGAAGTCAGGTTTGTGGACAAAAGTCGAGCTGTTCCCCAAACATTGTCTTGATACAGTTGCCTAGACACCTCTTGAACCCAGGTATCATTGTTTCTAAGTCCAGTCCCTATTTTGCCGTTGAAGGTATCTACACACGATGAGTAATCAGATGTCGCTACCTGACCAAGAAGAAGAAGACATTGGTCGCACACATATTCTACCATTTTTTCTTAATCTGTAAGTAACTCAACAACAACTGTAAGTGCATTGTGTATGTTGTGACAGTCAGAAGTTGTTTCTATTTTCTTTAGTCAGAAGTTAAACATGTTTGGTCTCTGATGATAACAGACCTTTTGGTTAGAGTCGTATATATAAAACATTGCTACATTCGGAGGGTAAAGATTGTATGTGCTAACCATGGTGTTAGACTTCTATGATTGTGTTTATTCTAATTCGTTTATCCATTCAGTACATGTTCAGTCACTCGTTGAGTTTACATGCAGTCTCACAGTTAGAAGATTTACTTCTGGATTGACAAGACATGAAACATTGCCCTAGATTTTGCATCCATCACTCTAATAGCGTTATATGTGTATAGTAATGCAATCAAATGTATTATACAGGCATACAATCATTTTTGTGTTAATAAAATTAATTTCCCCTTTGTCTTTGTTTTCAGAGCAGCATGTAATTTGAAATTAAGTGAATATGAAGAGGCATTTGAAAATTGTCACGAAGTAAGTTCTTAAATTATCATGAATATTTCATGTCATTTGCTATTAATGATAATAAATAAATAATATATGAGACATTTTTGTAATGCTCCATCCAGACTAGTGCTCAAAAGTGATCTTGCTCATAGGCTGTCAGAAACGAGGAGTTTTGAGCTGTGATCTGAAAGTGTTCAGTTTTTCAATGTTCCTCATCTCATATGGAGAGTTCCTCAGAAAGGGTCTGACTTTCTGAAATGCTCTGTCACCGTAGGTCTTGGTTGGAACATATCTCAGTATCATATGTATAATACATGTTTATCTTGTTTTATCCATTAGAATTAAGTAAATAGGATTCTGAATGATACCTTCATAAAATGTGAGACAAAAAATGAAACTAAAAGTTTGTATTCTAAAGAATAGTACAGGTTGCCTGCATGGTCAGTTGTTAAAATCCTTGTTGGTTTTAGGAAATTTCAAATTATTGACATGAACATTAAATGTTTTCTTGTAAAGAGTTGTTTCTTTAACTTCATCCCTATTTTGTTTCTATTGTGTTCAGGTATTGGAGAAAGAACCTACAAATGCTAAAGCTTTATTCAGAAGAGCTCAGGCCCAAAATGCACTTAAGAACTGGGATGATGCTATAGTGAGTACATATGGAAGAAGGTAGTGTTGTCTAATGTTGTCACAGGGCAGGATGACACAGCATCCAATGTGTGTCAATGGCAATAAGATCCGTGGGGTTACCGGGTGAGACGTTCAGTCCCCTGCATCCCATGCTTGTTGTAAGACAAAATGGTGCGGATGATCAGGCTTGGGGATTTGATTGATGCGTGTCATTGTACCCCATCAGAAATTGCCACTAATTCTTTAGCTCTTGCCAAACTGCCCAATAGTTAGGTATCATAAGGACTAGTGGAAATTTACATTTTTTTAGGGTTTTACTATGTGTTGTCATTATAAGGACTAGTGGACAAAAAATATTAGTTTCTAGCGCTGCTGGATTGTCTGGTGCAGAATTGATTATTTACAGGTCACCGTCGTATAACTGGAATACTGCTTAATGCAGCGTTTAACAATAAGCAATTTTACTGACATCACTGATTGTTCACGTAGATTATTTTACATCACTGATGTAAAATAATCTACGTGAACAGTTAGGGGCCACTTGGCATTGTTATTTTTTAACTCTGGTGTTCATATTGATTTGATTAGAAAACATCTCACTACAAAAATGGGCAAAATAGTGACATTCTTTTTTGCTATCAGTTGTGGATTTTCAGAGAATTTATTGTAGAAATTGTATGATTTTTCATTCCTACTTTGGTACAGATAATCATAATTAGTAATCTTAAATGATCTCGATTCACTCATTCTTATTGTGCTTAGTGTCCTAGAAATATGGACAGCTTGTTTCATCATTTAGTTGTGTGGTATTTTTTCAAAGATCTGCTGCTTGCTAATTTTTATTGTCAGTTAAAAATAACTATCCACCTGACTGTATGCTTGTGTTTCAGATCGACCTTGAAGCAGCCTTGAAATCTCAACCTGAAGATAAAGGTCAGCATACAATCAAATAATCATTGATAATAACTGCATGATTTATGAATTTGGAGGATAGAATTTCAGCCTTGCCATATGCAAATTACAAACATATTTACTTTTTGGAATTACTCAAGGCTTGAAAAAGAAAAACCTTGTTTATCTTTTTATAAATTTTTAATTTTTTTTTTTTTGAAATATCTTCCTAAAATGATAAAAATGTGACTGAATGATAATGATCATATATTAATTCAGGCTTGTGTGAAGCATCATGAAATGGACACTGAATTGTTTGTTTACTGTGTTATTCTGATGTTCATTAGGCATAATGAGAGAACTTCAGAAGACACGAAAGATGAAAGAGGATTACAAGAACCAACAAAGGAAAGCATATTCCAAGATGTTTGCTTCCTGAAGTCCATGACACCAATACAATACAATATTCATTAATGGCCTCAGCTCAGTATTTGAAGTCGGCATCAGTACACGTTTGTTTGAAATGGATGTTTACTATATTAAAGCAACAGTCATATAAACAGTTGCCCTACAAACATCATCACAATCTGCCAGTTTTGATGGAGAAACTATATGTTAACAACAGTTGTCATTCAAACAGTATATGTACCATCTTCACTTGGATGGGCATCCAAGGTTGGATAGACAAAGATTACTCGGTACCAGTATGAAACTGATATACCAAGACCCTGGTGTTTTCAGATGTGACATATCATCTATGAAACGCATTGTGTGTAGACTTCATGATTAAATTGAAAATAGAATTACTTTTCCAAGTTTGTGTTAATTGCTAATGTTTTCTTTTAAATCAACCAAGAGTCCTTCTGTTTCAAAATCTAATGCAAATATTTAGGTTGTGCATTGTATCTCTCAGGGATTCTGGGTTAGAAAGCCATCTTCTCGAGGCAAGGGAGATAACTGTCCATAAAAGTCAAGTTTCCACTCTTGCTGATCTAGGCTTGAATTATGGAGTTATATTTTCCCTGGACTAGCATGTGTACCTCCCAACTCGGCGTCAACAGATATTTTCCACATCTTTTTCCAAATGTTTATTTGATGTACTTTGGGAAGTAAGATCCGTTTTATCACAATATAGATTTTGATTTTCCATCAGACAGCGGTAAAACTAACATTTTTAGTCCACTAGTCCTTATAATGATGACAAAGAGGAAAACCCTTTAAAAATGGCAAATTTCTACTAGTCCTTATGATACCTTAACTGTTAGGCAGTTTTGCAAGGACTACAGGACTAATACCAATTTCTTACGCTGTATCAGATCGTCTTGACTTGGCACTGCCATTTTGTTTAAAGCAAATGCAAGTAATATGAGAGGTGGAATCTGATTGGTCAATAGGACGGACTTAGAAGGGACATAACTTGTAATAGCAAATGGTGGCACAAGATCCAGCCTAGTTCAGCAAGGGTGGAAACTGGACTTTTACTGTCAGTTTACTCCCTTCTCAGGAATATGGGTTTGAGTAGGTTCCTAGCCACCTGTGCTGGTGGACTAACCGAATCCGGTTGTCTGATTCCATGACTATGTTGATAAGTGTGTCATTATTCCTGGTGACATGGATAGTTGTTCATAATATCATTAGTTTTGTCTAGACTTTATTATCAACATGCAGACGCCCTATAGTTGGTGCAGTGTTAAACAACAAAAACCCAAAGCAAACGTATATACATGTTATATCTCTATGTTGATATTTGGGGTGCCCTAGCTTCAGTTTGGGTACCTGTTAAACAATTTGTACTCATCCCAGCCCTAGTCACTTTGTAAGGTGATAAGATACATATCACATGGGTTTAAAGTTCACAATACATTCACAGAGCTCAATACTTGTGATACTGTGGAGATCTATTTCATTGTCAAAATTTAAGATTTGTCTTATATGGAAGTATTGGTTTGGATCAAGATGGCCATAATAAGTGAGCAAAATGGCAAAATATGTATAAAACATGTTTACTTAACCAAAGAATGAAATATATGATGTCAGTTATGCCATATCTTAGCCTCTAAAACAAATTTGTACCAGTGGCCAATTTGTAGCAGAGTTGCATCCCTTATTGGTGCCAGAATCCGATACTTGTGTGTTTCAAATACCAGACTTGTGCTTCCGATGATTATTTGTCAGCAGGCGGTGGGGAAGCCTAGATGTAAAAGCGTTCACTTGTCACACCCAAGACCTTGGTTTGATTTCCAACATGGGTACAATGTGTGCAGCCCATTTCTGGTGTCGCCTGCCCAGACATTGGTTTTATGCTGATTTTATATATATTTCAACATTCTCACTCACTCACTCACTGGTTTGTGGGCACACCAACCATGCTTTGGGGTTTCACCAAGTGCTAGAACCTACTGCCTTCCCCTGACATTCAGCTGACACTCTCTGATGTAACTGAAATAGGTTCAAAGCAGCCTTTAACTCATCACAGGTAAGCCAAGGTTGGAGATTGTGGTTTGTGGTGACACATAAGTGATGTGTGATCCAACTGCTACAAGTGAAGCTGATGGACAACTTTGTCAATTAATGTAACATCATTGAGTTACTGTGATCATATTTTTCCCATGAGTGGTATCCAAAATGTGTCATGTCCTATGATTATTAACGCACAAAAGGAATGCTTTCATTGGCGTCATTTCAAAAATATGTTTCCTTCAGCCCATATAACCTTTCAGGTGCCACAAGTGAGGCATACTCGTTCTGTACTAGCTGAATAATTGGCGCTGGTTCAACAGAGTGGCGCTCACACATACACATTCGTGGCCTCTCGTGCCACTCCGGACAAGCCGGTTACGGAAAGGGGCGAGCGGGTCGAATGAGACTTCTGAAAATTTTAATAACCAATGTAGTATCAAAATATCAAGAATATAATGTGATTGTTTGTTGTCAATGTCTTTTAACGCCTATCTTAATTACGTCTGTAAAACAGATAAATGTTCATTGTTGTCAATGAAGATTGTATTGTATCATACTACGGAAAGGCAATTTTATTTGTATTTTTTGGATCACGGTGTTTTTTCTCCCAATGTCAGATGTCGGAGGAAGGAGTTTAATATAGAAAATGACAGCCTCAACCTTGGTACTTTTTTTAAGTTTGTAACTCTATGTGAAATATCGGATTTTCTCGGAGTTCATTTCGGCAAAGTCCGTGCATGAAACACAAGGCCATAACTCCACATATCTTATGGCCATACTCGGCTACCACGGATCGAATTGGTGCATTTAAGACGAATGTCTAATATTGCCATCGTATAAGGGACCATTTTTCTTAAGATAATCGGTAATCAATTTGACAAAAATATGGCATGCATATCCGTGACCGTGATCCAATAAATAAATAAATAAATAATGGCCAAAGCACAAGCCATAATATGTTTTCTTACTGCTGAATTTAATTCCTGTTCCTTAATAAAGTCTGCTTCATGGTTCACCGTGCCTTGCATTGTATGTGTTGCTTTGGGTGATATGCCCATTGGTGAGGAAAGATGCGTGTGTTTGTTGTTTAACGCCTCACTCTGAAGTAGCCCAGCTATATGACGGAGGTCTGTAAATAATTATGTCTGGACCAGACGATCTAGTGATTGACATGTCCATCGATCTACAAAATTGGGACACGATGACATGAATCAACCAAGTCAGGGAGCATGACCACCCGATCCAGTTAGTGGCCACTTACGACAAACTTAAGTTGCTGAACGTCAATTCTAAGCCAGATCTTCACGGGATGGAGACAAACATGGGTTGCTGATGACCAATTCTCGTCCAGATCTTTACGGGGAAGAGACAAACATTGGTTGCTGGAGACCAATTCTTACCCAGATCTTCACGGGAGAGACAAACATGGGTTGCTGAAGGCCAATCCTTACCCGGATCTTCACGGAGGTAGACTAGCATGGGCTGCTGATGACCAATTCTAACCCGGATCTTCACGGGGTCAGAACCTCTAGACTGGGGTTGATTATATATTAATGTACTGTCAAACAATTACATGTGCAAGCAGTACATGATCACAGTTATCTCTCACAGTTCAACTGTAGTTCGATACTGACTACAGGAAGCCAACTACTGATAGGTGCAACTATTTGACAAAGCGTCGTATAATTTGAGTAAAAGCTGGTGGCAATTTGACATCTTGCGTAATTTGCCGATATGATACTCGGTATAGATGCTGTATTTTGCCGTAAGTGCTGAATAAATTACACCTCACAGTCAGGCCCTTAATGTTAACATGCTGTTATCTGTATGCTTAAAAGAGGCAGTGGGTAGACTGACGCTTAGTCTCTGAAAATATATATATTTGATAGAAAAAAACAACTTCATTTAAATTTATAAGACGTCCCAGTGAGATGGGAGAGCAGAACCTGTGGAAAACATCAATCTCATTAAAATCAGATCTTAGTTCTCGCTAGCGCCATATTTGTTTAGCGGTCGCGAAAACTAAGATCTGATTTTAATGAGATTGTGGAAAACATAGACCCCGTCTTTCAGGGCTATAGCATTAAGGGCTGGTCGGAAGGGGAAATAATATAGTTCAGGGACTGTCAGGCACCTAGGGCTGTGGGGTTAAAGCGTTAATCGGCTCGTCATGCCGACGTTCCGGGTACACAAACCCACATCCAGCACCAAGACTGGAATATATGTATTTAAATGAAAACAAAACCAATATAGATTATAATAAAAGCACATCTAGCCAGTTCTATTCCACAGTCATTAATTCAACATCGGGAAAAAGACTATATGTTAGTGTTTACAAATGGGAGCGTGTGTGAATCTCGCAGTCAGGGATATTCCAGCTACATGTATATCAAGGCGGTCCGTAAACGATAGACCCTGGGCTAAGAAATGTCTGAAAGATGCACACATGCACATCGGTGTTTACGTTGATATATCCAAAACGGCAAAAATATATTGAAGTCAAATCTTTAAAAAAATAAAAGTTCTTGATATACACTGATACACTGATTGCCAAACCTCAATATATGACGTAAAACGGGTGACGTGCTGGCATGACAATTATTAACACTTCATTCCCAATATTGTAAAACATACGTGGCGCAATCTGATTGGTTGTATCATATTGCATTCAAGCCACACACGTCGATATGTTGACATAACACTGAGTCACAAACATACGCCAGCCAGTCTATTCAGTTTGATAAACACGCTCCCCCCAACCCCCCTTATCAACTACAACAACACATGCATCTGTAGTTTAAAATTCACTGGCTGACACTGAGACTACTTATCAACTATGACACCTGAAAAATTATCTTTGATCTTTGTAAATCTCATCAACAGGGTGTCGCAAAACGTTCCAGGCGCACTTAAGGCTGGTCATTCGCAATAATTTCATGGCGAAAAAATGTCCATGTTTACAGTATAGTGTCAACTATGTTCGATACTAGTCTAGCTAAATATCTTTGTTTTCTCAATCTAATAATGACGCTTCCAGATGCTAGCCATGATAAATAGACCAAAATGTATGTTTACGTCATAGTAACGTATATTAGTTTTGACCGAGAAACGCTACCAGAGCTAGATTGAAATTCTCAGGTACGCAAAAACGTGCCTTTTGCTTTATGAATGAAACTCAACTTAACCAGACCTACCTTTCTATGGAAACTGCCACAACTAGCCCGACAGTGCCATGCAAATAAATATGTACATGTTTAATATAGAATAGTTTTCAAGCATTTATATATTCATTTGTTTTCTATTAGAAATCGTGTTATTCGTATTTCAGTAAAATATCATCTTGTATGAAATGTTGTACACTATAGCTCCTAATGCAATGGTATTAGGTTACAATATTTATCTCGCATATATCGGGGGCGGTCGGGTAGCCTGACGGTGAAGCCCATTTCTGGTGTCCCCCGCCGTGATATTTCTGGAATATTGCTAAAAGCGGCGTAAAACCATACTCACTCACATGTATCGTTTTTATATTTTACACCATCTTCTTCTTGACGATAACTTTTGACATTCACATACACCATGTTCCTTCACGCATTGTCTAAGAACCCACTGTGGGCCTCGCACGTCCGGAAACACCAGAGCAGACGACCAAGTGTCAGGTTACAAGATGGCGTGGGGGAGTGGGGAGCGAGCTAGTGTGGGATGCTGACGCGACTAAGTTTGGCTGCACTGCAAAATGTCGTGTCTCCACTACGCGCAGGTCATTCTCTTTTCTCTTTGTGTCGTTCAAGCTAAACCCAACCTAGACTACGTGAGTCCAAAGAGTATTCTTGTGTTCGGAGGGAATGGTTTCATGGGCTCTGCCACGGTGGAAACATTGTTAGAAGCTGGTCACGTGATTACTATAGTAAACAGAGGCAACTGGTACTGGGACTCCGTCTTTACCATCAAGCCGCGTGTACGACATATCGCTTGTGACCGAGGTGTGCCCCTACGTAAATGCGACGACCTTGTTGGACTTGTTGAGAAAAATTCTGTTGATGTTGTGGTGGATTTCAGTGGGTATCATCCATTTGCTGTGACAGAGGCTGTGGATTTGCTTAAACATAAATTAAGCTTGTATATCTACATTAGTTCTGATTCCGTGTATGAGGTTTGTGAAAAGAATCATTCAGAACCTTCCCGTGAGGTTGACGCCGTGAGACCGAATTCCGAAGAGGTGCGGAATGCACTGGCGGAAAAAGATGATTATGGTCATCGGAAGTTGCAGTGCGAGGAAGAACTTATAAAGCAGCGCCAGAATGGAGGATTTCCATATGTTGCATTACGCCTCCCAGACGTCATAGGACCGCGTGACAATACATACCGCTGGTGGATTTATCAAATGTGGATAAAATTGTCAAAATACCTTGAAAAACCAGTGTCCGTCCCAGCAAGATTTCTTAACAAACCCATCAGTTTAGTCTACTCGCTAGACGTCGCTCGTATTATCGGATTGTTATTGCATCCTAATCCAGAATGGATAGATCAAGCCTACAACCTCGCTTTCAAAGAGACGCCATCTTTGCTTGACGTTCTAACAGACATGAAAATGGCGCTGAACATGACGGACCTAACGATCAAGACCCACACGGGGGAGGACGCCATGTATCTCTTCCCCTCCGTGCGACAGGGCCCCGTTGACACCTCCAAAGCCGTGGACGTCCTGGGGTGGGACCCCACGCCATGGGAAGAAGCGGTGCTGCAGACGGTAGACTTTTATGAGAGTGCAGTGACCCACAGCCATTTTGACGTTCCAAGGAAGGACATCATACGAACAATGCAGATCTATTTCACTAGCCGTCCCTTCAAAGTGTTGGTTGGTTTGAGGAGGGAGTATGGGTTAGATTATCAAGGTCCAAAGTTGCCGAAAGATGAACTGTGATACACCGAAGTGATGCTTAACATGAATGTCGTACACGCATGTCATGCAGTTTTTGTGATGTCCCATATGTTATTGTGAAGTTGTCATATCAGATTTTAAGATGTTCTCCAATCAGTATTTTTCTATTGTGAATAAATCAGACTTTGCTTACAGAAAAATATGCTTCTTGTCATTGGCTCCCTCTTTACTAAAGCACCAGTTAATATGCGGCGGTAATCTATCTCTGATCTTGACTTGACACTGCGAGCTGTCCAACAGTGTTTTCCTAACAGATCCCCTATCCAAATCTGCACCGCACCTTATTTTTTTCAGCAAAGTGCACACGTCGCGATCTAACATCAATTGTATCGTGATTCACTTCCTAAGACATTTGCCTTCATATACGAGTAGGCCTACTTATATTTTAGATCGTGCAACAATTATAGTTTCTTACTGAGTTGGAAACCGGACCGATACAGATTTTTTAAATCCGCCATTGCCTCAGCGATGGCGGCCATGCACAAATCCGTCGTTTCCCGATGGCGCGGGTCGTCGCTCATGCTTTCAGTCATGCACTGGTTTCACTGGTCCAGGTTCGATCGCTTACAGATAGGAATATATCTGGGACATTGCTGACTGGCAAGAAACAACATTCACTCACTCAAGTTAGTCACTGGTCTCTTGTGCCCCAAGGGCACGTCAGTTACAAACGGAGAATAGATCTTGTGGTTACAACGCTGCTCAGCATGAGTGCGTCCGAATGAGAGAGTGATTTGCAAAACGAAGAGTTGCGACTTGAGACCTGCCAGAATTCTATGATCGTAGGTTCGATTCCCAGATGCGCCTGGAGTATGATTCTTGGTTTGTCCGCATCATACCGGTGTTTGTGGGTTCAACCAAAGTGGTAAACATCCACGACCTGAAAACTCTACGAGATTTCCTCCCACATTAAGCTGAAACGATGTGATAGTGAAATACCGAAATACTGGCACTAAAACCCAACTTACCCTTGAAATCAATAATCTAACTTCAGAAACATACGCAATAATCATATTTAAAAAATCGCGAGGGACAACTCTGATATCGAATGAAGCGACTGTAATATTCTATTTATTGCCACATATATAATTTGAAGAGGCTGAGTACTTCATAGGTCGGTGGAATTAATATCCAACTTCACCTTGCACGTAAGTCTCGTTTAATATTTGAATTTATTACCACATATGTAGTTTGAAGAGGAACCAACCAGGGTCCAGCTCTTATAATGCCTTAAAGGAATCGCGATTTTGAACAATGATTAGATAACAAATGCCCCTGAAATGAAACCAGAAATAACTTTTGGTAAACTATGCTGAAGATAATGGCCACTTATTATGGTAAATAAATAGTTGTGATTGGTCAGTTATTACTAAAGCCGCGCCTTGCTATTTTAAGCAATCGGTGGTTATCTCACAGTTATTTCTCATGGGACTTTGACTTCCCGTGAAGATCTGTGATGGAATAGATCAAATGAACATAGCTGTATTTATAAGTCAAGAGGATCCTGCCTTGTGACTTGGTGACCAAAGAATTGATTGTTTGTTTGTTGTTAAATGCCGCACTCAGCAATATTCCAGCGATATGACGGAGGTCTGTAAATTCTGTTTGTTAGTTTGTTGTTTAACGCCACACTCAGCAATATTCCAGCTGTACGTCGGCGGTCTGTAAATAATCGAGTCTGGACCATCAATCCAGTGATTGACATGAGCATCTATCGATGGAATACATGCATCAACCAAGTCAGCGAACCTGACCACCCGATCTCGTTAGTCTCCTCTTACGAAAAGCATAGTCGCCTTTTACGGCAAGCATGGGCTGCTGAAGACCTATTCTAACCCAGATCTTCACGGGTAGGCGACCACAGAACGCAAACTCAAGTAAGGCTTGAGCATCGCCAATCTCCACCTCCTCAAATGTAACACGGACGACCATGTCTATGTACCAACAGACAAATGAACGATACAACTGAATATCCCCACCTAGCACAAGACGCGTTAAAGGTAGAAAGTGTCTTTAACTGCATGTTTTCAAGTACCAGCGTTTCCCATGACACCCAAAGCCCAAACAAATATTCAACACCAGGTGTCAGACTCGATCAAGACAGTTGTACCAGACGCCACTTTGCAGAAGTAAACAAGGTAGCTGTACGCACTGACACCAATGACTTTAAGCTTGCCTGTCTCTGGCAGCATCAAATATAATGGCCGTGGACACTATGAGAATAGAGAAGGTCAACCAAAAGAAGAACCTATCGACAACACGCGCGATCTGCTTCCACTGATTCTCCAAGGCCGCTTCCACCTCGCCAGCCATCCGGGTCTGATACAGTTCCTGGTACACGTCGCGAACGGCGGACAAGAACGCTGTCTTGGACTGTGTGCTCGACGTCTTATCGATGTTGGCAATGCTGCGAATCAGCTTCACCGCCGATATCGCCGCTCCAGACCGTAGGTTCTGACACGACGCTCCGAGGAGCCCGCCTGTAGGGTGGAAGTTGTGTGTGGATTCGACGGGCGAGTCAGGGAGCACGATCTTTGGGTTACTGCTGCTTGTTGCGGGCTCGTCGTGATGGTCGATCTCGATCTTGGCTTCCATTTGCTCCATGTGGTCGTGGGATTCCTCGACAATCGGCCGGACGTCTGTGACCCGGCTCCTGGTGCCCATGCAGAGCCAGTGGCCGAGGAAGTCGAGAACGAGGCGCCGGAGCCAGACCGGAGGCTGGTTGTACTCGGTCCGGTGATGGAGGTTCAGGACCATGACGGAGATGATAACGGAGAACGTTGATGCCGACATGAAGCAGAGCAGGTATACCTCTGTAAAACAGATAGCATGTCCATTAGCAATCGATCATTTAATACAGCAAGTCCTTTAGAGATCGATCATTGCGCACAGCATGTCCACTATAGAGATTGATCAGTTTAAAGCTTGTCGGAGAGCAGATTTCTTTTTACAAATTGAAGGGTTTCCAATATAGGAACACGTTCTACTTACATAACCTAATCATAAAGCGATGTTTGTTTGTTTGTTGATTTGCATGTTTAACGCCACACTCAGCAAAATTCCAGCTATATAACGGCGGTCTGTAAATAATCGAGTCTGGACTAGACAATCCTGTGATTGACATCATGAGCATCGATCCGCGCAGTTGGGAAACTATGACATGCATCAACGAAGTCAGCGAGCCTGACCACCCGATCCCGTTAGTCGCCTCTTACGACAAGCATAGTCGCCTTTAACTGCAAGCATGGGTTGCTGAGGACCTATTCTATCCCGGATTTTCACGGGTCCTCGTAGTGATGGTTATATAAATTATGAATGATCTGTCCCGAGTGAATTACACGAGAGAAAGATACTCCGTAATTCCGAGTTGCGAATAACTTAAATCTATTATCTATTAAATCTAGTATTACCCATAGTTGGTTTCCCGACCACAAATGGAAACACTGATACTATTTGAATCGATCTCCGTGTTGCTATTTGTAATGGTATTACATTCGTTTATGTATCATATACCGAAGCTAGGTTCATACTTCATAGCGAAAGTTTCGTAAAATAAGTATGACACCAATTATTAACTAATTAATAATAATGACTTATCCTAAAATCCTTTTATCGGTAATATGGTCTCGTATCAGCATCCCCAGTATCCCCAAACTACGGGTAGCACGGCATATATCCGATTGTCCAGAGGACTGGCAACGCCAGACAACAATTTTTCATCAAATGCTTATGTATGTATTTGTTTTTAATCCAAATTGTGTGAGTGGCGGTGCTACTCGTAGGACAGGACATGGTTACCCTATTCGAGAACACCTGGTGTCATCACTGATTTTCAGTCATCTATTCATATAAATGTCACCTCTATTGTGATATTAACGCCCACATGAAATGGACTGTGTTGACGTATTATATTTGCCCAAAAGTAAACTAGATCAGTCGCCTCTTACGACAAGCGTGGGTTGCTGAAGACCATTTGTAACCCGGATGTTCACGGCGGACTATGACCAGTACCTAGTATAGGCATGGCGCTGGCTGATGTCGGCATGTCCCCGGCTATCATCAGCTGGAACACAGAGAAGGCCAGGAGAACTGTGACGCCGAGCGAGACCTTCTCCCCGGAGTCCGGCGGCAGGTAAAACACCATCAGCACCAGGCACGACATCATCAAGCAGGGTATCAGAATGTTGATGAAGTAGTACGTGGACTTCCTCCGTATTTGTAAGGTCACAGCAACTTCCGGGTATATCAATTCCGGGCTGTTGATGTAACTGAACCTGTCCCCCTCGACTTTTGAGCTCAGGATCTCCCACTCTCCGTTCTCAATGTAGGCGTCCTTGTCGAGTTCCGGCGACGCGAACGTGAGGTTGACGAGGTCGACGGTGTAGTCCCACGTTGAGAAGAACATCGTGCACGTCTGACGGTCAAACGGGTAGAGCGTGATGTCCATCTCGCACGACGTCGTGAACACCCCCGCCGGCTCCCACGACATTAGGCCGGTGTAGGAGATGAGCACGTAGAAATTGTCACGGAAGTTCTTCTCGATTATATTGTCGACGCTGAAAGTGGAAACACACCTTTTGATCAAAGAATGCGCAAGTTAATTGAGTATGCTTAGTAAAGATTTATTTATTATTTGTTGTTAAACGCCGGAATATTCCCACTAAACTGCCGGGTTTAAGACAGAATACACCCATGTTTGATGGTGGCTAAAAAAGAAACAAACAAGAAATTGTTATTCGATGGTGATTTATTTAACAAGGGTATCGTAGATGTGTTTTGGGCCTTAAGTATGCAGTGTTTTGGCAAATGTTTTGTTACGTTTTGATTACGTTTGTAATTGAATTCTTTCTTTTGCCCCGCAATAATCTTGCTATTATCGTGCTTGTCGTATATCGCAGACTAAAATGCTAATTATAGACGGTCAGGCCTTACGACTGAACTGAATGCATTTCATCGTTCCCTGATGGCTCGGATCGTAGCCCACACTTTTTGTGGCGGGTGTTCCTCAGTTCCTGACCCACTCACCCATGGAGCCTCGATTTTTGCAAGCTGCTTGAAAAATGCTTAATATATGTAACCATTGCTGACTGTGGTGATAAATAACACTCACTCACTAAATATTGTATAGCATCTAAGTAAAGACGCAAAAACCGTGTTGTGAATGAACATGTTCTTTTTCTGCCCTGCTTTCTGAATAATCATAAACATGTATTATATTGTATAAAACATAAATTGTGCCCAACTGTGATGTTTACGACGCGGAAACACACCAGGGTAATGATCACTTCATCCCATATATAATGTCATTCTTACAATTAATGGATGTTTAAGAAGTACTTTCACTCAGTGGAGTAGCGTTAGAAAGTTAGCCGAATTTGTCCTATAGTGTCTGTGTCTCATTGCAGCCATGTTTGTCTACACAAACACGGCGCTATATCGGGGATCCCTTTATTTGAGCATATTGGGATAGAAGGAAGGCGACAAGGCAATGATGCATCGATGTATGGAGTTTGAAAGTAGTTCCTACTAGGTGACACCAAGTTTATCGTATGGGTTTATCAAATCATGGCAATATATTCCCTCTAGCGATCGGCCAACCTCGTCCATTTCCGTAACCGCAAACAAGAATCTAATTTGAGGGAAATGGACAATGGTGATCAGTGTTTTTCAAGGCACAACCTTGCAAAGGCTTTCTCCGGGAACGATTAGAAGAAACGATCAAATGCAGTGTACAGTGTAATACTAGCCATTAGATGCCAATACCAACCATTTGTAAAGCAACAGTCACTGGATAAATAGAGGTTATCACGCTTGTGTGTTTGGAGATGGTAAATATCCTGTATTAGGAATAAACACTATGTATTTAGCGAGCCTTGGCGAGCTAAACACACAGTGTTTATTCCTAATACAGGATATTTACCTTCTCCAAACACACAAGCGTGATACCCTCTTTATCATAAAATGTCATTCTTTAATTTTGTGCTTCGCTTTCCCTCTCTCACAAACATTACGGAAACATTGCCAAGGCTCGCTTAATACAATGTTTATTCCTAATACAGGATATTTACCATCACAAAACACACTCGCGTGATAACCTCTGTATACTCCAAGGAGACTTTATAAGGACATATTGAACCGATACAATATAAGGTATGGAAACGGACAATCAACTGATTCAGTGTCCCAACCTGTTTCCACGGCAACATGTGCATGTGCGTCCCTTTACTCCCATGTGATGCTGAAATGCCTTGGTGTAACGGAAAGACTGTTCCCAGACAGCGTTAACCCAGCTCCCTCTCCACCCACCTGTTGTCCAGGGCAATTATCGGCAGCCATACAGAGGCCGTGGGCAGCACTAGTTTAGTGATGTTGTCGTACTGGGCGGGATCCCATCGGAAGATGTCGTCATACCACCTCTACAACAGGCACTTGAACTGTGGACGAACTCTACAGTTGTTCTATATATACTACTCAAAACAAGTTAAAAAACACCCGATGCTTTCATATTGCTACTACAGTTAATCTGGCAAGCCATGACAGCTATAATATATAGCATATAACTATAATAGTAAGAAAGAATAATTCTTTAACTTCTTTTGAGTTGTATATACCGATGAAAAGGAAAAAAAGGGTCCACGTGTTTGACGATATTTACCCAGAAAATGACTTAATGACAGTGAAGTGATCATACCAGATACAATTATTTCATTAACAGTCTCTATCTTAATTACCAAGCAGGCCAATATACATTCTTCTGCTATATTTTTACCTGTTCCTTTATTTTTGTCCATCAGTATACACACCCTTTCTTTGTAGAATACGTCAAGAGAAGACTTGCACTGTGGGTATGCACTCCCATGTTCTACACCAAGTATACATACAGTATATACCATCATGCCCATATTAAAGTATGGGCCATGGGAGTGGCTATAGTCTTAACACTAATTAGTTCATTATCGCCGACATAAAATGATAAGTGAATGCAGCACTAAAACAGATTCACCAAGGAGAAGAAAAAAATATTAGAAGTGTAGTTTAGATGTGAAGGTGATACGGCATTCTAAACTTGAACTGTCAACTTAACAGTTCAGATTCATCTTGGAGCATGCTGTACGCCATGTTTACCAAACTCCAACGCAGCACGGTGGGGAACACGAATGGCTTCCACACTCTATACATGGGGAATCAAAACGCCCTACACCCAATAGGGCTTAAAACCGCTCATGAATTAAGGATTACCCCAATAATTAGCACAGAAGGTAAACGGCTCTGCTCGGTTTGAATCGGAAAAATTAACAAATGTTTTTGAAGAGGCATTTAGCCGTCGTACTCCTGTGACAATGAACCCATGAAGAGCCGCGTTAGAATTGATCTTCAGCAACCTATGCTGGTCGTAGGAGGCTCGCTGACTTGGTTGATGCACGTATCCCAATTACATAGATCGATGCTCATGATGTCAATCACTGGATTGTCTGGTCCAAACTCGATTATTTACAGACCCCCGCCATATAGCTGCATAGAATATTGCTGAGTGCGGCGTAAAACAAGAAGCAAACAAAGAAAACAAACCTATGATAATACATTCTTCTTATTGTACAGTCAACTACGGTTATAACGAACACGCTTATAACGAACTGACGGATATAACGAACTTACTTTTTGGTCCCGACTATTTGCTGTGGTTATGCTGTATATATGCTTATAACGAACTACGGTTATAACGAACTAAAATTAGTAGTCCCTTTGAGTTCGTTATAACCGTACTTTACTGTACTTACCATCACGATCCACCCGGTGACAGACAACATCTCACTCCGCATATTCTGGCAGTGGGAACAAGAAGTTGATAGCTTGATAAATAGATAATCGTTGTGTTGTCAAATTCATTCGTCTATTTGACGATGAAGGAAACGACACACCTTGATGCAATACTATAATGAACAAAAAGGGATCATGACTTATTTTTTGGGGATAGTTTTTTATAAGTGATGGGGTGAAATAGGGTTTAACGTCACGTCCAAGATTATTGCACTTATATAGCGACGTGCATGTACGTGTGTGTGTGTGTGTGTGTGTGTGTGTGTGTGTGTGTGTGTGTGTGTGGCTGCTTTTACTTGTCCGGACTGAACATGTTTGATATTAGTCCAAATAATCCATTAAAAAGCTCTTTGTTTACCTTAGTTTTCCACACAACAATGTGTAAAGCCATGCAATCATTTACACATTCTTATAAAAATCTTATCCTAGTGATCCCAGGGGATCAGGTCATGTAAGTCGCTATGCAGGTGAGGTGAAATGGGGTTTAACGTCGCATCGGAGATTATTGCACTTATATAGCGACATGCATGTACGTGTGAGTGTGGCTGCTTGTACTGGTCTGGACTGATGCCGATTTATCGTGCTAGCACACTTAGATACCACACCGCTGTTTAACATGAATACCCCACTCAGACACAGTATACTGACTCCGAGCCGACCAGTCCTTGTTTTATCCCTTTAATGCCAAGCGCCAGGCAGGGTAACAACAAGTACCATCTTTTAACGTCTTTTGGTAAGACGCGGCCGGGCGGACGCTATACAACTAGACCACGGAGGCGGTCTTTATAAGTGATGACTGACCACACAATTTCCCCAAAAATGTAAATCATCCCCATTTTTTGTGTCCAGTATTTATAGGCTTTCTATTTGTTTCGACTTCCACCCAGCCCATTGTTTATATATTCTGAAACTAAAATAAATAAAGAAGCGTATGTTCGCTTCAAGCCTACACAGAAATAATAAATACATATGAAATAATATGAGCTGTGAACACTTATAAACGGTTATGATAGCAGATATTCTATTCAGAGGCAGGTATTGACGTGATCTTGACCCACTGATTCAACAGTCAAACCTTTTACAGAGCCAAGGTAAAACAATAAAATAATACACCACAGTCATCGGGCGAATACAGGTAAAGTATTTCAACCCAATAGGCCGAAGAGAGTGCGAAATCGAATTCCCCGGAAGCGCTCGTAAGTCGACAACGTAATAAGAATATGAGCAAAAACTCCTATGACAAGTTATTACGAACATTTTAAGATAAATATCTTTCTGTGAAGCACTAGAAACGATTCTACCGCGGCATAATTGTAGAACGTCGTATAAGAGTAACTTACCAATATGTCTACCCTCGTCATGTAGAAGGCGAAGCTCACGTCTACCGTCTCCGAGGCGTTTATCCGTGGTCTGACCCTTCGGTCATAGTTGCTGGTCAGCTGGGCCACGAGTCGTGCCTCGGTCGTCCGGTTGCTTGTCCCTGTAATACAACAGCCGCCATTGTCATGAAAAAGTTCTTCCACTCTTGCCATGTATCATGATTTCACAATGCGTCCCACTTTTCGTATTGATGTTGGATTTGAAGGGAATTTTATAGGGATAAAAAAAATACGTTACAAAAGTCAGAAACAACTGCATTGTTAAAAAATTAAGGAGTGTCCTCGGGACCTTAAGGTTTTCTGCTGTAATATTTGAATCTAGGTTCCCCTTAAAATCTTTCATAACGGACGGGTCGTCGCCGACCACTTAGGCGCGCGATAAACCTATGATTGTGGGTTCGAATCCCACTTCTCCCTGATCATGTTATTTGCTTGTGGATTTCATCAAAGTGGTAGACGTCTAAGACCCGTATCATTTCGAGCTTATCTCCCACATCAAGCTGACACGAAGTGATAGAACTGATATACTCACTGTTTAAAGCGGCGCCATACATAACTTTATTTCGGAGAATATATGTTAGTCTACCTTATTCACTCATAGGTAGAAACAGTTCGTACAGTGACATTGATAAAGTGACACCCATTCAAACATTCACTTGCCGACCGCGCCCCTTGATAACTAATTATACATCCCTGCAAAAGACACATACTTAATCTATTGCAAATGAAGATATTATTCCCTCATTTTCCTGCCAAAATAAATATTTTCATATATATTTACACAACATATGCAAAAGTATACATTTGTGTTTAGACCAATTGAAACAAATTAAATGGTTTAGATTTCCCCACCTAACGTATGATGTGTAGCTGGTGTCAAAATTTCTTTTGGTTCATGCCCATTCTTTTTCATCATGAATGTTTGGGAAAAGAACCTCTAAAAATGAAATATACAAACCTTCCGTAGCAACTGCAGATATGCAGAGAAGAAGTAATTTCAGAAGCAGCAGCCATTTTTCCAATATCATCACGTCATTGTACCGGCGACATAAGTGTATGACGTCATTCAGTATATGACGTCATACCAAACTACGTCACATGGAAACACAAACTCCAATCTCACGTTCGGCTATTTCCGTCAAGCCCGATAAAAAGAGCGTCCTCTGTTGGCAGATTGGCACAAACCCGATCAGTTCACTCTGTTGGGGCGATTCTGGATATCTGGTTACATTGCACGTAGATGTGGTTACCAGTGTAGCCTTCATTTCATCCGAGAGCATTCTAGAAAGCCATCAGTTTTTTGTAGTGTATTTTTTAGGGGGTGGGGGTAGATGAGGTGGGTCTTTTTCGTAAAAGAGAGCTAAGATTTTACCAGTCACATTTCAAATTATACCAATGGAGGGAATGTTGAACTTTTGTCACGATTAACTCAAACGTAATTTTACTGTACAGACGTATATAGAGGCGGTGTCTGTCTGGACTTGGAGTACTCACTGAAGCCGAGTTTGACACGAGTGAGTAGGGGTCCTCACCCCTGCAATGATAACTCACCGGTGGTCCATTATGTAATTTCTAGTGTATGAATGACATATTGTTCTTAAAAAAACGTTATGTGGAAATAGATAGTTCTTTGTTTTTATATTCATGTTGATATTTCCGCTATTCAAAGTGTGCAGTGAGGCCGTCTTCTCAACAGTCATTTCAGAGACATAAATGCAAAGTTTTATCAATTAAGTCCACTCGCATTTTTCGCATTTAACAAACACGCGCGTTTATTTAAAGATTTACAGTTTATACTATTCAAAAGAAGTTAAAGAACACCCGAGTGTTTTTGCTGATATTCAATGATCCATTCCTATAATTCCCACCGCTATGTTGACTCTTATACCTAGAAATATTTAACATTTTGTAGTAGATAAATGTCAGATATAGATACAGAATGCTACTCGTTTAGTTTCTATACACGCATGTGTTTCTTTTCTTGTATTGTAGTAAATAAGCATGATTCACATACACTGCAACAGAAAAATCTATACACAGAAAGTTCGCGGATCATTTGCGATTTCTTTGCGAAACTTAATTGCCCCTAGTGTGGGAGTTATTAGTTTTATGCCTACCACAGACAGATATACAGACAGACGGAAACACACACACACACACACACACACACACACACACACACACACACACACGCAGCATGACAGAGGAAGACAGACAGAACACAGAAATACAACTCACCCACTTGCATAATTTGACCAAACTATACTTAAAATATACATAAAATATTAGGATGACAGCTGATTTAACATATGTTATAGATAATCATAGTAATGCACTTCATAGTGTTATGATGGTTAACTGTGTCGCCACACTAATTAGGATGTCTCTCCATATGTGTAGTTTACCCCAGTACACACATCAACTGTGATAACACCATTGTCACAGGGGAGCCGGGAGGTAGCCTAGTGGTTAAAGCGTTCGCTGGTCATGGCAAAGACCAAGGTTCGATACCCCACTTGGGTACAATGAGTGAAGCCTATTTCTGGTGTTCCCAACCCCAATATATTGCAGGGATATTTAGATTTTAACCTGATTTAATTAGAGCTATTGCCATGACCGGTCATGCACTTTCAGGGTGATGGTCACATAAACTCCTAAATATGGCCATAAATCAATCAGTTACCTTCTTCGCAGAAATCCGTGATTGTTTTAAAATCACCTTTGTCTGTACAGTTAAATTATGTTTAAGTAAATAGTGAGAAAATTCCCACTTTCCCTCAATAGGTATAATTTGAAATGTGACTAGAAATAATCCCCAAATTTTGATGTAAAATAACATCTTTAGGGTGCAGCCACTTTGTATCTATTCACGCCTGGTGGAAGTCAATCTACCAGCCCATACAAAATTACCCAGGAAGAAATATATTTTCATGTTTCGACTGTGCATTATACACAGTTAGTGGAGAATTAACCTACCGGTATGACCTCATAAGGGCGTGACGGAACACTGATGTTATTGACCAGTGATGCCAGGCAACTCCTTGTGCGTCTCATGACGTGGTGAGGTCAGAGTTGGTTTACACCATGGTTCTCCAGCATCCCAGGGGGCATGGGTGGCCCAGTCGTCTAAGGCGCCGCGATTCGCTTAGCAGAGTTGCGTCCCTTGGGCACGCCAGAAACCTATAATTGTGGGTTCGAATCCTGCTTCGCCCCGATTATGTTTCTCGGTTTGTCAGCACCATACCCGTGCTCCTGGGTTTCACCGAAGTGGTAAACGTCAGAGACCTGCATCACTTCGTGCTTTCCTCCCATATTAAGCTGACCCGCCGCAATATAACTGGAATACTGTTAAAAGCAGCGTTAAACCCAACTCACTCACTCATTCACTCCAGCATCCCGAATACACAGGCCGATGTGCAGTGTAGCAGTGACCTGTGTCTATTTTAGTCGATTTATTTGTTTAACACCACACTCAGCAATATTCCACCTATGACAACGGTCTCCAAAATTATCGAATCTTGACCAGACAATCCAGTGATTGATATCATGAGCAAAGACCTACACAATTGAGATATAATGACATGCATCAACCATGTCAGCTAGCCAGGCCACCCAATCCAGTTACCTCTTGAGACAAGCAAGACCTATTCTACCCCGGATCTTCACAGGGTCGTGGTTTTGAAGTAACATCTCCACCTGCTGTAACCATGGTAACAATCCTGGGTTTGTGTAATAAAACGACACAAATTTACAAAGGATGACATTTTTATTTACAACTTACAATATATATACATATTTACTGATGAGTTGAGACATTTTGTAATCAAAACATGAAACAGGAACAATAACCATGTGTTGCTTGCAGTCAGAACATATGAGAAAAGACCTGATCTGTTCTCTAATACTTCTTTTCAATGACTACATACCCTCCATGAGTTCCCACCATCGGTCTCATCTCGTTTGTTTATTTGTTTGTTTGTTGTTGTTTAATGCCGCACTCAACAATATTTCACCTCTATGACGACAGTCTGTAAATTAATGAGTCGGACCAGACAATCCAGTGATTGACATCATGAGCATTAATCCACGCAGTTGGCATACAATGAAATGTATCAACCAAGTCAGTGAGCCTGACCACCCAATTCTTTTAGTCGCGTCTTACGATAGTAAGCATGGGTTGGTGAAGTCCTATTCTACTCCAGATCGTCTCATTTCTTAATCCCTGTAGGTATGATATTGTGTGTTTTGCCAAAGATTAGTTTTGTTCTAAGTATTGGTCAATGAACCATACCACAAGTTATTACAAGTCTGAATTACTTCGCACATGAATGAGTAGCTGTTTCACACACTGTCCCCATGAAGCCAAGAGTCCGGCGTGACGAGCCAAAGTATGATTTTTATTTGTTTGTTTGTCTGTTTGTTTGTTGTTTAACGCCGCACTCAGCAATACTCCAGCTATATGGTGGCGGTCTGTAAAATAATGGAGTCTGGACCAGACAATCCAGTGACTGACATCATGAGCATTGATCCACACAATTGAGATCGATGATATGCATCAACCAAGTCAGCGAGCCTGACCACACGATCCCGTTAGTCGCCTTTTACTCCAATGTATGACTGTTACACCATCCCATCACAAATATAAATCCAAACCATCTCAACTCTGACTTTATATACTTGTGTTTACTGTATCTTGTCCACATTTCCTTACTAATAAATCCCTATGTCCACGCCATGGTCCTCCGTGAATGGTCTATCCAAGTACGGCAGGCTGACTCATGTCATAACGCCTCCAGTGCCAATAGTCCTGGAACAACATTTGTTTCCATAGGAAAATGAAGAAGTTGTTCAGTGTACTGACAATGGTTCACACAGCACGCAATGTTCCACATGAGTGAGTCTGGACTACCCCACGTTGAACAGTATTTCAATTATACCATGGCATGTCTTGATGGAGAAGGAAATCTCCCAAAGTGATGCAAGTCTCCGATGTTTACCACACTGGTGAAACCGACAACCCCAGGATACCTGAGGTATAATGCCAACTGCTGCACATGACAACAAAGTGCAGTGCATACGAACCCAGGGGTCTCTTGAATTTGCTGAGTTGCCAGAGTTGCAGGATCAAACATAAAGACATCTTCTCCTGGATGTGTTACAGCACAAGGGTCATTTAGCTGTATGCCAAGGTCAATGTCAGAATTTGCCAAGACTCCATGAAAAGAAAGCAAAAATATTCCATCCTATTGGTGTGAGTGAGATGTAAGATCATCTTCGTGTCTGTGTATCTGCTAAGGACGATTCTATAAGGTGAAGGTCAGAGGCATCGTCCTTCAAGATTTGGATCAGATGATTGAGACCATCTTGTTGTTGTTTCAGGAGCTGAGAAAAACAGAACAGAGCAATGTCTTTTAAGTATTTTAATATATTCACCTACTGTTTTAAAACTAAGGATCTTTACTCTATAACTTGGTTGGTTTGTTGGTTGGTTTGTTGTTTAACGCCGCACTCAGCCATATTCCAGCTATATGACGGCGGTCTGTAAATAATCGAGTCTGGACCAGACAATCCAGTGATTAATATCATGAGCATCGATCCACACAATTGGGATCGATGACATGCATCAACCAAGTCAGCAAGCCTGACCACCCGATCCCGTTAGTCGCCTTTTACGACAAGCATAGTCACCTTTTACGGCAAGCATGGGTTGCTGAAGACCTATTCTACCCCGGAATCTTCACGGGTATCTACAACTTGGGGTTTCCGAACCTCACTCAATGGACAACGTATTACCAGTAACTGACGATAATATAGTTAAAAAGCCATACTATGAATGATTAACTATAGTAATAAGAAAGAATCGGCTGTTCTTAACTGAGTAATATATATACCAAACACTGCATAGCTTTATTCTAGTTCTCCAACATAGCAGGGTTTTAACAAAAACAAAAGTGTGTACCTACCCTTGTTTGAAATTATCGGCAGGAGTAATCATGGTAACAGGAGCCACTACATTATTTTTATTAGACTTATTAGCAATAACTGGATAATATTAACTACAGACAAACATGTCAAACACTGTTGTGTCAAAGTTTGATGTGTCAAACTTATGTTTGTCTCCGAGTGAAAACTTTGTCCCTGTGTATTCCTTCTTTATTCATCCTTTTGGGTTGTGGTGAACCTCGTATAACTATTAAGTATTAATGTAAGTCCCTTCAACACAACGGTGTTTGACTGAAATTCGTAATACTCCTTGACCATAAAAAGTACACAGGAACCATGGTAGCCTATACATGTCTAGTAGTACCTGTTTTATCTCCGACTGTAGTTCTGTGTCCATCTGAAATGACACCTCCTGTCTCTGAGATGAAACATGATTCTGCATCCTGATCTGGGACATCAGCTCATTGAGTCGACCCTGGAGATAATGGGCAAATACATCAGCTCATTGAGTCAACCCTGGAGATAATGGGGAAATACATCAGCTCACTGAGTCGACCCTGGAGATAATGGGGAAATACATCAGCTCACTGAGTCGACCCTGGAGATAATGGGTAAATACATCAGCTCATTGAGTCGACCCTGGAGATATAGGCAAATACATCAGCTCATTGAGTCGACCCTGGAGATAATGGGGAAATACATCAGCTCATTGAGTCGACCCTGGAGATAATGGGCAAATACATCAGCTCACTGAGTCGACCCTGGAGATAATGGGGAAATACATCAGCTCACTGAGTCGACCCTGGAGATAATGGGGAAATACATCAGCTCACTGAGTCGACCCTGGAGATAATGGGTAAATACATCAGCTCATTGAGTCGACCCTGGAGATATAGGCAAATACATCAGCTCATTGAGTCGACCCTGGAGATAATGGGGAAATACATCAGCTCATTGAGTCGACCCTGGAGATAATGGGGAAATACATCAGCTCATTGAGTCGACCCTGGAGATAATGGGTAAATACATCAGCTCATTGAGTCGACCCTGGAGATAATGGGTAAATACATCAGCTCATTGAGTCGACCCTGGAGATAATGGGTAAATACATCAGCTCATTGAGTCGACCCTGGAGATAATGGGGAAATACATCAGCTCACTGAGTCGACCCTGGAGATAATGGGTAAATACATCAGCTCATTGAGTCGACCCTGGAGATAATGGGCAAATACATCAGCTCATTGCGTCGACCCTGGAGATAATGGGGAAATACATCAGCTCATTGAGTCGATAATGGGAAAATATTACTGTCATACTCTTCATGACATTTTGAACTGTATTTCAGGCAGGCCCAAACTTTCACTTTATTAATTCAGGGTTTAAAGTGGGAGGAAAGCCCGAAGTGATGCAGGTCTCTGATGTTTACCACTTTGCTGAAACCCAGAAGCATGGGTATGATGCTGACAAACCTAGAAACATGATAGAGGTGTTCAAACCAATGATCATAAGATCCTGGCATGCTCTGCACAGGAGATTGCCGTGCCTGAGAAAACTGGGTCACCTATGCTCCTCCGGACTAATGGCGATTTTATAGTTTTACCCCCACTGAGATACAATGCCACAGTTTAACCTGAATACCCCACTCAGACACAGCATACTGACTGATCCAAGCAGTCCTTGATTTCACCCCATAAAGCCAGGTGCCAGGCAGGGCAAAAACAAGAACCACAAGAACCCCTGACATTCCTTCACCTTCCTCACGCGCACTCACGCGCACTCACACGCACACATGCAAGCATGCACACACAAAGAGTCAATCCAATAATGTTTAATACAACGTTAAATCTGATGTCAACTCCCCTCCCGTACAAGTTTCTATCACGTAATCGGGTAACCCCCTCTCCTTCTGTGAGTGTGGTTTACTGCGACACTCAGCAATATGCCAGCTATATGACAGTCTGCTTGTGGGGTACGACTGACCTTAAACTGTGTGGGGTGGTTGAGTTCAGTCTGCAGAACCTCAAGCTGCACCTTGAGATGCTCTTCTTCCGCCTGGATGGCGTACCCCATCTTCCGGTAGATCTCCTGCTTCACAATCACCTGCAATGAAACAACACACCTGTAACGATCACCTGTCATACACAATCAACAATATGTATCGATCTGTAATGAGTACTGATGTGAAATAAATCAATATTCACAAAATATTACCACATTAACAATAGCTAGCCCCTAAATTAGTTTCACCCCCCCCCAACCTACATGTCCAACCCATCCCCGCCCCTAGGTCAGCTCCTCCCTCCCCTATCATACCATGCCCCTCATGTCCACCCCATCCCCGCCCCTAAGTCAGCTCCCCCACCCCACATCATACCATGCCCCACATGTCCACCCCGTCCCCTAGGTCAGCTCCCCCTGCCCCACATGTCCACCCCATCCCTCTATGCCCACCTGCAACAGTCGGTGGCCCAGCTCCAGGTGCTTCCTCTTGTACTCCTCCTGTCTAGCTAGCATGTTGCTGTGCTTGTTCTGCAGGTCCGTCAGATCACCAGACATCACCTGAAGCAACAGGATCCCACAAATACATTCTTTGTCATCCATTCATGGAATATAGCTTCTCAGAACATGTTTGATATTAGTCCAAATAATCCATTAAAAAGCTCTTTGTTTACCTTAGTTTTCCACACAACAATGTGTAAAGCCATGCAATCATTTACACATTCTTATAAAAATCTTATCCTAGTGATCCCAGGGGATCAGGTCATGTAAGTCGCTATGCAGGTGAGGTGAGATTATTGCACTTATATAGCGACATGCATGTACGTGTGAGTGTGGCTGCTTGTACTGGTCTGGACTGATGCCGATTTATAGTGCTAGCTCACTGAGATACCATGCCGCAGTTTACATGAATACCCCACTCAGACACAGTATACTGACTCCGAGCCGACCAGTCCTTGTTTTAGCCCCTTAATGCCGAGCGCCAGACAGGTTAACAACAACTGCCATCTTTTAACGTCTTTTGGTATGACGCGGCTGGGGATCGAACCCCGGACCTTCCGCTCTACCGGAGGCGGTCCAAGTCGCTATGCACGGGATTACAGTGCAGTTGTTTGGGAGGTGACAATGATGAAGCTGGGATGTTTTGGGGTGAGTTGTTTTTGGAAGCTGGAAACTTCGTTCAAGTGTGTTACCACATAGGATCAAAAGAAGAAGTAAGAACTGCATAGTGTGAGATAGGATAAGTTTAAAAATGTAGTATTTCTGAGTATGACAAAGCTGTACTCACATCGAGACGTTGTTGATGTAGTCGTGTCTGTTCCTGCTGGTGCTGTAGTCGCCGCTGAACCTCCTTGAAGCCGATCATTGGGACTGGGATCAGTCTGGTGGGATCTGGGTTGTCCAGCTTGGCCTGCTGCCACAGCACAGGGTCGATACCTGGAGGAGGCAGAAGAGTGAGTGAGTGAGTAGTTTGGCCTGCTGCCACAGCACAGGGTCGATACCTGGAGGAGGCAGAAGAGTGAGTGAGTGAGTAGTTTGGCCTGCTGCCACAGCACAGGGTCGATACCTGGAGGAGGCAGAAGAGTGAGTGAGTGAGTAGTTTGGCCTGCTGCCACAGCACAGGGTCGATATTTGGCCTGCTGCCACAGCACAGGGTCGATACCTGGAGGAGGCAGAAGAGTGAGTGAGTGAGTGAGTAGTTTGGCCTGCTGCCACAGCACAGGGTCGATACCTGGAGGAGGCAGAGGAGTGAGTGAGTGAGTAGTTTGGCCTGCTGCCACAGCACAGGGTCGATACCTGGAGGCAGAGTGAGTGAGTGAGTGAGTGAGTGGTTTGGCCTGCTGCCACAGCACAGGGTCGATACCTGGAGGAGGCAGAGTGAGTGAGTGAGTGAGTGAGTGAGTGAGTGAGTGTGTGAGTGAGTGAGTGGTTTGGCCTGCTGCCACAGCACAGGGTCGATACCTGGAGGAGGCAGACAAGTGAGTGAGTGAGTGAGTGTGTGAGTGAGTGGTTTGGCCTGCTGCCACAGCACAGGGTCGATACCTGGAGGCAGAGTGAGTGAGTGAGTGGTTTGGCCTGCTGCCACAGCACAGGGTCGATACCTGGAGGAGGCAGAAGTGTGAGTGAGTGAGTGAGTGGTTTGGCCTGCTGCCACAGCACAGGGTCGATACCTGGAGGAGGCAGACAAGTGAGTGAGTGAGTGAGTGAGTGAGTGAGTGAGTGAGTGTGTGAGTGAGTGAGTGGTTTGGCCTGCTGCCACAGCACAGGGTCGATACCTGGAGGAGGCAGAGTGAGTGAGTGAGGGAGTGAGTAGTTTGGCCTGCTGCCACAGCACAGGGTCGATACCTGGAGGAGGCAGAGTGAGTGAGTGAGTGAGTGAGTGAGTGAGTGAGTGTGTGAGTGAGTGAGTGGTTTGGCCTGCTGCCACAGCACAGGGTCGATACCTGGAGGAGGCAGACAAGTGAGTGAGTGAGTGAGTGTGTGAGTGAGTGGTTTGGCCTGCTGCCACAGCACAGGGTCGATACCTGGAGGCAGAGTGAGTGAGTGAGTGGTTTGGCCTGCTGCCACAGCACAGGGTCGATACCTGGAGGAGGCAGACAAGTGAGTGAGTGAGTGAGTGAGTGAGTGAGTGTGTGAGTGAGTGAGTGGTTTGGCCTGCTGCCACAGCACAGGGTCGATACCTGGAGGAGGCAGAGTGAGTGAGTGAGGGAGTGAGTAGTTTGGCCTGCTGCCACAGCACAGGGTCGATACCTGAGGAGGCAGACAAGTGAGTGAGTGAGTGAGTGAGTGAGTGAGTGAGTGAGTGGTTTGGCCTGCTGCCACAGCACAGGGTCGATACCTGGAGGAGGCAGACAAGTGAGTGAGTGAGTGAGTGAGTGTGTGAGTGAGTGAGTGGTTTGGCCTGCTGCCACAGCACAGGGTCGATACCTGAGGAGGCAGACAAGTGAGTGAGTGAGTGAGTGTGTGAGTGAGTGAGTGGTTTGGCCTGCTGCCACAGCACAGGGTCGATACCTGGAGGAAGCAGACAAGTGAGTGAGTGAGTGAGTGAGTGAGTGTGTGAGTGAGTGAGTCGGTGGTTTGGCCTGCTGCCACAGCACAGGGTCGATACCTGAGGAGGCAGACAAGTGAGTGAGTGAGTGAGTGTGTGAGTGAGTGAGTGGTTTGGCCTGCTGCCACAGCACAGGGTCGATACCTGGAGGAGGCACGAGAGTGAGTGAGTGAGTGAGTGAGTGAGTGAGTGAGTGAGTGAGTGAGTGAGTGAGTGAATGATTGGGCCTGCTGCCACAGCACAGGGTCAATACCTGGAGGAGGCAGACAAGTGAGTGAGAACAGTATTCCAGTTACATCCCAGCGTTTTAGCCTGATGTGGGAGGGAAGCCAAAATTGATGCAAGTCTTAGGCGTTTACCACTTTGGTGAAACCCACAAGCACAGGTATGATGCTGACAAGCCTAGAAACAATCGGAGCAATTTAAACCCACATTCATAGGTTTCTGCCTTGCCCAAGGGACACAACTCTGCAGAGCGAATTGCAGTGCCTTAGACGACTGGGCCACCCGTGGCCCCAATTAATGGTTGAAGACCATTAAGATCAACATCACTGGACACAGACATTGTATCCATCTTAGATCAGTCTCATGCTTTAGACAACAAACATGGGCATTGGGAGCTATTCTATCCTTGGGAGTACATATTGTCCATCACATCACCAACTGGTGGAAATCACAAAGGAAGTGCCCTTATCCTAGTAGTGTCATCTCTACTTTTCCAAAGTCAACGCCGCCTTACCAGCTGGGGGTTTATCTAGGTACTCCTTCAGCTGTTCACTGGACCAGCCCATCTTTGGCACAATGTTTTCCACAGTCAGCTGGGTGACCAGTGTGTTCTTAGTGCCTGCCTGGTTCATGAATGTAAACAGATCCGACGCTCCAACCCGTCTAGCAGGCCCTGTCTGTGGACGCTCCAGCACATAGATCACCAACTCTGTCCTGCAATGGAAGATTTACAAATGGTAAGTAGAAAGGCCTGTTGTCACTGTTCCAGGCCTAAATGATACTTAACCATAGCCATATACATGATACCAATGTTTCCGTTGCTTTTGAAACTCAAGTTCTCCTCGCAACTCTAAAAATTACCAGCCCCAATTTTTGTCAGTCCCAACTTTGAACAAATAAAAAAAGTATGATAATTCAAGGATTTAACTCTTTTAACATCATGTTCAAAGCAGTGTACATTCATGACTGACAAACTCAATGACATCATCTGAGAGGTTACTTAGTTATATCTACATGTCATTCACACAAAATTCTCTAGTTTCTCGGAATATTTCATTTAACCTCGAAGCTGAAATGTTAATTTCTTGCACCAAAAATAGTCAAAGGAAAACCCTGATGATAAAACTTTGCCCAACCTGTCCTCTGGGAGTGGTCGGATGCCCTCCACACAGACAGAGAGAGTGGGTTTACTGCCGAACATCTTGTGTAGTGTGTCAACGATTTGCTGTTGCGCTGCAGCCACATCGGTCTGCTTCTTCTTCAACATGAGCGCCACCAACCCATCCTCGTTCCTCCCACTTGGTATCACATGGTACCCAATCGCCTAGGAAACCAAACAATTCAGTGCATAGAAAGGTATGTGAGGGAATGTTTGACCCCGCTATTTCATATTTGTATCATATTTGTCTTGCAATGTGTGAATCAAACAGTATCATTTTCCATTTTTTAATTCATTCAGCAGGCATATACACGATGTACACTGGTCTCATATATCATGACTATACATATTTTTACATATCACATGTATTGTCGGATCATAGGTTTAAGGACGTCATACATTTCGGGACAGCCATGTTTATCGTGATTACTTGCGCTATAACAGGGGGTGTAGCATCACATAGACATTGTAAATCCTCAGATGACGGCTTGTTTTGAAGAGAAAGTTGTCTTTTATAAGTAAATGAGATGTTTTACAGTTGTTGATGTGATTAGAGAGGACACTATGAATGTTTCGTAAGTGTCCGAAAACCCATAACACGGGGATATACACATACATTTACATTGAATTACTGGTAGGACTGTACCTTGAATCTGCAGAAGGGGTTATCTGCCTTAAACTCCACCACGCCATTCGGACTGTAGAAGCCCTTCCCAGTTCCCCAGCATGCCTGGAGCTGGTTCCACTTGGCTATCATGGCATCTTTCTCGTCACCATAGATCTGCGGCAGCGACACAGCCATGGCCATATTGGTGAGGTCAGAGGCACCCTGCTGCTGCTGAGGTTGCTGGCCTCCTGGAAACAGAACATTCTTTTCAGGTGGTGAGGTGAAAGGGATTAAAGCATATAACGATGTGCATGTACATGTGTGGCTGCTTGTACTAGTCTGGACTAGCCAGTTCTATATTGCTAGCCCACTGAGATACCATGCCACCACATGACATGGATACCCAACTCAGACACGGTATACTGACTCTGAAGCAACTAGTCCTTGTTTTATCCACTTAAAGCTGAGCGCAAGGCAACAAGTACCATCTCTGAGCATCTTTCGGTATGAACCCCCCCATCTCACCTTTTGTCACAAGCTCATTCAAATCAGATCATAGTTCTCGTTACTGCTAGACAATGATCTGAGGACATTATATTATGGGTCTCGTCAGAACGACCTTTTGTGAACTTGACATACCAATGAAATGACAAACTGGAAGTTGACATTAGCCAATCAGAAAGATGCTTCCTCTAGCTTTTCAGGCCTAGTTTCAAACTGGCAACTTCAGAGTACCAGTAGTACCAGTAAGCTTTGAAAATATTTTGATAAAGTTATTGATTCAAAATTTGAAAACTGAACAAAAGAACATTCTGGAATGTCAAATATATATATGCCCATGATTGTCAGCAGTAATACCTACAGGCTATGAAAAGTCTTTTCCATTTGAAATCCCATTGAAGCAAAGAGAGACAATGAGGGAATCATCCATATAGCACATGACTGTCATTCGGCATGCCCAACTTTTTTAGATTGCGCAATTACAAAACACTCTTCGGCTGTCACTTTCCTGATCTGGTACGTGACGCTCTAGATTGTCAGATGAAATGTCGTTCCAACGTGACCCGTAACTGGATGTCCTCAGATCTTTGTTAAGTGGTAGCAAAGAACTAAGATCCGTTTTAATGAGATTGCCTTTTGTCAGGAAGTGGGAAGAAAGCTCATTTGACAATGTATGATGATGATGATGGTAGTAGGACCCAAATATGAGACCCGTGATGATTCCGGGGTAGAATTGGTCTTCAGCAACCCATGCTTGCCGTTAAAGGTGGTTATGCGACTAACGGGATCGGGTGGTCAGGCTTGCTGACTTGGTTGATGTATGTCTATCCCAATTGCATGGATCGATGCTCATGAGTTCAATCACTGGATTGTCTGGTCCAGACTCGCTTATTTACAGACCGCCGTCATATAGCTGGAATATTGCTGAGTGCGGCGTTAAACAACAACAACAAAAAAAAAAATGAAAGCACTGTTACTTCCATTCACTACTTCCATTGGACATTGGCCTCATCTTGTGCATAGAGAAGTTTCCCTGTTAACACGTTCAAGCTAAAACCATATTTCAGAAACATCACCGAACACTGAAACATAGAAACTTCTACCAATTTCAAGATAACAAATTAACCATGTTGACAGGGAAATAAAATAATCGGACAAATCGCAGCCAAAGACTGATACTATACCTGCAAACAATCCCCCTCCGAAGCCAGTTTGTCCTGTTGCTGCACCACCAAATCCTGTAGTGCCAAATCCCCCAAATCCTGTTGAAGTTCCCGTGGCTCCTGTCGGTGCTCCAAAGCCAGTTGTGGTTCCCGTTCCAGCACCAAAGCCAGTTGTGGTTCCCGTTCCAGCACCAAAGCCAGTTGTGGTTCCCGTTCCAGCACCAAAGCCTGATGTGGTACCAAATCCACCAAATCCTGTAAAACCTGTCAAAGTCAATAATCATGGTAAACCATGTGACCATGGTGACTGCTCCACTGATTTCAGAGCAATAAACATAACTATCACCAAGGTTTGTTTTTTGGTTTGTTTGTTCCAAGGCCAACTAGAAGGTGTGGATGAGTGAGTGAGTGAGTATGGTTTTACGCCGCTTTTAGCAATATTCCAGCAATATCACGGTGGGGGACACCAGAAATGGGCTTCACACATTGTACCCATGTCGGGAATCGAACCCGGGTCTTCGGCATGACGAGCGAACGCTTTAACCACTAGGCTACCCAACCACCCCGGAAGGTGTGGATGAAGAGGTCAAGTTTAAGGTCTTCCTTGAGGTCAGTTATTAAGGTTCAGACATAAGCATGCAAACCACAGTAGATTATAATCAGATAATACAGGTATGTATGATAATGTTGTTATATTGCAGCAATATTGCAGCTATGACCATGATGACAATGGTCTGCAAATAATCAAGCCTGGACCAGACAATCACCAAGATCACCAATTCATAACTAGGTATTATTTATCATTGTTTACGACATGTGTGAGCAGGGATTTCGCTAGGATTCCAAACAAATTGCCCTTGGCAGGCAGGAAAACTATTGGGATATTGTTCAAAGTTGGATTTCTTTTACTGTTCTCACTTGCATGATATCTTTGGAATTTGGACGTGTTGGATTATTCTTAATTCCAATTGGGAATCTTTACTGTCGTTTGCTGCAGACTTGGGGCTGAATATCATCCTCTGAGCAGGACTAAATAAATCTCTGATAAGCTAAGTAGGGTAACCTAATTACAATGTGGACATTGTGAAGGCAGTGGTAAGGGTCTACAGTAAATTACATTAACAAAGTCGTTCTGATATATCCATCATCATGATTACCAGTATATAGTTAATACCAAGTGAAATGGCACTGTTTTTTTCCAAAACATACTGACCATGTTTATCAAAATTATCAAGAAAAGAAAAGATCAAGAAATATTCCTAAACAACGAAAATCTCTCTGTCCATGATTTCTATTTGCCTCAGGTATATTTAGAAAAATGTCCCATTACTTCAACCCTACCCCTGCTACCTGAGGCAGTAGTTGTTGGTGGCACTGCTCCTCCAAATCCTGAGAAACCTGGAACGAAATTACCATGATTATGCAAAAGACCATAGTAGTGGGATAACATGATACAGTTCATGTGTTGAATATCTGTAATGACTGATCATTTTCATAGGACTGATTACCGCAGTCATGGCAACGAGTATCACAGTCATGGCACTGATTACCACAGTCATGGCATAGATTATCGCTGTGACGGCACTGATTACCGCAGTCATGGCACTGGTTATCACAGTCATGACACTGATTACCGCAGTCATGGCACAGATGATCGCAGTCATGGCACTGATTATCGCAGTCACGGCACTGGTGATCACAGTCACGACACTGATTACCGCAGTCATGGCACTGATTATCGCAGTCACGGCACTGGTGATCACAGTCACGGCACTGATTATCGCAGTCACGGCACTGATTACCGCAGTCATGACACAGATGATCGCAGTCATGGCACAGATGAACGCAGTCATGGCACTGATTATCGGACTGATTTTTGCAGTCATGGCACTGAAAATCACAGTCACGGCACTGATTACCGCAGACATGGCACAGATGATCGCAGTCATGGCACTGATTACCGCAGGCATGGCACTGATTATCGGACTGATTATTGCAGTCATAGCACTGATTTTAGAATTTGAATGGGTTTGTAAATTATCTGACTATAATCTATAACATGACCATTATCACTACACACCAATGCTCACATCCAACTGACCATGCTCACAGCAAGCTGGCAACTTACTGACAATTGCCATATTTTTCAATATCATTACCATGATTACTGGGCCTTACAAAAATAATTTGATAGTCATAGTCATGATAGTCACTGTATACATTTATGTCAAATTACTCATGAGTAAATCCACAAGGGCACAACATACCATTACTTGTGTCACACTCACACACATTAATTGTGGCACGCATCATAGAAACACAATATGAAATACATTTTTAAGACCGAGGAGGAAATAATAGTCATTGTAATAATGTTACACAACATGCACAATGACTAAACGTACAAAAATTGTTGACTGCCATTAAGATTATTGCAAAATTTCTTCAGCAGCCCATGCTTGTCATAAGAGGTGACTACCGGGATTGGGTGGTCAGGCTCACTGATTGGTTGGCCATGTTGATGCATGTTATCGTATCCCACTTGCGTAGATCGATGCTCTTGATGTCAATAACTGGATCGTCCAGGCTTGATCATTTTTTCAGACCACCATCATATAGTTGGAATATTGCCGAGTGTGGCATTAACAACAAACTTGTGAAATATACGAGAGACACTCAAGGTAACTCCTTTTGTACCATGGCCAGGAGCCTCGATGAGGTTCTACATTGAAGACTTAACCCCATATCAGCTTTGAACCCTATCTCGTCTCTCGGCTAATGGGAGCCTAATTTTTGTAATGTATTGACCTTTGTCCGGACTGGCAGCATTTTAACCGGACTGGCAGCATTTTAACCAGACTGGCAATTTAGATATTTGACCTGCCAGTTCGACAGTCTAGCTGGAATTTATCTGAATTTTAAACACTGCAATTAATAGCCGATCTTACTCATGTTACACGACAGAACTTTAGACTGGTATGATGTTATAAGCGGAGTACCTGTAGTGGATGTGCCAGGGTTAGTCCCGAAGCCACTGAAACCTGGTGCTGTTGCTGTAGTCGTTGCCGTGGGAGCACCCCCGAAAAAACCTGTGCCTTGCCCCACCGTCGCCTGGGTTCCCGTCCCGAAACCTGAAAAGCCTGTTGGTGCTGATGTTGTAGCGGTGCCGCCGAATCCACCAAATGCTGGCGCCGTTGTCGTCGCCGCACCACCACCAAATGAAAACCCCGTGGCAGCAGTTGTAGCGGGGTTAGTACCAAATGCTTGTGTAGGATTGGAAAACAACGACATCTTTAGAGATTACAAGTGCGCGCTTGATGATGGATTTCAACTTCCTGTCAATTAGAGTTACTTGCCCCTGTGTTATTGCTAAATGCATGCGCATGATATAAACGAAAATAGCTATATTGTTTGATAACTAATTTATTTGGTGGAATTTGAATTTCAAATATAGAATTTGTTTGTATACATTTTATTTAATCTTTAGAAAAAAAGAAAAACATTTTGCTTGAGAGTCAACTCCAAATTCTAAAATGGCCTCCGTATGTTAACCATTTCCCGATATTTTACATATTTGTAACATATGCTGTCCCCGTTGAGTCGCTGCAATATTACTGAAAACTAAAATGGGGATCGGGTGGTCATACTGTGTGATATGACTGATTGCGTATGGAAAGCTCGGATCGTTGTTAATCTTCTGCCACTTGTTTCTCTGATCCAGAGCCTCAACCATGCCAGTGTTTCAGCCAATAAGCGCGGACATATCAGGCTTCAGCCAATGAACTGACATTATGCCATTGTTTCAACCAATGAGCTGACAATATTCCAGTGCTTCAGCCAATCAGCTGACATTATGCCCTTGTTTCAGCCGATGAGCCGACATTGTTCCATTGTTTCAACCAATGAGCTGACATTATGCCAGTGCCTGAGCCAAAGATCTGACATTATGCCATTGTTTCAGCCAATGAGCTGACATTATGCCATTGTTTCAGCCAATGAGCTGACATCATCACAGGGGGTAAGGGTTGTCCATGCCAAACCGGAAGTGGGTAGGTAGCACATACCGTTGCTGAGTGAGGCGTTAAACAAAAAACAAACAAAACAAAAACAATTTTCTCGCTGCACAGTAGAAAATGTGATTTCACTCTAGAACATATGAAGCAGGGAAACCAACTCGAGTCCTTCGCGTGAGGAAGATTACCTCCCTTTAGCTGTGGTACGACTGACTTACCAACAAGCACGCAAGCCCTGTACCACATTAATTACAAGCTCTTTCGAAGGAGGTTACAGTTCTGTTATTTCTCATTATTCTCATAATAGTAATAATACTGGTTTGGTGTCATGGTAATGAATTAATTATGCAATTATCCTTATTTTACAGTGTTTTGGAACAACAGGGGTACACATATGTCAATAATAGTTTACAACGTGAATGTTTTTTGTGAAGGCCCTTCCAAATTGACAGTCGAATTCTAATAACGTTACTCTATGGGGGGATTTAACGTAAGTATAATGAAAGTTAATGTGCGATTACAACATGGATTACAGTTCGTGGGAAACATTAAAAACGTTCAACATTTCTTCCATGATGACAAAGGTCCTCCGCGGTTTTTTTAATCAGATATGTTTTTAAAAATAGTTTGAAGAATTAACTCAAGGAATGACAATCTGATTTTTGGAACTGACCCCGTTTACCCATGCCTCCATATCTCCTGTATACAAAGGATGTGTATTAGAAACCAATACATCACATTCCACAGTAGACTTTTAAACGCGTGCAGTACTCTATTTCGTTCCTTTATGTCCTCAACATTTGAACTGTTTTCTTGGCATTTTTAGAAGTTGGTAAGTAACAGTAAAGGCAACAGATTTTATGGATGACAACTTCTTTATTCTATTATGATGAGATGTTTCGGTATCGATCCTTTTACAGTTGTCTTGGTATTGTAACAGTGCTAAAATTGCTATATTTTATTCAACTTTTTGTGAAATTCGCCTTCAATTCATAAGTTGTCGGTTAACCATTTAAGACCTGTTGGTACATACTAGCGATAAGAAATTGCATAACAACATCTGGCACTTCAGATTTACGCCGCCACAATCAGGTCGGCGGGCGAGGCTTTAATTACATGTTGAATAACAACTAGTAGTGGTCAGCGCGTTCGGCACTTACCAGTGTACCGTTATCAGCTATTTAGCGTCAACTGACCAAACTAGAAAATTGAAAACGCGAAACCAAACACGAGCTGAGTGATTCTATCGGCATTTATAATCTTCTATTACGCAACTTTCCAAACTGACCGTGGGCTTTGGCTATTAACAGACCAAACCCATCATACAAAATTGTATAACATGTCCAGTCTTTATTAGTCCAAAGTCTCAAATTTCAAACTGGACATGCTCGTGTAGACTTGCCTTCAGATTAACAAAGGAGGTCTCAGGTATAAATATAGGGGGAAATCGACTGTTAGTCATTCCTGCTTTGCCTGAGAACCTCTCTCTGTTTGTCTTTGAAGGTAAGTCACTTTTACTTGTTACTTTGGCATTTAGGTTGAACTTTGCTTAAAATTGTCTTTTAAAATTGTCTTTAATTTTGTATGAATATCTTGCTTGAACAATGAACTTATACTCTATGTATTCGAAATGCCGTGCGAATCTAAGCTGCATATTATTCAAGTTTTACTGACACAAATTAACTACAGTACTTTATATGCGTGCGTCGCATGTAGAAATATTACTATTCCACAATCAGCGTTCGTATCCCACATGTTTACTTATCGGGTTAAAACTACTAGGCAAATACATTTGTAATTAGTAATCACAGGTGTCGTGGATGCTTCATAATTATCATGTTTTAATGTGAACAGCGTGCATTATAATAATGTATGAATTATTTGTCCATGTATCGGTAGGACCACTATTCATATGTGTGTCGTGTTATTTACCTTATTGTATGCTGTATCGTTAGTAGAGTGGTTTTATAATGCAACAACGTTAAATGCGTCAATAGGCATTAACATGATCCAGTTACTCGATATAATTTACGTTATGTATATTTGTTTGCGTTCTTATGCCTGATAAATACGGTTCAAGAATATAACTTATACCCGGATTCTCCACCAATTGAAACACAGTTAGTTTTTACACTAAAACTGATCAAAACCTAGAATGCTTTCGGGGAATTAGCCACGGGATCAACACACCTTCAAAGACAAACAGAGAGAGGTTCTCAGGCAAAGCAGGAATTCTTTATTAAATGTTTTCATCATCATCAAGCATATAGACATAGTCAGACAATCTCCTTCATCATCAAACACAAAGACATAATCAGACAAATAATGAAGCAGTGATACAAAAACTGTTAAGATATTCTTTGTCATATAATAGACATGCGTTAATAAACAATTGCTTGTTATGTGATCTCACTTTGAGAACAATGCATTAACTTCAGAGACGTCTCAGTACCTATTCAAGTTACAGCCTAATATAACATTGCATAAGATTACGTAACACATTTATAATTAAAATACCATTTGTAAAATAATAACAAAGTGTAAAGTGTAAGCTCAACTCATTGGATATTCATTTATATTATAGCAGTAAACATTTGATATAATGCAGACCTTATAATCAATTCACATTAAATTACTCATTGATAATTACTCATAATGTTTGGTCTATATATTTAAGGTGCTCATAAATAACATCTGAACAATGTTTACAAAAGCATTCATGTGAAAGATTATAACAACACCTTTCTTGAACAAAGACATGTCTGATAACTTATTTTACATTAAATACGGTACATGTGTCGTCATGAACTATAGCTGATTCAGGTGTACACTTCAGAGATAATAGCGAATACAAGATTTAATACGGTAAATAATACTGGGACCTGCATTCAATGACTGAATACATTATACTAAACTCAGATAACAGCTATGCGCAAAAATGATTAAATACGGTACGTGACGTCACTGCCGAGCGCTGGTGAGTGTGCCGTTATATAACAATGAGCGGTGCCGCCTGTGCATGCCGCGCTATGCGGGCCGAGCTTATACAAATCACACATGAATGAACACCGTATTTGAAACTTGAAATATATATGAATTAAAACTGATTATTAGTGAACGTATATTCTATTGTGAATGTTTATGAACCTTATTGGAGATTTCGCCAAACAGAGAAATTGCTTGTGAACTGTAATTTAGAAATGGATATAAACACTGCTATAGGAAAGCCTGTTTCATTATAACTATTCTACAACATAAAACTACTACGTTATCTGTAGCGTCCAAATTATGCTAAAAGTATAGTATCTGAGATATTCTATACAGCGTCCATTCATCTTACCGAATGGAAATAATATGCATAAATTGGAAAACATAAATGTATCAGGCATTGCTTAATTTGTGTGCATTTATCTAGAACAAAAAGTTACGTTCAAGTATTGTAGTCTAGTGATATGCCCTCACAAAGTAGTTACCTAATGAGAAATATATTTTGGGCTACAGATAAGAATAATATACTTTGCTGTACTTGCACTGATCTGGTTTTGTATATAAAGAATATATTTGATGCATGAACATCGGATATATGACAAAGAATATCTTAACAGTTTTTGTATCACTGCTTCATTATTTGTCTGATTATGTCTTTGTGTTTGATGATGAAGGAGATTGTCTGACTATGTCTATATGCTTGATGATGATGAAAACATTTAATAAAGAATTCCTGCTTTGCCTGAGAACCTCTCTCTGTTTGTCTTTGAAGGTGTGTTGATCCCGTGGCTAATTCCCCGAAAGCATTCTAGGTTTTGATCAGTTTTAGTGTAAAAACTAACTCTGTTTCAGTATATACCGACATCTCGCATCATAATAGAGGATGGAAGTTGTCATCCATCAAATATCTTGTCTTTACTGCTCTCAACATTTGAGACATCATATCAAGTGTATCTTTGTGTCCTTACTGCTGCATGTATTGTAAACCCCTACCCCACCCCACCCCGAAAACGCCCCACCCTACCCCAGTTATTTTGACAAGAGCTTGAAGGTGAGGTGAGGTGAGGTTAAATGGTGTTTCACTTCGTGCGTGCGTGCGTGTGTGTGTACTAGTCCATCCTACTGCCGGTTTTATATTGTCATCTCACTGAGATAGGCAGTTTTATAATAAGAATTCTTCCACTTCCACACAGCAATACATGCTCAAAGCAACACATGCATAAGTAAACAAGAGTTAAATGACTGAGTTATCGAAAAAGGTGTTGCCGACTATTCTTGCGAATGGAACGACAGGACGCTAAAAAATACGTCGATATATCGCAGGCCAGTCAAATGACCATTCACAATAACCAA